GGACGTGATGGCCAGCGCATCGCTTCGTCATCGTTTAATTTAAAGCTACCGGTCTATCTTCTCGCAGGTGTGAGCCGTATATTATCTTCTCCACCATTCAACAAGCTATAAACATGTTCTTAAGTACAAACGATACACATGCCGTATAATTATGTATTTATCAAAGCATTATGCGGTGTAGGTATGATTTAAATAGTCCATTTACACTTCATATATTGATCATTATTTCCCACTATATTATCATAAAATATCACTATAAAATATTCATTATTTCAGTTTAAATTCATATCATCCTTTCTACACCTTGTCTTTTAGGGTTACTAGATTATGATCATACCACAATCAAAAGTGAATGTGATGTCCGGTAGCAAGTGTATGCTTTACCATCATCATCAACCTGCTGCAATAATACAAGAGATTGGGCAACTGAATCTGCGCACGAGGCGTCTACATACAAGAGGAACAAAGAAATCGTGGCAAATTGAGAGAATGAATACTTTTTATAGAAGTAAGAGCAAGACGCAACATTGATCTCGAGACCTACCGCCGTCAGGCCCAAGGATTATTCAACACTCGTACATTTGTGTGAGAGAGCTGAGTAGAGAATGTAGGACCATGTTACATGTATGTACGCGATTATCAACCGGAAATTCATCGAAATTACTCTCTATATACATACACACAACTTGTTTGATTGTGTGTAATTCTTCTTCTCACCTCATCTCGTTTGTTTTATTTACTCTTTTTTTTTATCATCATCAGCAGCTCCATAGCTGTTGATTAATTTTAACTTCAAAATTAATAGTTTTTTTTAAACTATTGTTACTCGGATGATGCAGCTAGTATATAAGACTACACAATAATTATAACAATAATCATCATAATAATAATAACGGAATATAATCGATGACTCGAAAGGATTGGAATAAAAGAGCTCCAGGCTTCAAAAAAAGTTGCTACTGGTGACTTGGCGGAAGTCTTGCGCGCGAATTTCGCTTGACAATGCGATACTTTGGATGTAAAAACTTACTGGATGTCGATTTATATCCTCTCTTTTCTACTTAATTCGTGCGGGGTCACAGAATTTCCGTCTCAATTGCTTGGGTATCGTGAGAATGCTTCATTCCTGATATTCACGTCAAACAATCCTTTTTTTGTTGCCTTCTGCTTACTTTTACTCTTTCAAAAAATTATTCATCCACGACAAAAGCCCGCGAGTTTTTATGCCATTTTTCAATAATAAATTGAGCTGCAAAAAGCTTCAAATTCACGATGCTTGTAAAATAGAAAATGAGCAAAGAGGTATGGATTTTTTCGGAGCTTTAAAATCATTGCTTTTATATTTTTCAAGATTTTTTTTATTATGAGGTTTTAACTACAAATTTTAAAAGTTTAGTACCGTTGGAATTTTTAGGTGTAAGATATTGGAGCAAAAAAGGGTGAACGATCTTTTTCTGGATACTTCGATACTCGCACCTCCAATGCAGGTATTGAGCAATGGGTATTATAGTCGATGATGACGAATATTTATGAGTTTACGATTTTCTGAATTTATGACAGTTTGTTGGTTTATTGCTGGTTACACGCGATGCTCTTGCTCCAGCCATTACTAAAACGACTTTTTTTCTCCTTCCTTTTGTCAAGTCTTTTGGTGCAAGAAAAGTTCATTGTCAAATTCACATATTGCTCCAAAGGACATTTGGACTGGTAGCACATAAAAAATAAATTATGGAAGAAGAAAAAATTGGTTAAGATATTTCAGAAAAAAATCAAGTTTGAAAAAAAAAAAAAAAATAGTGAAATTTTCTGGTTGAAAAAATTTTTGATTTAGAATTGATGACTGTTTAGTGACTATTGTGCTTGGAATAGGGTTCAGAAAAATACTGTAAAAAATTGTTCTATTGAAATTCTAAAGTTATTACATCCGCTATTTTTATGAGGAAAAATTACTTAATTTAACGTTTAAAAAAAAATTTTATTGTTACAAAATATTTTCTACTATAAATAACATTTACTTCTGAGTCTTATTTACATAAAACGAAAATTTAATTTCATTGTAAATAAATGTCAGAAGATTTTTGGAATAAAAACTGAATTGTATGTTTACTAAAAAACAGAATTGCTTTTTTAAATAGATTGAAATGATATTAAAATTTTTTTTCAACTATTTCAAAAATTACCTTCCAAATAATTTTATTTAACTATTATTAATGATTGTTTATACATTTATATACGACATGATTATTCGAAAATAATAAGCTCATATAAAATAATGACTTCTAAATAACTTTAAATAAGGATTATTACTTATTTTCACTGATAATTTTGAAACAAAAGAATTATATTGATAATATGACAAACAAAAGAGAAATAAACTGCTAATCATTTATCGAATAATGGACATTATTTATTTTCTTAGTGCAGGCTAACTGCATTTTCACGGGAAAATATAGATAAAATACCATCTCCAGTTTTCGTCATATATCAGCATGATGAGTTTATGACTTCGTATAACCATCACACTTTTCACAGACCTTTTCGCGTAAATGAACAAAGAACTTGAAGATTTACAACCAAACTCAGGACCCTAGTGAAAGAAGAAAAAAGATACAAGCAACAATTCTCACTCACTTTCGCGTAGTTTAGAACATTTTGTAGCTTATAACTTTAACGTGTTACGATGAGGAACAGAGACAAATACTTTTCAGGTACTGCAGAGAAAAAGCTGCAGCATATCTACAGATGAAAGATGACAAAGAAGGAAATTTAACAAATCTTGCTCGACCTCGGTCTTGGATATGCCATGACGACCAAACGATTTCTGCAAAGGCCAAGTTAGTGGCCAGAAGTCGGGCTTGGACCAACTACCTTTTTCTTCTTGCTATCTTCCTAGTGTGTTTAAGCACTATGCATTTATGTGCACCATAGTCACGTCGTTTAAAATTTCTCTGTCTGCTTTATTTGTAGTTATCGGAAGTGAACGACTATGACGAGCAAAGAGAGCACCTGGCACCCCGTCGACCCGTCGCAGTGTGAACGCGTCAACACGCTCTTCAGGGTTGACACTTTACGTAGTGAAGACAGCTTCTCTTACAACATATTACATGGTCCTCCTTTCAAACGATGAACACGTTAATACACCATGAATGAGGAAATGAAAAAAAAATGTTCTCTAAAAGAAAACATTTGATGAGGTAGATGCAAAAGTTAGACAACATACAAGCTTTTGAGTCTATTATCGATAAAGAAGACTAGGAAATATTTTTATCTATTTAAAATGACTACTGGAAATAATTGAACAAAGTTAAAGAACTGAAAAATAACTTCTTAGTTAAATATAGAAGGTACACATGAAACATAATAGAATTTGAGTATTTTATTTATATTATTATATATTTAATATTTAGTTAAAAAAATAAGCTCGTAAATAATCCTCCCCTTCCTCAGAATATTTAAAATCACGCCTTCTTAAACTTTTTTAAGTATACAAAATAACTTTAAATGTCATAAATATTATTCTAATACAATAGATAATATGGACAAATACGTCGCGGTTAGATTCGTTGATCATAAATCATTTTTAACAATTTCTGGCCGCAATATTGCGGTTTAGAAACGTTGAGTACTACCCGGCATGGTGCTGAGGTGGTGATGTCTCTGTGGTTTTCTTGTGGTACCCTTGTGGTCCGAGTATCCATTCATTTTGTTGACCAAAATGTACCCACTCTATTATTGCTCCGCCTACATGAGCTATTATTGCTTTTTCATTACTTTCTTTTCACTAACCCTTTGCTGATTTGACTTTTCCAACTTTCAAACATGCTGAAATGGGAAAATACACTGTTTTTAATGTTAAGTTTTAGTATTTAATAAATAACCTACCGCACTGATGGTAAATATTACCTAAAATTTCTGAGAATCATTGATTTTAAATTTCGCAATTGGTTCCAAAGTTTAAATAACTTGTGCACCTTTCCTACTGTCTGGCCACCCAATTGGTGCAACATGTACCAAAAAAAGACATTAAATAAAGCGAGCGCATCAAATCAAAATACCTTTTGCACTTGGAAAAATAACGCAGAAGTGAAAAGTTTATACCTGTGCTTTCAGTAGTATACCACTGATGCTTCATGATCAATGTTTATTATCGTTCTGTTTGTGCATTTTCATCAACTAACGTTTGGAACCTTTCTACACCGTGAAAATCAGTTAACAAAACACCATAACTGTAGCAGATAGAATATGCAAGAGTGGAAGAAGCTGTAGCTGTAATTTGACAAGAAAAAAAAAGGAAAAAACTTAGAAAGAAATTATCCCGTGCGAGAATCCTGAAAACGTAGCTATAAGAGGAACTTGGACCCCCAACAGCTCGGGTTAACACACCGTTACTTCAGCGAACACGCTCAGGAGCACGCATCCTGCCGCGAGGATCTGCCCAAACAAACTCACTTAATGTCTTCATGCTACTCGTCATGCACCATCAGCTTCCCTTATGGAATAATCTCTTGCAAGTTCTGGTGTTCATCATGATAGATAATTCATCATGTTGGTAAAACTCAAAATTCGCAGTACAGTTGTGTGTCATGTATTTGACAATTAATTGAATTACTTATTTCATCTCGCATGTAGCTAAAATTGCACCTTGATACATAGGTGTTTAATGTTAACACCATAAGGTTTGAAACACTTGCAGATGAGGGGTGAGGGTGGTGATGAAGAATATGGTTGCAGCAGGTATAGACGATCGTCAAGAGAACAGTAGCAGGCGTGGCTTTCAGCTATACCTTGTCGACCATCAAGCCAATTCATTGGTTGATAGTCACCAGGTAATGTACTGCTGAAGTCCCCACTACTATGCTTCACCAAATACCCTCGAATGAACTGCTTATATTGTGGAACTCACTTAAGTCAGCATCCACAAGATTCTTAAGAGTGGGCGGAGCTCAAGTTTTGCTTAGACTCGAGATCATCAACTTTGAAACATCAGTCGAGATCTACAAGTCGATCGATCGTCACAACATCATTCAGTCTTAACGAAGACGTCATAAGTTACCCATTGGACTGCCGACGGTCATTTTGTTGAATAGTGAACATAGTTTATTTAGTTGTTATAAAGTTTATTCTAAATAATTTATCAAAAAGTTATCAATTTTATTTACTAGTGTTAATGAATATTATTCAAGTTGAGTGCAAATTGGTGATTTCTTACTGAAAAATATTTACAATTTTAGTACTTAAGTTCTAAAAGTTAACTAGACTGGAAAACGTGACATGACGGTTACTACCAACTACTCCATAATGAGACCATGTTTTTCTGGATATCCTTTTCAAGGTAAAAATAATTCACAAACAAAAAATAATAGAAAACTTTTTTTTTTACATAAATTTACGATTTTTGCAAGACCGAATTTTCGAGACTGTCAGGAAAGTTTATATTAACGAAGGTCATGAATTTCCTTCAACTATTGTACTCTATTGATTCTAGTCACTCTATTGACCTGTTCCAAAATTTTAGTGGACTAAAGTTCTAAAAGGACTAATCCTTTATTTTTTACGTAACTTCTTGCATTGTTTATTTCAACCCTCAACACAAAAAAATTTTCTCTTAAAATACAAATTTTACATTCCGAAAAGATGTCAGTATTATCTTAGGTGAATTAAAATTAAAATAAAGTTTAAAATTAATAATAATAAATGTAAATGATGCAATTAATAAGAACGTTATCGAATATTAATTAAATTAGTTACATAACTTATTGTTACAAAGTATTGAAGTTTAAAATACCTTGAAATGCGTTAAATTTATCTGCAATTTAAAGAAAAGTGACTTTTGAAGGATTTTACAATACCTGCGATATGACCTGAGGTAGGCATACAGACGTAAGGTCGAAGTAATAGAGAGGCAATAAATATAACAAGGATACTTTATAGACCCCCATAACTCAATATTTTTCGTGAGTTTCTCTACACTTTTGTATTTCTACGTAATATCTAACAGAAGAGCCTGTTACTGGACGAGACGAGCCTTAATCACAGAATGGACGGAAGGTGTCGTTGTAATAACCGGAAGAGTAAAACTGTATCTATTAATTTTGAATTTTGCTGATACTTCCAACAGATCTTGGATCGATACCAGGACAAGGGCGAGTAAATCAGTTGGGGGGTGTATTTATCAATGGTCGACCACTTCCAAATAATGTACGGTTAAAAATCGTTGAGTTGGCGGCTCAAGGAGTGAGGCCATGCCACATATCAAGGTAACAACAAATTATAATTAATAATTAAATTTTAATTATTACAATAATTAAACTAAAATTGAATGATTTTTTAATTATAGACAATTAAGAGTATCACATGGATGCGTGTCGAAGATTTTAAATCGATATCAGGAAACTGGAAGCATCAGACCAGGCGTAATTGGCGGAAGCAAACCTCGTGTAGCAACTCCAGAAGTAGAAAATAGGATTGAAGAATACAGAAGAGGTAATCCGAGTATATTTTCATGGGAAATTCGTGATAGATTAATCAAGGATGGCGTTTGTGATCGTACTAGTGCACCAAGTATATCAGCTATTTCTAAATTATTGAGAGGACGAAATACTGAAGAAGAAACTACAACGAAATTAGCCGACGGTAAGGTTACACGTTGTGAGTTACTTTATACATTTATATTTGCTTTTTCTCATTTGCCTGTGAATCGATTCATACCTCCGCGAATTAAGCGATCGGGATCTGCTAAAATTGCTGGGCTTCCATAAGAAGGATGAACGGTAGATCTTGATGATCGAGTCTGTAATTTTCTTGCCGCTTCGCGATGGGGAGTCCTGAATAGGCACTTCTGTTCAAGTCTTGTGATGTAGTGCAATGTTATTTATGATTTAGTCGTGGATTTAACATTTTTTTCTATAGAAAAATTATTAACTGCTAAAATGAACTGCAGACTTCATCAAAGTTATTTTGGAATTGAGAAAAAAATTAAAATAACAAGTAATCATATAGAGGTAAATAAAGGCTACTTTTTTTCAACTTTAAGTATAATTAAAATTATTCACGAATTTCAATCAAAAGCTTAGAGTTTTAGGTAATTATTTAGAATTAGGGCTCCAGGCAAAAATCGCTCCAAAAAATTTTTCATCACCAGAAAACTATTTTTTTAGGTAAAACTAGACAATTGAAGGCGGAGGAGACATGTTTTATGAGGTTCCATCGAAAAAAACAGGATTTTTAGGTATAGTCCAGACAATATAGGAGGCTTGGCTCCATTTGTGCTGAAAATTTTTGTACAAAGGGCAATTTTGAATTTTCTAATGTCAAAATATCCGCAATGACCTGTAAAAAAAATGTGCCCAAAAACGAGAGTGCGCTGATTTTTTCGCATTTCAGTGGTCCCGTGTATCTAAGCGAGACAGCACTATAGGCGGTACCACGCGCTAGAAAAGGACACAACTATCGAAATGTAAAAATCGTATTTCCGATAAAAAAATTGTAGTTGTCTTGTTCAATATTATTTTATTAATTATTTGATGAACAAAAAAAAACCTAAAAAATCATCAATTTCTCAAAGTTGGTAATTTTTTCATTTATTTATAAAAATTCGTTTTTTTATTTATGTATAAAAAATTGCTTCATTATAGTAAATAATACATTTATTTATTATATTCATTTATTAAATTTTCAACATACATGGAGCCAAGCCTCCTATATTGACTGAACTAGTATAGGTATAGCTTGAATTCGAATAATAAAGTGACGAAGAGGATGGAAGGTGCGGGGGGTGTTTACAGGGCATAAATACTTTTATAATTTTTTAAAATATTTATGTTCTTTAACACCCCCCCCCTGCTTTTTTTTGCTACGTTCTGAAATGTACGATCCACAATTTTAGAGACATTCAGTGATTTATCATATGTAAGTTCTACCATGTAATGTCTGAAATAATAGAAAAAAATAGGTCTGAGCACACTTTGTCTGTGCTAACATGACGAACTTCTCATTAGTAATTGTTTATAACAAATTTAAATAGTCATAATCAATGATTGTTAAAAACATCCAAATCCATGTGATGTATCTTTCGAATTAATTTTGGTCGAAGTCGATATCTTAATCCGTTCTTGAGATATAATATCCCAAACGAAAGAAATACTGATGTCCAGACATACGTACATACGTACGTACGTACACACACACATCATTCTAAAAATTGGTTAGTCTGCTTGCAAATACCATGAAACGTGAAGATACAATGGAAATTTAAATTTCACCAATCGACCCAATTTCAATAACTTCCTAATGGGAAGTTGAATATGTCCCCCGCCTTAAATTCACTATTTGTACCCTCAGAAATAACCCCAAATTTATAAAAAAATTTTTGGGCGATTTTTGCCTGGAGCCCCAATTCTAAATAATTACCCTATTGACTATTAATTAATCTATAGTTAATATTAATAAATGCCAAGTAATAATTGTAATAATAGTATATTTCACACCTAGGGAGGAAAAGTAGACTAGCTCAAACCACGTGTAAAATTACAACCCGAGCCGAAGGCGAGGGGGGTAAACACGTGGTTTAAGCTTGTCTAATTGTCCTCCTTAGGGCTGAATATAATTTTTCGTCATACCTGAGTGGAAAGTTCAACCCCTCTCCAATGGAAAAGTGAACTTTCCGCGCAGGCATGACGAAAATATATTTATTTTATTCAAATGAATCCTTCTATCAGTGTATATAAACATTAGATACAACTGAATGTCAATATTTGTGTGTTTAGACTTTTCCTCAAAAAAAAAAAACAGTTTTCACAGTAACAACATGTTAATGAAGATTAGAACTCTGTTGTGTTCAAGAATACAGAATGGGCGGCAAAGATGAAAGAATCTGACTCTTTGCGTTGTAAGCCGATAGCTCTCGGGGGTCGTTCAGCGGCACTCTGCCGGCGCCTTCTCTTTTCCTCTTTTTCGTCAATGAAAACAAAAAAAAATTAAAACTGGCACGAATCTGTAGGGGGTAAACTATATTTTACTCATTAAAACCCCTATGAGAAAAAATATTGCCTTTTCATCGACTGTTCAAAATTTTTCAGTATCAAATATAATTCATTATTAGCTTGTCGTCATACAGATGTTACATTTTCTTAATGACAGTGAATATCAAATAAAATACTTCGGCTAAAGACATCTAAACAAAGGTGCTTATAAAAAATTGAAAACCAGAAATAGCGTGCGTAGCAAATGGATATTATCTCGGGTTCGTCGCGACGTCAAGCGTCGTCGGCCAATTAGATGCGCGTTCATTCGGGACCATGTCACCATAGACAAGTTTAAAAAAATCTTTCAACATCATACATGTTCATAATCTTTTTTTTGGAGTACTATATCATTATAATGTATTGCTGTTTGTTGAATCAGACTGTCAAAGTATTTTACTGTAGAAGCTACTTAAGAGAACAATGCACAAAAGCATGCATTTAAACCATCAAGTGTATAAGTAATATAACGAGTCGGGAGTCGCAGTCAAAAGGACTACGGGATACTAATAGCTTGATCGTTGCACAGAGTGTGAAATAAGCCGGTCTGCTATTTGAATTAAAATTATTTTTAGTTTTTTTTTAAACCTATATTATTAAATCAATTTCACTTTTTTCTAGTAATAATTTTAAAATAATAACATCTTTATATTTGATATTACAGGAAAAACTAGCTCAGGATCTGATTGCGAAAGTGAACCAGGTATACCATTGAAGAGAAAACAGCGTAGAAGTAGAACTACATTTACTGCTAATCAATTGGATGAGTTAGAACGAGCCTTCGAAAGAACTCAATATCCAGATATCTATACACGTGAAGAATTAGCTCAAAGAACGAAATTAACGGAAGCACGGATCCAAGTTTGGTTTAGTAATAGACGGGCGAGACTAAGAAAACAATTGTCGTCAACCTCGTCTAGCGGCTATGTCACGTCTGTACCATATCCTACAGCTGCAACTTCTTATATCTTGCATCCACCAGTATCTTCAGGGCATTCTCACGCGGCTACTGCGGCTTCGGCTGCTGCTGCTAGTTTACCTGCATCCAGTCACTCCGTTCATCCTCAAACCCATAATCAAACTATTCCAGAAACGTCGTATCCATCAAGCCAAGGTAATTATTTTCAGCCTAAATAAGAAATAATAATATGATAAACTTTTTTCTCATTGATTACTAATGAAAATATTATTTTTAAGATATATATGGATCTACTCATCATACTGATGTATCGCATCAATTAGCAGCAGCTGTTGAATCTAACCGATTAACATCAGCAAGTGTTTCTTCGGCGTCTAGCTATGTTCTTCCAACGTCGGTGACTTATCCTCCGAGTTCATTATTGACTCCAGTCTCAACTCCGGCATCCACCCACCATGTGACTCACCATCAAGTCTCGCCAGTTGCTCCAACATCAACAGCTTACCAGCAGCCAACACATCATCAATTGCCTCCAACTCCAAACTCTCTTGTCACCATGATGGGTCCTAATTCAGCCAACTCCAACCCCACTTCAGACCAACTGACATCTAATGAACTATCAATTGGTTCTGTTTCGCCGATTCATCAGCATCATCAACAGCAACCATCACGTCAGCATCAACAAACACAGTCTGGTCAAGGAAGTGATTCTCCACCATCGTGGAATTTGCCCATCACTCCTGGATCTCGTGTTGGTCTTCCACCAAGTCCACCTTCCAATCTTCAACAATCACTCTCCCATAGCTCTCATCATCATCATCATCCTCAAGCATTCGCGAGTTATACTTCGTCAGGCTTTCAGCAATCACCCAGACCTGTTACTACTCATCAACCATTCTACGGCTGGTATTGATAGCAATTTAATTAGATGTGTAAGTGGTGAAAGTGAATAAAAAATGAATGAATTATTCATTCATTTTTCGGTAATGATTTCAGCAATAATTATAATAAGTGAATTGTAATATAGCATGACGTGTACACTGAGACAAAAATTTTGTTAAATGAAAGAATTTTTTATTCAATCAATAAAAGAAACTTGGAATATTCTCTTAAATATTCATAATTTCGAAGAAATATTTTATTGCGACTATTTGAAATTTCGATGTTAATGATCGAATGAAATATTTTTTGTATGAAGTAAATTTTTTTCTCAGTGTATGATAGATTATTAATTGTAAAAATTATTTAATAATATAATAATTGTAAATATTAATTTAAACCACAAAGTGGCAAGATAATTATCTCTATTAACATCTGGGTACTAAGTACCGTTAAATTTATGCATAGGCAAATAAAATATTCTTTACCAAAAATTAACATTGATTTTAAATTGTATATATTAAATATATATTAGAGACGATTGTATTTACTCTATTTGAAACAATAATAATATTCATTATAAATTATTTTAATAATTAACATATATAATGATATTAAAATTACATTATAAATACGTACAGTAAATAAATAATTCAAATAAAAAATTGGTCAATGAAATAATCAGTTGTGTACTTAAGTTAACTTATAAAAAAGATGAAAAAGGAATTATTTGAAGAAATAAGTTAGGAATCTGTGAAAATATAGGTGGAAACGATAATAATTAATATTCTTATCGACCATTAATAATAATAATTTTCCTTTAATTTAAGTGTGATACAAATCAGTGCGTTCTTTGTGTAATAATACAATCCAGTATCATACATCCATATGTATAATATGTATATACATACTCTTCTGTACACGTCCCAATTAATATATAGTACATAATATACATATGTATATAATTTAATTACATACACAGTCGGTTTACTCAGAGAAGAGTAACTTAATGTTGTTATGGCGACTGGATTTATACAATTCAAATCTCGACCATATTAATGAAGTGATGCAGGTAATATCTTTCAACTAAATGAATTTAAATAATTCGTTTATTTATTTTTTGCGATTTTTTTTTCTTTTTCCATTCTCATTTTATTTAATGGTCTTCCTTATTACTTATATTAAATTTAATTATTTCGTTTTTTATACAACGAAACGAAAGTCCACTGCTACTGAATCTAATTTTTATTTAACTTCTATACCTTGAAGGAAAATTTATTCATAGTCTTTCAATTAAATCTCTCAGATTTATAAGTATATTTTACAGTAATAGAGCAGTTGCAGTGAAATCTCGTAACACAGCCTCAGCAAAAGCAACGACAATAAATCAGTCGAGCTCTGGACATTTTTTTTTATTTTTTTAACTTTTTTGTTGCATTCTTTTGTTGTTACTTGGCAATTTCTGAACTTTGTCTTTCTTTCATTTTTTTTTTTTTTTTACTTTCAACGAGATAATTTATGTTATTTCTCCGCATTTCTTAATTGTATGTAATGAATATTAAGCAATGAAAGTCATTTTTTAAATTATCTATTAACTGAGAAATATCAACATAAATGTTGGATCAATCGTGAAGTTTAATGTTCTATCTCAACAATTAAACGGGAAAGAGTAGAATTCATTTAATTCGCTATATAATATATTATTCTGTGTATCGAGACAAAGTGATTATGAAAAGAATTTCTAAGTATTTTTCATTAATTTTTAAAAAAACTTACGTGCATCAAGTGCGAAAATCTTTTCTTTCCTTTAATCGTTTAATTATTTCTTGCTTACTGATAACGTAATTTAGTTTATTGAAGATTTTTTACACTTGTTCACGTAAAGTCTATCTATAATGTACAACACTTTTGTTGTACATTCAAGTCTACAGCAGTAACTATGCATCAAATACAATGTAATCATAAAATTTATTACTTCCATTTGCTAGTTTAATGATTAAAACTGCAGTATAATCATTTTTCTTAGTAATAAAGACATTATAATTTCATTTCATTTTAAAAATTAACACTTTTGGCTCGTTTTTGATGTAAAAATGCGTTCGTTAATTATTACTTCTATTATTATCATTATCAATAATATTACCAATAATATTATCATTATTAATTATCACTGAAATCTTTCATTTTTCATTACTGTCATTACGCATTTGATGGTTCTATTTGATTTTATTATTACCCAAGATGATAGTAATAATGATTATAATATTGATAATAGTTTATAAGAGAATAAAGTAAAATAAAAGTGCCAAGAACAAGAAATAGAACAACAGTGGAGACAAAAAGAGATTTTTATGCGTGAAAATATTTCCTTATGTTTTTACGCCGTATATATCGTATAAAATGTAATAATAACGCGTTTACTTTTATTTTATAATCATGTATAAGATCGTTTGTATATTTACGCACAATACTTTAAGATATTTATTAAATTGAATCGCTTTTCTTAATGAAAATTCGAAAAAAAATTTTCCGAGCTTTTTGTATATTTATATTTTATCATTTTGTTCTCCACCTGCAATTTATTCCAATTATTATTAAAATTATTTTTTTTCCGTTTTATTTTACTGGAATAAATAATTAATTACTTACAATCTAAAAAAATAAAAATAAATAATGACTCGAAGAAACGATGAAAAATATTTTTTCCTCGTAATAGTCTACTTAAATTACCTCAACGTTGAGGTGAAATAAATATATCCAAGCGCTCATTATCATTAAATTCAATGTAAATCCCCACGTATTTTCCTCAGCATTTCAAAAATGCTCGATTCACAGGCATTTTATGCCACGAGGCGGCAGCAACTGTATTTTTTAAATCTTTTCTTTTTGATAAATAAAAAACAAATGTGGACGTAGTTGTTGATTCAAAAGCTTATTATGGAGCTTTTTTTGTTATCGAAGATGCAAAATATTTAATTAAAAGCACAGCCAATATATATTTGCGACATATAACAATTTATACACCGTTGTATGCCCATACTGCTAGAATTGTATAATGCACATGATATGCTTCTTCTTGTAGTCGCACATGGAATAATAATAAAGGCGTACCATCGCCTATCCTTTTGCACTTTAGATTTAACTTCCATGATCTTGGTCTAACTCATCAAGAGACTCTAACCTGGCGATTGGTGCTTCGTTGATCGTAAATTCCCAAGACATCTCTTCACTTGTTTGCCTCGATGTTTCAGGTCGCTGCACATCCGATGATTGAGATGGTGGAGCAAGCCTGCTACTGCTTTCTGCTTTTTGATGAGATCCACTGATATCCTTCCTTAAATCACTACTTCGTGGACGTTGAAGGGTTCCACTTCCACGGGTTTCAGCTGTCGATACTGCACAAGTACTCCAAGGATCATCCGATTCTGGCTCTGAACGTTTATTAAACGAACTGTAACTGTAAATATATCCAAAATTTTCATAAGATAATTTTTCAAATTAAAATTTCAAAAAAAAAAACATTTGATTAAATTAATAAGCAAATGAATAATGATTTGAGGTGACCCTGAAGAGAACCCCATTCCCTGATCTCTAGACGTCTTACCCAGTCCTAAATTCACCACGTCTGAATGCAGCTGGTTGACTGTGCCATCCATAAAGTTGAGACTGATGGTGATGATGATGATGGTGATGAGATTGTGAAGCACTTGGTGGTCCAGCGAGATCAACTGGCTGACTCTGAGATCTTGTGGGTGCTGATCTACCAGAAGCCGCTCCATTGAGAGCACTCTGCAAGGCAGTGGCTAATGCTGATGTGTCCGAAGTGAGGGTGAGTCGTGATGTGGCTGAAGACGTGGATGTTGGTTCTCTCGTTGATGGTGGTCTGGCAAAGATGCCGAGGACAAAGATAAGAGGCATTCAGTTGATTTTTCTTCATTGCCCATCATAAGCAATTAATACGGCTGTCTTTTTTTTACAGCCGTAAACTAAGTTCGTTACTTATTACGAAAGCAACTGCATTAGCCAGTTACTCGAGCAAGCCGGTGACTTTATTTACAGTGGAAGTGAATGCGCCACTAGTTTATCTAAACTCCTCAAGAACAACGCCACGTGTCTCCACTATGATATCTGTAATGTGATGGTTCTCTTCAGGGCTATGCTTTCTAACTATTAATACAACAATTTTAATATTTACAGCATGCCTAAAACCAAATTTTGACTCTCTTCAATGAGTCCATTGTATGTCAAAACCCTGAAGAAATGGCTGAAGAGAAGATGAAAGAGTTTGGATAGAATTAGTCATGTTAAATGGTACAGAAGTTAGTATAGTTTATGATTAAATGTTAGTGATCGCTTCAGGGTCTCATATTGTTATAAAAAGTTGAGGGTAGTTGAGAAGAAAAAAAATAGAATTAGGAAAAAACACAAGTGAAATATAGGAAACAGCAGTGAAATAATGCATAGCGATAAACACCTATTTTATGAACATAAACAAGATGCTTAATAAAAAAATGTGCACGATTACAAAAACATAAATCGCGATTGAAAATTTGGCACAAGAGACACATGACGCTGCTCTATAAGAAGCTCCAAAAAGAGTATATGTATGTATATATATATAAGTATAGGAAAAAGAGAGAGAGAGAGTTCTGTATAGCTTCTCTTGTTATATGTATCGTACTGAAGTTATTTTTTTCTTTATGCGTCACCTTCGGAGCTTGTCCAACTTTTCCAAAACAAAACGCGCCGAAATCAAATGCAACTGATCCAGGGATTTGGAAAGAAAGCTTTCGTCGTGGACAAGAAGAAGAGAGAAGACATTTATTATTTGATTGGCGTGGGGGAGGCGATAAAAAAAATTATTACACGTACACACAACATACTTTCTTCTTTTCCAAAAAAATCAGAATTCTGATTAAATGGAATAAGAGGAAAAATAATCATCATAATCTGTTGATTAATTAGATTAGAATGGAAATTATATCTTACCGGAAGAGACTATGAGATGCACTGGACTGAATTTTTGCTCCATTTCCATTAGTTGATGAAGAAGCAAGCATTGATGATGGCTGAGGCTCACTGGCTGACCTTTGTGCCAACGCTGGGGCTCTGGATGTCCTTGAAGAGGCAATTGGCGCAGCTGGAGCAGTGCCAGGCATCTTCTCAGTGCTGGAGCTGTCTTTGGATGAGTCCAAAGACTGCTGGAGTAACGCCAAGATCAGTCTGATATCTCCAGCCATTGTTCTTTCTAGCGATGTTACTTGACGTGATAGTTCATCTATCCTTGTATTTATTTCTTCTAGCGGTCGACCTGGTCCACTTTGAAAATCACCTAAATTAAAAGAAATCATGTTCTTCATTATTTGAGTATATTGATCAAATGAATGATATGATGTACATATGGTCTCATAACACACCGTGCGAATGTTGCTGAAGCTGTTGCTGTTGTTGAGGAGGTGAAGGTGTAGTGTAATGACTTGAGGCATTTGAAACTGGTTGAATGATACTGTGACTAGCAGCAGAACTGTCTCCAGTTGCTGAACTTCGACGCGGGGGCCTGGTCAATTGTGTCGTTGCTGTGATTTGAAAAGATGATGATTGATATCAATTTTTGAGGTAAAACGGAATGTGTATTAACAAATTTTTATCCTTTTTTTTTATTATAAAAAAATGATAAAACAGTGAAGATCTATTACTAACGAATAGAAGCTAGTTCGTGCATTACTTGAACAAAAAAAACGATCCATATAAATAATTGTGAGCATGCCGTCTTCGGTGAGATTGACGGTGGTAGAAGTGCCCATTTCTTTTTCATTTTCTTTCTGAATGTTGATTTTTTCTCTACTTTTTTTTTCAGTTTTCAATCAACATACTGCTTACCTTGTTTAGCAAGATAGTCGTGACTTGTTAGCGGCTGAAGATGAATCTTGTGCTGTCGTAGATCCGGAATACTGCGCTTGAGATGGGTTAGCATGCCTGAACAACCAGGTTTCAAGGCGTTAAACGGACTTTTTAGGCAAATCCAAACTTTTTTAATTTAGCCAACAGGAAATAAACGATGAAAAATTCGAAAAGATTTGAATGGAGTAATGTTAAACACGCAAAGCGCGATTTGCCCCGAGAGCCCGTACTTACATGAAATGATGACATAACAACGCGTATTTTAAAATATTAAAAATGAAGCGATCGATGAAATGATAAAAAAATTTTACTGATAGAGCATTGATTTATAACCCAAGACGAAACACAGATGATTGCTAAAAATTGAACCCAAGCATCCGCGAACTTTTTAAAAATTAACGATGCCAAAACGCGTCTTCAAGGTTGTGCTAGACCTTGAAGAAACACACTATTATATCGTGCAAAAAAGGAACCGCATTCAGGAAAAATTTTTTTTATATATTCGAAGGGTAAATACTTAGATTAGATAACAATAGAAACAATTTTAATGGAGTATCCTTTGAGTGTATTATTTTCTTTCTCACCAGTGATTGAATTTAATGTTGAGCTTCTTTGCTTTGGCTCATCAAATTCTAGATTAAGTGGCGTAACATCTTGGCCTGCTTTATCGGTACTGAACTCCAATATTCCATGACCACTTGATTTATCACTGTAAATGAAACAAATAAACACGTGAAAGGTTAATAATTGAAAAACCTGACCGAAGAAATTATTAAAAAAATTAACAAGTTGTTATAAATATAATACTTACTAATCATCACCATCATCTTGAAAAGAATCTTGACGACCTGTTGGAACTAAATGAGTGTTTGGAGCACCTATTACACCGGGCCCATATCTATAGCGGGGTGGACGGAACGCAAACCTCCTTGTATCTCCATCAATATCAGTTGGAGTACTAACTGGGAACCTTGCTGATATTGGATCAACCCCGGCTTGTTCTTCCTGCAAGTAATTCATGTATAATTATTGACTATGTTAACAGTCATTGATTAATCAATCAATTAAACCCTTACGTCTCTCATGTTAAACGTGATTTCCAAATTTTCGATGAAGTGTTGGTGAAATTCTGGATATAAAGCAAGCACATCTAATAAATCATCACGATGAATTTTATGAAGATCACAGTAAGTTAACGCTCGGACATTGCAGGAAGACTTTCCAACGGTTGGATGCTCACAAGGATTTTCTCCAAATATATCTGGCGGATTTAATATCGCCATAACAATATCATTCTTCAGGATTTCAATACTACCCCGGGATATAAAATAGAGAGATGTGAGAACATCGCCTCGATGTACTAAAGTATCTCCAGGTGGAGCGTGAGTTGTTTTGAATTTTAAAGAGAGAGCTCTATAGAAGAAAAGTTAATATGAATATTTGAAGATTATAGTTATGTAGAAATATACTGATATTATATGTAATGTTGTCACCTGAGACATCCCGGGCTGGCCTTTTCAAAAGCTTTACAATTGTTAAGAAGCTGTCGGTTGAGGTGAAGACATATGTCAGCCTGAAGACATTCAGGAAACCCTTTCAATACGCTATTCATATCAATGCCATTGGTGTATGTCCAAGCGTGTTGGAAATATTCTTCTAAACGTTGACGTAATGGATTGGGAATTTGATGAAATCGTATGAACTCTCTAACTCGCAGCATCTGCGTATGATACCGTGCTGTGCCGCTATATAATCGTTGAATGATCGCCGAGACATTACCGAAGATGCTTGCATACATCAAAGCTAAAGAATAAAATTATGATCACTGAAGGATAATAAATATTTCTATATGAAAATTGATTACATAGAAATTGTTATTGTATTACTTATTTAATATAACAAAATAGATATTACTCATTATAACTAGCTTACTCAACTCTATTGGAACTTTTTTTGCATATCTCTAATAAATCTAAATGCAAACAAGAAAAAAAGCTTTCAACTTACATCCAATCAACATCACAACGATGGTAAAAATTTTTTCAGTATCTGTATTTGGAGCTACATTACCGAAACCTACAGATGTGAGACTGCTGAATGTGAAATACAAGGCTGTAATGTAACGACTCTGAAAACAAATAGAATTATTTTGAGTTTCATTTGTTAAAACGTATTTTGAAGTAATTGTAAAACATTCTATTTATGAACTCACTTTAATACTGGGACCCCCAGTGTTATTGTGATAATAAAATTGATGTGTATCATTCGCCAGAGCATCCAACCATCCAACCTTACTCTTGAGGGTGGGTCTTTCAGCATGACCAATAGCATACCTGCAAATTAATATAGCAAAAGATTTAATAGAGCTGGAGAATATTGTTTTGATGTTTTTTTTCATAAATTCTATCATCGATAGAAGATCGATAATCCATTAATTAGTTTCAATCAACTTTGAGAGACATTTCTCTTTTATAACACTCACCAAATGCAAGCCAACCAGTGAGCGATCAGCGCAAATGTTGCCATGAGAAGTAGCAATACTGCTGCTCCATATTCACTATAACGATCTATCTTTCTTGCTACTCTTACCAAGCGGAGTAAACGCGCAGTCTTTAACAATCCCATCAGGGTCGTCGTCTGAAAATATCCCATCATATTTTTTTTATTTATCATTTTCTGTCGTTGTTATTTTTTCTTCTTTCTTACATATTATGTATATTAGATATTTTTAAAATTTAGTCACACTTTTTAAACGCAAAACAAGTATAGCAAGTGTATTGTAAAAAATTTAATAGCTAAAATTTAGATGATTTTAATAGTAATCAAAGAAATCACTTACAAAAAATGTTTTCCTTATGAAAGTGTTTTTTTTTTAATATTTCAATTTAAATTAGGAATATACCTATTTAAATACCTAATAATGAACTAAGTTTTTTTAAAATTGGTTTTTATTCGAGCAGTTATTTAAAACTGCTTCTACAATATTTGATTTTGGTGTTAGCATTTTTAGAAAGACTCGTTTAACAATATTCACAGGCTAAATATGAGAGTTTATTTATTCTCTGAAATTATTGTTCGTCATTTCATTTTCTTAGCTAAACACACTAGTACAATTCCCTTAATAGTCTCTACAGATGAAAAACAAGTTCAAATACGTTGGTTCTTTTAGAAAAATATAGAGTAAACTAGAAATAGGAATGCTAGTTTTTAAAAAACTCACTCTTTTTCTCTTAAATTTGCAAATATATGCCATTGACATTTCTATTTTTATATTAACTACTATCAACTATTTGTTTGTTGATTCACAAAAAGTCAAATGTCCATGACATGTGTTTCAGGAGTTTTTAAATAGCTTTTTGCAGTTCTAATTGTCAAAAATAAATCAGAAGAATAAATTTTACTTCAAATTAAGTACGTAAGTGATTTCTTCAAATTATTCTTAAGACAAATATTTAAATTTAAGCCTTTGACTTTATTTTATTAAATAATTGAAATTCCAGAAAAGCAAACAGAAGGCTTAGTGTGCATTTGAGATTTTAAAATCATGTGGTTTGTAATTTAATTGTCTGATTTTATGTGATTTATATCAATAGAGAATATCTTGATCTCGTAACATATCGAATCAACATAATAAAGATCAATCGACAATACCAACATTGTGTATCTATTCGTAGATTTATTCTACTGAAAGAATAGTTACACTACTGTGTGGTTTAATACTGCACGTCTTGAGGATTCAATTTGATTCTGCATCTCAAGAGACACACCCGGGAATAAATTAATTGCACAGAAATAGAAAATAGGTTACTGAGAAAAGAAAAAACTCTACATAAAAAAATTGTATGTTTCATTGTAATTAAATATTAATTGAATGGCAAAATAAAAATCTGTTATTAGAATTAGAGATAAAATAAATTTTTAATTTAAAAAAAGTCATCAGTAATAGGATATTGTATAAAATGTGAAGTAGATGAAGCACTCAAAAAGCTTATTCAATAGAACGATGGTTGTCGTAAGCGAATATGAAATTGATTGACTTATTAATACATTAATGAATTTTTGCGTCTGACCATTATCTACTTATTTTTGAAGCTTGCAACATAATAAACTCGTATAGTATCATTTAATAATAATATATGTTGGAGGAAGCAAAGTAGAAAGAACGAAATTTCATAAGTATTAGATTTTTTTCTGATTACAAAAGTATGATAGATTTTTGGTGTATAAGAGTGTATAAGTTGCAAGAGGTGCAAAAATTCTTTAGATAAGTGTTTGGTAATTGTCACACGGTCACACACCATGACTTTGAATTTCAATTAGTCATGGAATGTTGAACTGACCTCGTCTTTATCCAAGCCGAGCTACAGAAACGTTAAATTGATGTTAAAAATTCAATTTTATAGATGAAAAAAAATAACGAAAAAATTAGACATGATAATATAATTATACATGAGTATAAATTATAATTAATTGACTGAAAGTGATAAACTGTTACCCAAAAGCAGCTACAAGAGGGTTTCATATTAACGGATGTAAAGTAGTTTATCAAATTTTCTAGGATAATAATTGCGATGCAAATTGAGGGTTTGAGGTCAGATTTTTCGTTATTACTTCAAGTTATATCTATGTATATATAGACAGATATTTTATATATATCACACCCACGACACCATCGCAACATTCATCGTGCTATAAGGCCAAATTACCGGAAACTCATTTTATTTTGGATTTTATGATGACGACTAATGTCAATAAAATCACCATTTAATAAAATAAATTTTTAGTGGTATTTAATTTATCATAAACAAGGGCGAATAATTTAAGAAATCAAAAAATTTGAGCAAGTGACAAATCAAATTAGCAATAAATAATCAAGACCATGAAGAAAAAAAAAATATGAAATGTAATTTATCTTTAGTTGGTCAATAAAATCTCACCTCATCTGTATTATATCCATACAAAAGAAGATCAAAGGGTATGGCTGCTACTAAATCGATGATGAACCAACCCTTCAAATAGTGGACGGCTATCTTCCATGGTCCTGAGACAACTTCGTCGTTGGTGTTTACAAAAGTCGTACGGAAATTTATGAGGATGTCCACAACAAATGTAACGTCGACTGTTGGCAGTAGAAAGAAATTTATGAATGACTAAGATTATATCAAAAGATTTTAATTAAAAGTTGTTTTGATTTAATGCAGCTTTATTGAATTTCTTCGTTATTTTTTTATTTATTTTAAAACAAAAATAAAATTAAATACATATAATATAAATCATGCTTATCAAAGTGCTGTTATTAAAATAGTAAAAAATTCGTGAGAAATGCTTATTAAAATTGACTCTAGTTTCTGGGAAGAAAAACAAATAAAATTATCATTATTATTATTATAAAAAACAGTTAAATAAATACTAAATTTATATAAATGAATTTTCATTAAAAGTTTTCATTAAAACGTGAAGTAAAATTGTCGTTATTATCATTATTCATCTTATAAACTGAAAATTAGATTAATACAACTAATTTTAATATTAAGCATAATTATTGCAGCTACGAAACTACATTCTCAGCAATAATAGTTATATAATAAGAATAATACCTTTGTAATTTAAAAAAGTATTACTTGTTCTACTTAAAAACAAGTTAAATATAATCTTTAATTATCAAAACCAAAAAATATGCACTCTAAACTAAATCTAAGAAATTACCAATGAGATCGATGATGACGATAGGATCATCGCTGTACTTTTTGGCTTTTCTGTTGTTATAATCAGGCTCACTAAGTAAGAAAGCAGCTACATAGGGTGTAAATATGGCTGTATACAAGACAAGCAGTAGAATAATCCAATCCCAGACAGCCTTAAAAGGAGAGTAATGGAGTATTGTCCACTTGTGGATTCGAGGTGATTGCAACTTATATTCCGGCAGAACATCTGCACCCAAAGATAGAACCTGTTGATAAGAGAGAAAAAATCATATTAGTTCAATCAATTTAATGGTTTTACTAGAATTACTAGACTATTATTATCCTCATCGTATAATTCTATTATCACTAAACATTAATTGCTTCAGCGAGAAGCTAGAGTAATTATTCTATCATCATCATCTTCATGAGTTTCATATTAAAATAAACAGTAAAGATGATATCCTTGTGGAGACTTATTTTTGTAACTTGGTAAATAATACTAGAGGAGCTAAATCAGAGTCAAGCAGTACCTCTCTGGCAGCATAGTTCTTAGAAGAACTCATCCTGGTTGAATTATCCACCATTTAAATGAGCTCATTTGAATTAAACTCTCGAGAAAGGATGATACACTCACTATCCTGCCGACAACGACATTCGTACTGGTTGACGAAGTTACTACGAGGGTGCATAGGTCAGGGCGCACCCTCTATATTACGAGTTGTGACTGCCCCTCTACTCCTTACAGCAATACATCGGTTACTAGCCTCATACCCGGCACATTTTCCACCCTGCTTCAACGTGACACAAGTCGATGAATCTACCCTACTGACACACTCTTTGCTTCGCTTGCATACAAGTCAATAGACTGCAGGAGGAGACATACAAAACGATTAAGATTTAGCGCGGGGAAAAAATAATCACAAATTCGTTGGCTTTGCGTGCAGCAAGTCACGCTGACCTTATTTTCTTTATCGATATTTTTCTCATTTGCTACTTTCTTTACTCTATTTCCATTGGATAATACTCTATTTATTGCTCTATACACTCTTATAAACTATGCTAAATTAATTAATAACACCGATTTTTAATTAAATAATGGATTATTCATTAATTACCGTCGATAAAGTTGATCCAAACTTTTGCTTCTTGCCATTTTTAAAATAATTACGTAAAATTCTTGCTGGCATTCTAATAATCAATGTTAAATGCATTCTCAATATTCAACCGTCAGGAATGGTATAATTTTTTCCAGTTGATGTGTTATTTGTGTTTTGTTTATTTGCAATAAGAGAAAATAGAATATTGGATTATTTCAATATTGACCAATATATTTGCAACAGCATTCTTTTTCTATTTTTTTCACCGACATCCTTCCACTTTGTATCAACAACATCAAAACAACAAAATATTATTTCAATTTATATGGTAAGTCACTTTTTATATCTTATGCATTTACTTTCTTTTTTTGATGCTTAACGAATACTTATATTAAATTTGCATGGGTAAAAAGCTCACTTGCAGAACGACATACGCGAATAAACTAAAACTGAGGACCACGAGTTCATTAAAGCGAGGTCGGCGTCTTGCGATGGTGATCCCTGAGCGTAATAATATCCACGAAAAAAACATTCGCCAGTTGGTGGTGGTATCATGAAAGTTTTCCCTCCTCCTCAAGCCTTTGAGATAATTTTAAAATAGTCTCTATACTACTCTATAGTGTATTTCTATACTTCCAATTTTACCTTGATACACACTCCTTCCTGGTATTTCGTCATCATCTCCATAAATAAACCATCAAATTACTTATAATTACTATCAAAATCCTTTTTTCGTCATTATAGTTCATTATCCTGTCTTATCTTTCCTTTCCAGGATAATAAACGAAAAATTATTCATAAGCTTGGAAAATATTTAAAAGCTTTCCAATTATATTTCTTTTTAGCAAGTTAATGGAAATTTTTCATTCCTTTTTTTCTTTCTAATTTGATGAAAATCAATAGCCACAAGTTGCAGGAAATGAAAAATTTTTTTTTTATCTATTTTGCGAAATACTTGTTCAATAAATATCAAATAATATAATGAAATTTTCATGGAAAAAGTGTTTTTCATTTGCTTTAAAATTTGTTTTGCATTTTTTCTGGTATATTTTTAAATTTAGAAAGAATGCCGGTTGTAAGAAAAACATAATAATTGTATTTATTATTTCTAATGATGTAATAAATATTGAAAGAGATAATAATAAAGTTCATCAAATATTTTTTAATTGCATTTACGTACATATTATTGACAAGGACAATTAAACCATTTTTATAGCCATGGTAGTGGCATATATATTTTATGCAGAAGAATGGAGGATGCATATAGTGGCATATTGGTGGTGAATACATTTCATACGAAAATAGCACGAGAAAATTGTTGATGACAAGAGAAAGAGAGTGAAAAGAAGCAAACGCGTTGGAACTAATTCTTTGGAAAGCTGCTATTAAAAGAAGGGAAAGAAAAAAACGTGACAAATAACAGTGGAGTTAAAAAATTTCCATAATAATCATTTTAAAAAAAAATATTTATATAGAAAAATTGAAGAGAAATGGGCAATTTTATGCAAAACTGTACCTTTATAATTCCTTTTGCATTGGTTAATTATCCAAGAAAATAAAGAACTCGTACATAAATTATATACATAAAACGTCTAATCGATAAATCAATTAATTGACGTACTACTGTAAAGATGATTTACTCATAAGGACATCGTTGAAGATGAAAAACATGATCATCATACATCAGAATTTGACATAATGGATTTATTGAAAAGCAATGCCATCCACTTAAACTGATTATAAAGGATAACTTCAAATTGGTATTATTAAGTGTTGGATAGACTTGTAATGAAATGATCAAAGTTTCTTTGTGATAAAAAGTTTGTTGATAAATTGTTTGAAAGCGATGCTATACACACTAAAAAGTGTAAATATAAAAAGTATTCCAGCACATTTAGAAGTTTGAAAAAAAAGCTGCAATATTTTCTCAGTCATTGAAAGGCTTTATAAATTTTTAAAATAGATGACTCTCGACCCTGAGACCTGTACTCCTGCATCCAGAAAAAGAAGGAACGAATGATCAAGAGACAACAATGATGATGAGTTATAGTACAAGTTTAGCTTTACCTCTTTAGTAACAGCACTCTTGATAGATGCAGGCGCCGTAGGTCCTCCGTTTTCAACTAAGAGGCTCTTAGTACTACCACCTTTAACTCTGACACTACTCCATCTTTGCTTAGATTGTTGCTGAGATGAAGACTCTGGGGGCTCAATAACTATTGGTGTTGGTAATCGTTCGGGATTCCTTAAGGATCCACTTCGATTTGATCTAGAGTATTGGTGTCCAGCAGATCTTGAAGACGTCATGGTACTTGTAGGGCAATCTGCAATGTCGCCTTGTCCCAGAAGGTTCTCCGACATTGCCCGCGGGGACTTGATACACGTCATTGTCGTTGGCACAAACGTGTTTGCCGATGAAACAGACTTGACTAAGAGATTCTTACTCTCTCGTCCCCAAGCTGCCAACTTACGACCTAGAGGATGAGTCAACGATCTTTTGGGCCAACCAATGCTGAAGAAAGTCTCTTTAATTTTCTTCGGACAGTTTCCGGTGTCAGCTATTTCTTCTTCGTCGTCTTCGTCTTCTTCTTCTTCTTTTTTATTCAGTTCACTTGGAGACAAAATATTTTCCTCTTGATCCTGATTGATATTTTCTAAGCGACATTTTCGATTTAATAAAAATGAAGAAGACACTGATGATGAAATTGATGAAGATACAGAAGCTGATGAATAGTTTTTTCGTTTGCATGGAGTGCAAACTGTAGCTGTTGTTGATGCAATGAAAGGATTGTATTCATCTTCATCGGCAAAATAATCTTCTGATGATTGGGAACGTTCTTTAGACTCTCGTTTTTCTACTGACGTTGAACTACTAGATGATGTTGTTGTTGAACTACAATGAGTCTTGATTACCGGAGTATTGTGACCAGTACTAGACCAGGAACTCCAAGTGGAGAACTTTTGAAAATAAATTCGTTTATTTTCTCGTTGTGCGATCTTAACAAGGTCTGAACCGGCCGAGTCACTGGTAGTATCTGATATTGGTCTGCTATGGTACGCAGATGACCTTCCAACTATTCTTTTCCTCCTTATAACAACTGGCGGTGGGAGACGATCGATTTTTTCGATCAAATAACTTGATGTTTCCTGTTGTATGTCTTGTTCACCTTTCTTTCTTACACTTTGAACACTCCAACCCCAATCTTTATCCACCCTCCCCCGCTGCTCCTCGTCGTTTATTTTCTCGTGTAGCTCAATCTTGAATAATTCGCATTTAGTTATCCATAATAGTAATAATGATTCATCTTTTTTACTCTCTTCTTTATTTAATTATTTGATATTTAAGTGTCATTGGACTCTTGTACAGAAATTATTGCGGAAAACTTGAAAGACAGTTGGGTGGTTTCATTTATTATTGCTAAATTGTTTAATTTGTTTATTTTATACGAATCCAATGTATACTTAATTCGTGATTGTTTGCAGGTAATTAAATTTTTTTGTATAACATATAAACCAATAATAATTTATATATGTGAGTATTCACAATAGGATATAATTAACAATTAATAAATTCTTATTGGATGGAACGTATCACCAGTCTCGTGCGTGCAAAGGTATGTTTGCATTACTTAATCAATTATTAGTAATATCATGAATACAAAATTTTAATCAATAAAGGTAGTAATTAACAAACTTTCGCCATATCAGTCTGAAATAATACTTCAAAGGTGCGCAAGACAGATTTAATAAATTTATCTGTCTCGAAGGTTTGTGCGTATTTCAATTAGTTAATTAATTATAATTACAGTTATATTGTTTGTTATTCCCTTATTATTATTTATATTTATTTGGCACAATTTAATGGCAAACTATATTATCAAACCACTCGTATGATAAATAAACGAGTCCACGCGTTAATTTCACTATTTATCACATCAACGTTTCTGTCTTTCATCAATGTTTTTATCACTGACAATTTTTTTCGACGTCTACGACGTCTTCTTACTCTGAATTGTTGTGTTTTCAAACCAGTAAAACTAAGCGACATTGAATGCACTGAATATCTGATGGTGACAAGTCTTGGGAGGAACTTTGAAACTGATGCATCGCGTGAAATCTCCACAATCAACCAATTGATATTAATTAATTTGGCAAAGTAATTAACAATTATTTTAAGTGATGATGATTAATTGTTACCAGACAATTGGTGATAAAGTCATAATAGAAATTAATATTTTCATTGATAGTTGTTGTAGTGAAATAAAAAAATTCACTCATTTTCGTAACGCATTTATAGATGGAGATTATAATGGAAATGCTGATAGTTGTCGATATGAAAGACCACCCCACCCGCTCACACAAATATAAGCTTTTACACGATTTCCACTGGGAGTTTAAATGTTTCTAAAAGAAAACCAAGATTTAGGCTATACTTCTTTTTTAGATATAAACCAAAGTCATTTAATTATAATATATATATATATATAATAAATGTTTTCGTTGAACAAACGCGCAACATAGACTTGTTCCTCGTGCAAACGAGCTACTGCGTCGTTTCCGAGAGTTCCTGAGGACAATCAACACAACCGCCACCTGTGCACCAGGCCCTATTGATTCAGAACAGAAAGAAAGTACTATGATGAAAGGAGTGAAAATGCGCACGCGCACATTTCTGCTCGCTATGACGAATACCAGGGTTCGGTCACAGAACTTGTAAAGAGATTGGGATTTAGGACAACTGCAGAGCTGGATAAGACCTACATTCGTTGAGACTTCAAAAACACTTTAAAATCCAATATATAATCCAACTAAATTTGGCAAAATTATTAGATAAAAATTCGAGAACCAATATCGTCCGGAAAACTATTTTTGACATCCTTTCACTATCAAGATATTATTACGAGACCAATTTCTTTCAAACTTTGCTATCAAAATGTTGACAATATTTTTGAAAAAACATTTTTCTAGAGTAGATAAGCAGCTTATTGTTAATACGACAACTTACCTTTTCTTCTTTTGGCTTACACCTTTCATCTTGCTCCTTTTCAATGTCCTCAACGAGGTCATGAAGAAGTCTAATGTCTTGGGGGCTGGGGGATTCGCCGACCCTACCAGCCCCCCCGTTCATCGCACTGTGAGGCGCCAGTTCACACAGGACACCCCGACTACCTTCACCCACTACTACAACAATATTCTCTTCAACAACCTCACCAGCTGGACCAAATGCTTCCTTCCCAACTCCTTTCTTTTCCACCTCCTCCTCCTCCTCTTCCTCGTCCTCTTCGTCGGAAGACTCTTTTAATTTCCAGACTAGGGACAAACTAGACCAACTATTTCTTTTACTTCCACCCTCAGTCAGCCATTTTTGTTCTTCCTCAGCATCGCTCATTTAAGTTTAATTGTTTATTATAACTATGCTTGTGTTTCACTTTACATCTCCTTTATGATTATCATCATCATCAACTTCATTTTTATTTCAGCGATTATTTTGTTTTAGATTAACTCAATTCAAGATTCTTGATCAACATCTTAGAATTATCTTGATTCAATTCTCTTCTATTCATTCTCACCCTCATTCGATATTCATATCTTACTGCACATTGAATTATCATTTAAAACCAGAAAAGCGGATATAAGAGAAAAATGATCAAAGAATAATTCAAAAAAATTGGTATCGCGTGCTCGATAAGACTGAGTATCGGAAAGAATCATGCAAAACTGAACTGAGCATGAATACTAAACATAGGGTTAATTTAATATGCTATGTAGCCTTTTAAATGATTCATAAAACGAATGAATAAATTTATACAGTGAAATTTCTTATTGAATGCAACAAATGGCTATAATCTAAATATCATTTACCCTAGTATAATAAGAGCTAACTGATTATGTACTTTGTGTCATCGGGATATGGAAAGGTAACAATCAAATAGTACATAAATAGTGCACATTGCAAGGACGTATTTCATTGATCAACCCCATGTGATTCAGCTCGTCACTAGTAGCAACCTACTTGCCACGTATTTTTAATTTTTTTGCATTTTTTGACTTAATGAGTTTCAAGTAACTCTAATGACTTGCTCGAATGATACTTTGCAATAAGTGATTAATCGATTATTTATAAATTTATAAATTTTTTTTGCTTTACTATGTCGACAGTTATAAAAATATTAGGTAATAGGAGATGAATCGATGAAAGACTTGGCATGATTCCCAGAGGTAATGTTACCTCGTTATGATTTATCTGCAACTAATCAGAAGATGCAGAATCCTAAAATGAATTTCATAAATACGTAAATTTTTTTCCCCCTATTTTATGAATGATGCTAATTGAAAAATTCGCATTAAGAATTTTTTACAAAATTTAATTCAATTTTTATGAGGCATAAAAATTTAGCTTAACAAGATTAACACAATCAAAAGTTATTTACATGAATTCAAGATGTATAAAAACACTTGAAAGAAAGGATTATTTTTTATAAATTTTTTTAAATTACTTTTATATCAAGATTAAGAGCTGAGTTGATGAAAATTAAAATTGAAGCTTGAATAAATGAGCAATACAGAAAAAATGGTGAATTGAAGAAAAATAATTGATGGTAAGTGAATTAACAACAATGACATGTATAAACAAGCAAATTTTTATTGATAAATCATACGTGTAAAGATATGTTTAACGAATGTTAGGAGTGATAGGAGAGCAAAACGTTGAATCCTTGGACCAATATCTTCCTTATGAATATTTTCAACTTGATCGTAAGTTGGATGTATCAGTAGAAATTTATTGTCACTTGGTACTATTCTTGATAGACGTAATTTAGGATATTAATCAAAACAGCGCGTTTGGACGGAGACAGAAGATCACGAGTGATAAGTGAGAGACACCGTACGAACCGGTGGACACTGCGACACTGACTATTACGCTTCCTAGCGGAGTTGTTAAGAACCTAACCATCCCTCAGTACCACCCCTTTCAATTTCATGTCCATGCGGTCTAGGTCTATCTTTTGGAGAATTAGATTTTCAACAAACTATTAAAAGTTTCATCAAAGAAGAAGAAATTGCATTTAACTAAGACGATTGAATAATCTATTTTTCACTCCTCCTCTAATATTCTCACATGCTAATTACTATCACATTATATGTCCATCATTTTATCCTCGTTCTTTATGTTCACATTAAAATCAGTCTTCCAGAAGACTGATATTCTACAGCATAAAATGCTTCATTAGTTGGCTATTAGTTATTATAACAAGACTATTTTATAGCTTCGCATAATGAAGACAGTTTACATGATAATTGAAAGAAAACTTATGTTTCAATTAACATTTTACTCACCTGAGCTACTTTCTCGCCCATGTTAGGTGTATGCATGACTCCTTGAAAATATTTTGCTGAGCCGTTGTCCTGGAGCGAAAACTGTGTCACAAAATTATAATTATTAGAATAAGGATAGTTCTGAATACTAAAAAGAAAAATAAATTATTACAGCTTAATTAATTTATGTAGAAAATATGATAAATACTTTTCACTAATTTGCATTGAATTGGCTGTTCTGTTGAGTATGTTTATTGATAATTGAATGATATTTTAAAAAATCAATTAATGTAAAAATAATTATACGTTGATCCATGAGAAGTGTGTAAAGTGAATGAAATAGATGAATAAATAATTGATTACTCGTTTTAATGATTGACCATAAAAAAAGTAAGTAAAAATGATGCCAATGTACAATCGAATCAGATTTCGCTTCTGTCAAATAGACAACGTTTACGCCGCGGGGTCTTATGTCTAAATTTAATTCTCACAGCACACTGGCAAGAATGGTTAAAAAAAGAATGAGCAACTCTGTTAGTTGACTTACTTTGTGTTTGACGGAGTCCGAACCCATTTGACTCAGCGACGGCGATTTTCTTTCCTTTGATGCTCGCCATCTCTGCAAATCACTTTCTGATGCTACTCCGGGAAATACTTTAGAGTGCTTAGTTGCTAGAAAAGAAAAAAATTTATGTGAAGAGATTCCTAGTGCATCGATAAAAAAAATTCATTTTTAATTTCACGCTTTAGTTGTTTTCTACTCTAAAATCACTATATTCCAATGTTGATAGCAAGACTTGAGCAATCACACTCACAAGTCTGATAGATAGAATGTTAATTTGAAAGCCATTTTTAGTGGTGGCCAGTGTTATTGAATTATTTGTAACGAATTTTAAATAATATATAACTATCTATAAGCTGCATCCAGTGTATATTATTAATGTAAGAATGACAACACTTTTACTTTTCAATTTTTATCCTTAAACTAATCTTCAAATCTGATTACAATTTAGAAAAAAATCATCTATAATTGTGATATAAGGTTTTCTTTTTGTTAATCATTGTTTTTTGCAATTTAATTGAGATGATTTTTTTCTTTTCTAAGTAATTAATTTACTAATTCATTATTTAATACAATTCAGAATATATTCAATCAATAGTACATTTAAAAATATTTAAAGCATCAGATGATTTACAATTCAATCCGATAAATGTTTTAACTAATTACATTTTTTTTATCTATGTGTAAACAAACTTTGGATTGAGTTTAAGAATATCCTGTAAAAATATTACCACTCAATTAAATTATAATAATAATAAATAATAATATAAAATTTTGAATAAATATGCCTAATTAACAGTAGTTAATATTTTCTTAATGATAATCTAAAATGGTTATTTTACAATGATTTGTTATTTGTTAAATAATTAAAGTCTATATTATTCAGTGGATAATGATTTATGTTGAAAAGTAGTAATATGTAGGAGAAGAGTCTTGAATGGGTGCAAAAAATATTTTTGCATAGATTAATAAAAGCCTAAAAATAGTAAAAAGCCCTAATCAAGCATAGACAGTAAGTTATTAAAGAATTATTCGAGTTATTATGAAGTAACATGATAGAAAAATGTCCAAGATGATTTTAAATTGAAGACAGTAGTAAAAGCCCTCTGTGGATAGACAAAGCCGATGGTGTAATATATGTGAGTGATTGGTAAGTCAGAGTTCTGTGCAAGCGGCATTCGGCAAGATACCGCAAGCTTTGTCTCGTATTAATGAAAAGCTGTTTTTACGCCCGGGTGGTAGGATTCACTATCCATCCCTCCCTTCAATTGTTTAGCATTTTTTTAAGTATGTTGTTCATTGCTTTTTATCATATTTTTACCTTCCATGAGATTATCAACAGTCGCTGGCCACCGCTCGAGCTCTGGTGCGCGTTCGCATCCTCGACTCGGTACTAAAATATTATTTTATCTCAGCTTTTACATTTTATTTCATTTCAATCGGCATCCTACTTTTTTTATAACCAATCTTTCTACATATTCAATTCATTACAGGTATGATTGTCATTCCAAATATAACAACCAAAACAATTATAACAACATTCTTATCAAAGTATACAGGAGTGGATTTTGATAATAAGCTCAAAGATCAGGCACTAATGATTATATTATCAAGATATATCTATATTGTATTAAAGATAAGGGTTTTTTCATAATCATATTCAATTTATCATACACACATATATTAAATTATGTTTAGATACTTTATCTAAATGATTGATAAGTGAACCTGAACGAAATATTTAATACTTACGAACACTGCACGTAAGACTCCTACAAGGTATTCTAGACACGTCTGACTTAATGATTCGCCTAGAAATGGCATCCAAACTAGCAGCGTGGGAAACGCTTCTCGACGGTCCCTCATTTCCGTTTCCGGGTGAGGAATTCTGACCGTCCCAAATACCGGATTTTGGCGAAACCTAAAAGATAATAGTGCTGAAGAAATGTGCTGACTATCAAGGAGCTGATAAGTAAAAAATTGGCAAGATAATACTAACATCGCTTACACCTTCTGGACTAGCTATTGGAGCAGTAGCAATAGTAGTTGTAGTAGTTGCTCGTCCATTATTCGTCGTTGTCATGCTAGGTGGTAATCCTTGAACACTGTTGCCGACTGGAATTGGCAATGGAAGAGGTGGTCCAGTTGGTGGAGGTGGAGTAACCATTCTTGAAGATCCCCAAGATTCTACCATTGTTGGTGAGCCGCATGTTAATGGACTGCAATTAAAATTTCATTTAATCAAGGAAGCCTTGTATAATTCAAGAGTAATATTACATTTCGCTGAACAAATTTGCTTATACTGATAAAATAATGAATATAGACATGTAAGGTAATGGAGTAATAGGAAAAACAACAGAGTCATAGCAAAATGATCGATAAATGGACGCCATGAGGTCGGAGGTCAGCCGGTCTCTGGATCGCCAAGTGTGTCAGTGTTAGGTCAGAGTTTTACCAATCGATATACATATATGACGTACGGAATTCAAGTTAACTGCAACGCGTAGTTAAAACTTTTTTTGCATATGCTTATTACCAAGAATCAAAATAATGTCCTGAATTCATAGTATAAGCGGCAACTAATTGATGATAAGTAAGCAGAAAAAAAAAATATATAAATAGTCTAAGCAACCTTGATTGAATTGCTTTAGATTTTTTCTTTCTGGGTGACAATTAAATTGATTTGTTTTCCTTTGCGTGTATTTCCTAGTGAACAAGAGACATAGATAAACATTTTTCAACCTTGAAAAAACAACTCATTGTACTATGGATTAGTAACATGAACGAAGAGAGATATATATTAAGTCAGAATTGTAAAATATTTGTCATTTGGTCATTAGAATGTTCTCAAGCATATCCGTTGTGTTAAACTTCAGGGTCTCCATTACTTTCCTGAGGATTGTCGCGTGATTCCTCATGTATATAGCCAAGTGATCCGTGTTCCGTACTTCATGTCGTTGTCAGAGGTTCAGTCTGACGCGACACCAACTAGTTCTACTTGCGTGTCCTTATAGTGATTTGCTCTCTACTGTTCTATATACATCTATTTACTATTGATATATGCATATATTATATATGTTTCTCTATCGTTTCTCTTTTTCTCCCTATTCAACGTGTCTTCGTACCACTATGCTTGGTTTACTCCCACAACTTACTGTGGAGAACACGTTTTTTAATCACAGGGATCTCGTTCAAGTCCCCTTTTGATTTCCCCCGAGTCCTCGCATTCCACGACACGGAAATGTAGATGAGAATATGAAAAAAATAATAAAAGAATGGAAAAAATTAAATGGAAATCATGTAAGCCATATACCTATTTTACCAGAATATTTTATTGTTCAGTAATTTATTATAATGCCTTAATTTTTTCTTGCTAAATTACTTGGAATAATAAAATTAATTTTTTCTACCAACAAAAAAGTATTACTATGTAATGTCAAATCAATACATAGTGTTTTCTAGAACTTTCATTACCTCCATTTGTTTTTATTGTTGTTCTAAAAACAAATTAAGTAATTACTTTTTTTAACTTACCAATTTTCAGAAGCATCCTCGTCTAATGTGGTCCCATCAGCATGTTGTCGGTGTTGAGGCACTGTTGATGCTGCTCGAGGTCGACTTCTAATTCTAGAAGTACCAACCATTCCAGTCCTGGACAATCCAGCTCGGAATGATGCCCTGGCCCTATCGACTGTTCCAGTCAATGTCATTGAATACTCATTAGTACTTGTTAGTCATCCAACTAAATTTTTTATAATATGTTAATTCTTTTATACAATAAATTACATATAAAACAGTCAAGCATAGTTGAATCAGCTACTAATAATGAACAGTATAGTTATTTTTATGTCAAAAATTAATTATAATTTTTATATATATTTTTTCATCTTCTTTATTTAAGTTTTAGAATTTTTAATTAAAATGCTGTTAGTGTAGAGGGAAAAGAAGACATTTACTGTATTGAAGAAAAACTACTTTGATTTATTTAAAGTTGGCTGTTGTTTAATGAATTAAATCATTTTCAGTATCTTCCTATCAAGTTAACTAGGGCATAACTGTAGCAAGTTGAATAAGCAGCATTTTACAAAACTTTTTGTAATGAAAGTTGATAGCATAATAATTTGCAATGACAACTAATAGAAACGAAATCCAATGTTTGTTAATTTATTGAAGATTTAAAATAAAAAAAATTAATTATACAAATTGTCTCTTAAAAATATACTACTTTATAAACGAAAACAATTCTGTTTTAAATTAATGTAAAAGGTATTTGAATAATTTATGTATTTAGTACTTTTCACGTTCCGGATTAATGAAAAAATTAATCAGAAATATTTTTAAGAATTTATGTTGCATTAATTTTTTAAATTTATATTTTAATAAAATTAAATAGTAAAATTTTTAAATGATATAGTAAATCAGATTTTTTTGACCTATTTAATATCCCGGAAATATTATCTGGGCCACTGTGAGTTTTTTTTATTGGATAGACACCTAAAAAAGTTAAAAGCAATCATTTTTTTAGTATTTTTAAGACAGTTTATAATATTTTCATATCATAAAATTGCTATTTGAATCATATTGCATTTAATGCAAAAATAAACCAGATTTTTATTTTAAAAAAGTGGCCCAGTTAACCCACCCTCACTTAGATTGTAGATTGAACAAAAGAAAATTATTTATAGATTATTTACAGCCATTACTTTAAAACTATCTCTGGTATTTTCCTGGAATTTTATTAATTAAAAATCAAAGCATCCTGATGTTATCAATATGTAAATTTTCTTTAATTTGTCTGCAAAAATTTAATTTCTATAAGACTATCAATCAAATTTAATTCTCTATCAGAAAAATGATTAAATAAATAGAAAATATTATAATTGAACAAGAAATTTCTTCAATAAAAATTGAAAATGGAATAATGTATTATTAATTATTCATTTATTTTTCCTCACGATATTCTATCAGTTACATATTTTTACTTGTAAAACATTCCTCTCAAGGCCTAGTATACTTTTGAATAAAATATTTATATTCTAATAAAAAAAAACAAAATGACAATAATGCAAGAAGTTTATTAGACGTTTTTATTGCAGGTAAGATAAAACAAGGAGAAATGATAAAATTTCAACCATAGACGGTCTGTGAACATGAATCAATGGTAGCAATGGAGATATACGTGTGTACGAATGACAGTTGTCGACAAGCAGGGAACCTAGGAGCCGCGTCGACGTCGGCGACGACGACTACGACTGTAACATTTATTACCAGGTCAGGGTTAACAGTTTAGACGCGTTTACAGGCTAACCAGCCACTGCTGCGGCGTCCTCTAAAAATAGTCTGGCGTGTGCGAACGAATACTCCAGATACAAAACGCGATGTGCAATGATGTTGACGTGTCTTTCTCTTATTCTATATTTTTTTTACACCTTTCCTATGTTGCTCGTGGCCTTGTTTGTATTTGAACAATTGACAACAAACCCGAGCAACTCGTATGACAATAGTATAAACGGTTCATTATGCGGCAGAATGCAACTTTGACTTGACTGTTATGTTAATCAAAAAAAAACAACCCATTTGTCTCAACATTTTAAGAGTCTCTCTGAAATTTTAAGTTAATTGACGTGATGAGTTTTGTGTTTAGTAAGAAAAAAAAAGAGATTTTTTAATTAAATTTCAACTTATTTAGTATTTAATTAAACTTATGAATAATTTTGAAGTTGATTCTTTTTAAGGTATGAATGAAAGATCAAAATATAGTACTTACATCGTGTAGCAAGTCTATTATTGGCAGGACTAGGCGTAGGAACAGCTGGGGGAGGTGGCGGTTGAGAGCTAAGATCTTCAAAGTTGATAATTTGCAAACAGATATCATCCACCTCGCTTCTTATTGGCGCAATGACCTCGCTGCATAAAAACTTGGTGCCTGAAAAGTTTATATCATTCAATAGAGATTGTATTTCAATGACAATTGGCAGTTATTCACTTTTTATCAACCATGATAGAACACATTTTTCAACCCTTGTCAATTTTTTAAATCAACTATCAAATATTACATTAAAAGCAAATTTGTTATTTTAATTAAAAATATATAAAAATGATTGAATTGTTTGGATTAAACCATATTTGAAAAAGCAATTAATTTCTTTTTTAGGAATAAAAATAATTTCTATCATTGAAATTAATTATTTTTTTCAGCACAATAAATTATTTAGTTATTTCATTCCATTGGTTACTAAACTAATGATTTTGGAACTCGTGAACCTTACTCGAGCTTTTTCTGATACTTGATCAAGGAAAATAAGCAATATCTCTTTACCGATCACTGAATATCAATACTAAACTAAATTGTCTTGATGGAAAATAATTTATATATTTATATATGTATATATCAAGTGGAATCGATAAAAAAAGAATGAAAAAGGATGACCTTAATTCTTTAACTATTTCATTTCTTTTTATTGATCTCAAAGATACTTTCTCTGCAGATTATTTACGCTGGCAAATCACGAATGCCCTTAACTCCTAATTTCTGAACCACAACCATTCACAAAGAAATCTATAATGGGATTTTGATAACTAATAATAATGATAATAAAGTAATAATAAGTATGACAAAAATAATAAAGTTTATACTGTAAATTAACTAAGTAAATAATAGATGCAATAATGTCAACCTAAGGAGTTAAATTAGTTACAAAAGAATTGATTGCATTGCGACAGTTGTTACGGAGAGTTGTAGAAAAGTGCATTATTTCCAAGGGTAATAAAAGGGACACGAGAGTAGTGAGAAAGTAGGGTGAACGCACCTTTTACCAGTAGGAGGTTCTAGAGCGAGGGAAATAGGTGCAGGGAGGCTGTGTGGAAGGCTAGGTAGGTAGACGTGCATCGATCCGAAAAGAGGGTGCTTGCGCTGGAACTCAGTGTCGACGCCCAAGACTATAGGTATTATACCAGACCGATATTATTCCTTTCTCTCTAGCTCTCTTTACACCAAGCAACATGGTTAATCGAAACTGGAGTCAATTTAATTGATTAACTTCATATGATACGGATATGCTTCTCTATTTCATATCCTTTTTTCACAATATGCTCATTTATCATTTCATTTCCAACAATTACCTCAACTTGACATTCTATCATGTAAGTTAGTTTTTTTTTATTTGTATTGTACTTAATATTATCAATTCTGTTTTTTATTTTACTTTTATTGATGTTTATTTCTACTGAATGTACCAATGTTTTCTTGTGAACATAAAGACATTATTTTTGTAGCTTCTGCAGTAAATGAATATGTAATGATTCCAACTGTTTCAAATTGATGAAATCTGCAGTGTCTTGTTTAGTTTAGTAGTAGAACAATCATTAAATAACTTTTTGTAACTATATTTTTAATCAATAATTTTTGCAATAAATGGTTCACATTTTAAAATGAAAAAATTCATATTTATTTATTCAATGATATAAGTATTTGTCGTCTTTGCTGAAAGTTTTTTCTGCATTGCAGTGTACGAAATTTATAGTCGACAAAAGTGTTGAACAATCTAACCGGTAAGATGCTTAATTCAACAATCGTATGACCTTATTAAAAAGCCTGAGAGTTCGATTGGCTCTCAATTACACTGCTGTTAAAATTTTTTATTGTTGGATTTTTTCCAATGATTTAATTGAATTTCACAGATATTGTGAATTTATTTTCTATTTTCTCAATTTTCAAATTTAATAAGAAAAACATCTATACAATATCCTTGATCAATAATCCTCTCAATAGTCTACGTATATAAAACTAATAAATTATTATTTATTTATTCATAAATAAAAAATTCTTTACTCCAGCAAAAAACTTCACTGTAGGAAAAGTTTTTTCTTCACTGCAGTGAATGAAAATCTATAACTTGAAAAGGTGTAGATTGATGTAACCTGCAAGATGCTTAATTCAACAATTGTATGATCACGAAATGACTGGTAAATATTTTGGCAAATGTCCAATGCGGCATCTACAAAAATACATTCGTAGTATCTAAATTGAAGAGTGCGTGGGATGAGTGCCAGGTAAACCTGGCATTACTCGATGATAATCATCATCATCAGCATCATCATGGTAGATAAACGACAGAGACAGAGAGGTATGACACCTTGGAGGAAAGGATAGATAGATAAAATAAAAGCTGAAGATGAAGATGATGAAGAAATAAGAGGTCACGATTGCTGCGTGGATGAAACTAAATGAGCCGACTAGTGGTTAGTAGTTTGGGTCAACGGCTGCTTCCCCAATTGGTCGATGACGCTACTCTCGGCCTCGTGACGTCACTCCCACGTGAGTGCATTGCCCTAGTGACGTGTAGTACGCCGCGACGATGAGGTGTGCTTTAAGCCAAGCCGAGGCTTCAAAATAACAGACGCGCGTGTGGCCTCCTTTCCAATTGTGTTACTAAGCTTTTCCCACATCTCCTCTTCATCATTGTGCTTTTCTCAGCTTTATATTCACTTCTTTCACTCTTTTCAACTTTTATTCTCGTCAAAAACCATCTTGACTATTCATACCGTTCATTCTAACCTCTGTAAATAAATAGTTAATGATAAATAGCTGCTAAAAAAATGATCCGATCATATTGGATTTTTGATTATTTTCTTCTGTACGTCTGCTTTTTTTTATTAATTACAATTACAGATGTACCAGTTCAGGGAAAGAAGATTAATTTTAAGATACCAGTTGCTTAAATAATCCTCGATGTTATGTTATATCATAAGCCGATTTTTCGTTGCTTTTTTTTGCTCTCTAGATTTATTATTGGCATTTGCCAAGTGGCCAATAAATTTGATTTAAATCGCCAATAAAATAAAATAGTTTAAAAATTATGATAATGAGTATAGAAAATTGAAGATTGAATTTTTTCAAGTAAATCAGAGTGCCAAGTTACACAAAGAGGCTGTTTCTCTTCAGTAAATCGATTAATTTAAATAATATTTATTTTTAATGCTTTTATAATTTTTATAAAATATTTTGATGACAGTTGAGATTTGATTTAATTTTTATCACTATCATAGACAAATATTTTTTGAATTCAAATCTGCAAATTTAATCATATTCTTTAGAGTCTATGAATATTAATAATTGACTAGAGTGAATAACACTTCATACACTGGTAACATTTCCATTATTATTTTTTAGTAATCAAAACCTTTTGAAAATAATGATGAAATTTTATTAAATTTTTTTTTATTGATGTCAAATGAATTAAAGATTTGATTATTTTTATTTATTCAATAGCTGGAAGATAAAAAAATAATTGTTTGTATAACAAATTGAACAAACATCGTCATCATAAATGCATTTCAAAAATGTATGTCTAAACCTACATAAAAACATTCAGTTTTATATACATCCAAATAAATTGATATTTTTTTAAAAGATATCAGATAACTAAAATTAGTGGATTTATTTACATATGTCATATTGAATAAAACACAATTAATTCAACGGATTAAAAATTACAATTTGTACAGCTGTTCACCAGCTATCATTGGACACTATTGTCTGATTAATTATACTTTCAATGGATTATCAAAAAGAGGCTTAGCTAAAAAAGGTATTTGCTGAATAATTAACTTTTCTTTTAAATAGTCTTATACTCTAAAGTACTATAGGATTTAAGATTATATCTTATTGATTGAAGGATATTACATAGCTGATATTTAGGATATCAAAAAGTCAGCAACTTTTATATACATTAAATTGTGTGTGAAATATAGATTTGAGTGAGGAAAAAATGTAAAATATTCCACTTATCATATAGACAACTGTACACTATAATTCATTCAACACATGCGCGTAGCTCATGAAGTTATAAGTACCACCACCTGTATCACAGTCTAGTACATTGTGTGGTTATGCTATTGAATCAAGATGCAAAGAAATTTACGACTAAATTGCTCTGAACAGAAAGCATCACAAGGCATTAAGAAAAGTTACAGGTGGCTGATGTTTTCAACAAATAAATTAACAAAAATGTTTATAAAATTCATTTTCTCTAGTCTTATGACTGTTTATTTGAGTAAACGAACTAAACAGTACTTTTATGAAGAAAATAAAAGGAATAAAAGCTTAGTAATCTTGTTCAAAGAAAATTGGAGCACATAAAACGACTTGTGAAGTCATTTGTTTAGGGATTACTCTAAATAAATGATCAGTCGTAGCTATAGCGGAAATGTATACACCAAATGTTAAAAGGGATAAGGAAAAATAGGTTTAATACGTATAATAGAGGAGGAAATATTTTTTTTTCAAATTCTGAGTGAAGATATAAAAAAGGCATCATAGGTCAAGACATATAATAATGAACGCTACGACTAGTGGACAAAAGACAGGAGGTGGTTTGCAGACTACCTACATGACTGTGATAAATTATCCAGTAGTGACTATCGATCTTTGACGCTCCTAAGGTCACCTACTACGGTAGAAATTTAATAGCGTGATTTGATGATCAATTAGAACCATTATTTCACTTATTATCGATTAATAAATCAGACTATTATACAGTTAAATTGAATTGATAATTATTTTAAATTGCTTTTAGCACAGTTTATGTTCTGCAATATTTTGTTTTTATGGAAACTAAAAACTTCCCACATTCATTTTTAATCTTGATTATGTTAAAATAAATAATAGTAATTTTCAAAAAATTAAAGCTTATTCCGTGTTTTTGAAAAACTTTACGTAAAAACTCCAATTTATGAAAAGCTTTCTTTTTTTTTTGTAAAAAACAATTCATGTGCAGATTTTTTGTTAGGTTTTTTTTAGACTTTTTTTTAAAAACCTGAAATTAAATTGAAAAATTATTGAACGAAAAAACACTGGTTAACGAGTTTTAATTTTATATGTCTTTTTTAATTTATCTTTTATAAATTCTCTAAAACCGAGATTAATAAAATTAATTAATTTAAATATTTTTAATTTTCTTAATTTTTATTTTGATTGAAAAAAAAACTCAGAGAAAATGTAATAACAGAGCATCCACTATTTTACCATCAAAAATGAAACTAAAATTGTTGTTCTTAAGAGTTTTAAAATAAAAGCAAGTCTGAGCTAATGACTGTTTTTACTACTGTAGCCTGATAAATGAATGAAGTTTTAATACCAAATAACTCACCATCTTTTCTGTAGTAAAGAATTTCGAAATGCTTCTCGACACCTGCAAGCAGTGCATCCCGCAAAGCAGCAATTGCATGAGGTGAGGTCATTGGACCATGAAGAAAGTCGCAAACTGCTGGGCGTTGCATCACTTCCGCCCTCGAAAAGCCTGTAAGCCGGCAAAATCCATCTGAGCAGTATATTATGTGACATAGTCCTTGTTGAGCGTTTGCTACCAAAAAACTTCTATCTGTAATGTGAAAAATATTCAATATCAATACATGATCTAAGTTGATATAAGCAATATAAATACTGAGGTGTTTCATTTATTCCTAATGATATATGGGCAACATGTAATACTTGACACATTAAATTGTATACAATTTCCTGTATTTAACTGGACTTGGAAGTGGCCAATACGACCTTCGTCCTAAATGCGTCGCCGATGTAGCCAGTTAGCACCACGTGGTGTAGTTCATAAAATATTTTCGTAACATTTTTAATGACCGTCTGGTTTTAATACCTAAAGACTACATTTCGTCATGAAAAGTTGTTGAGAAAATATCTATATTTTTTTTTACAGTTTCTAGTATTTAAAAATGATACACAAAATATGTCCTTCAAATCTCCAAATACACCCAGCTTCTATATTTACTTGAAATCGTGGATATATAAATATAACACTCGGTGAATTGAAAAAGAAAATAACGTAGAAAGCGGAAGTGCACTAATGTTCTTGATTCTTGAAGAAAATAAAATTCTTGGGATTACAAATTTATACGAAATATTATTAATAAGAAAACACATATGCGACTGTAAATAAAGTGTTTATTCAAATGATGAATTTCAAATGAATTGCATCTAATCTACGCAGTATTTGTAATTTTTCAAGAATTAACTTCTTTCAAAGTATCACATGAGATGTAAAAATAAATAAACTCTTGACAAATACTTTAATCTTCGCAGTTCGCAGTATGTGGACTCACCAGGAGATCTTTGTTATTTATACGTTCTTTTGTCAGTTAATAATTTGGTATATATTTATTCGTATATAGACAAGGAGTTGGTTATAACTGAAAGATGATTGATGAAGTGGTTATTCCCCGAGGAAGATGGCAACAAACCAATGAATCTATACTACTAGGGAATATGTTTTATCTATTGAACTGAAAGACAGACGTTGCGGAAGAAGTTGAAATGAAATTTAAAAATGTTGGCTTATAGCCAAACTCGTCAGAATGCATGGATAAATTTATCGTGGTGAGCCGCAAAATGAGCTCTTATACTAGGACATTTGTATCAGTTTCCGTTGCAGATTCCCGATGGCTATGGTCCGTCAACTCGAGATAACAATGAAAAAAAAATAGATACAACATAAGGGCAGATGAACCCCTAAAAGCCCAGATAAAAAAAAAACAATAGACTACATGGAGAGAAAATTCTGGTAACTTTGTACTGATTTTTTTTTATCTTTTTTACGGTAACATAATGGACAGAAATAAATTTTTTTTTATTTACAACAAAATTTGGAAGCTGCTTTTAGTTAAAAAATTCTATATTATTCATATAATGTTAATTAAATTAAAATTCACTCTCATAAATAATAATAATAATAATACAAGAGAAAATAAAATGATAAAACAAATTGTTTTCCCTTATTTGTCTATTGGAGAATATAAGAGACAACTATTAATTAAGGTATGTAAATTTCTTCAGTTACACAGACCCTGAATAAGACGGTCAAAGTCACGGTAAGCATTATGTGTTTTGAATAAGGAATAAAAAATATTATTAATCGTAATAATAAAAAGTGGGTCGCACAATTTATAGAGAATAAGCGTGTTGAGTATCCCGAGGTCACGTTTAGCCATCACGATGCGGGAAATGATGCGGATATGAAGCTACGAATTTTGACTATACCATCTAAATATCCAGGAAGTAGTAAAATAGATATTTATGCAAAGTATTCACAAAATTTAAGACTAATCAAGTAAGATATTTGCAGCGCCAAGGTGTGCTTATGCTAATGATGACCTATTGCCTATATACATTTGTCTAAATACCACGAACTTGGACCATACCAGTGAAATTCATACTTTTTTTACTTGAAACTCACGTTAGAATTTGAAATTTAAAGTAGGCTGAAATTTAAAAATAATATTTCCCACTTTAAGCTATTGAGTGTGGTCTATAAAAAAAATTATCTATGATAGATCTCAATGGCATCTAATTGGGCAGAAATGTCAGATTAGAAGCCAGAAGGCTTGATAGACACTCAGAGGTGAATGTTACAAATGGTAAGAGATAAAAAGAAAAAAAGGAGGGCGATTGTCATTTAACGAAAAATTCAAAGTCAAAGAAGAAGAAGAAGAAGAATAAGAAATAGATGACATACATACATAGTTTTTTTTTATATTAAATAAATTGATATTACTATTATACGGTTTCCTTTAAAATCTATTTGTCTGTCAATTACGATTAATATCCCTGAAATAATCCGGCTCAATACACATCACTTTGATTATAAAATTTTTCCATCTAACTGCAGGTGTTGCAAATGATTGAATAGTCTGCTTATTGTCAGATTATATCAGACAATCATGTCAATAGCATAATTTCATTAAAAAAATATTTTTACAAATTTTTTCCAAATCATCAATCAATTACGGTTGATTAACTCTAACGTATTGATCTTTACACGACATTAGCTCTACTTTTCTTGATAATCTGTTGAACCAGTCCATACTTTTATTCTCCATTTCTTTTGTAATCGCTCATTGACTCATGACATTTCTCTATATTCTTGAAACAACAAAACAGGCCGAGACAACGACACGCGATGCGTTAATATTACTTTCATTACTTCGATTTTATCGATATTTCATTGATATTAATACTCGATGATTTCCATAATAAGCAGTCATTTTTGTTATTAACTGAATTAGAGGAATTTATATAAAATTATGAAAATCAGTTCAAGGTTGCGATTTAGCAGTTATATCCTTGAATTTATCATAACACAATCTATCAAGATAAAATAAAATTGATTATAAGATTATAATATAATTTGAATAAACCCATATGTAATAATTATATGAAACATATACATATGTAATAATGAGAATTGAAAAATCTCTACGCAAAAATTATATCTAAAAAGAAAGGAATCTCCACCAAGGTGTTCCGTCATTTTAATAATATAAGCTAAGAGCATGATAGTAGGAGATAAACAGTCTTTTTCTGGCACACCCTGGTGTGTTTATATCATAAAAAAATAACATTACCATGAGTATCAAATTTTCTAATGATGGTTTCGATGATGGTGGTCCTCGGTGCGACATGGCCCCGTCTGACAGGCATCTCAAATGATTCGCGTCCTTTTTATAAGGACTACTACGTACTCTGGACTGTGAAACAATGGAACCTTCTTGATGAAGATCAATTGGATGTAGAAAAAAATCAATGACTTAATTAACACTTCAGCTATAGCACTAAAAAACACTTAATCGCACTGTAAGAAGTTAAATGTATAATTTTTCTTGTAAAAAAAGCACAGCACAAATTGAGCATATAATTACATCGCACAGTTGTTTAAATACACTTTTCTCTTCCATTTTTTTCTCTTTCTTATAAATATTTCGACATCAAGTTCTTGTTTTATTTAAACAGTGTATAAAAGATACGCAATAGATCGATCTACCGAATAACATGAATATAATTTAAGTATCAAGCTTTTAATGACAACGCTTAGCTAAAGGCCGATGTGAATGCGTGTATTGGCGTGTAAATGCTTCTCAGAGTATAGCCAACTCACTAGTGGCTACTTCGAAAAGCGTGACGGGGAATTTTGGTGTTTCGTTGCCAAGATTTTAAAACGACTTTAACCTACTCTTTTTGTATCAGAGAAATACGAAAAAAGCCGCACATTTATATATAGAAAATAAAGAACTGGAGAAAATATAATAAATATATAATAAATCTATTCGTGTGATTCTGTGAAATTTTAACACTGAATTATATATGTCTGCAGTCTCGTTAGCTTTAGTTTTTGCTCAATTCAATTTTACGTCAAATATTTAATAATCAATTTGTTGATGATTTTCTGAGACTTGAAGAATGTTCAGTTATTCTATTTATCATTATATATGTTCTATTTTTTCTCGACTTGATCTTATACTAATCAACTCTTTGCTGCTTTCTGGCTCATCTGCTGATTGCTTTACTACATTTATTTGATGGCAGAATTACGAGTATCTAACTAACTGCCATTTTATTAGCGTATTTCCGTGCTATTGATTGATATTATTCCTGAAGAGGAGATAAATGCACCGAGTGATTGTCAACTATTATCATTCAGTCGTCGCTGAGACTCTGCATGTGAGTCCCTAGATGAACTCTGAAGGCATTTTTGGAATTTTTCTCATCTTCATTATCCTTTTTTAACACTGACAATAATTCGATCCAATTGCATAAAGATTTTTTGCTGTACTCACACCCGCTCAAAGTTTCTAAATGACTGTTGACATTGTTGTAATAATCAATGTTATTATCATAATAATAATTGTAGTTGTTGATGTCGTAAATAAACATTACAATAACTTGTTTCGTCATTTTTTTTCTATTTTTTTCTAAATATCCTCCACTTGGTTGTCGTTAAACTTCGTTGCACAGAGCTCTAAAATTATTAACAAGCTAAGTACGTCGTAATAACGTTGATCAAGATTTAAATAAACATTAAGCATATTAAAAACAATACGGACGAGTAGCGAGTAAACGACTAACCTGATGTGAAGGCACGTGTTGGCATGTTTTAATTAAATTTTTGTTTATTACGAATAACTTGAAATTTTTATTTTTCTCCTTACTCTACAATATTTTAGTTCATTTAGTTGCCGAATAAGAATTAACGGCAACCACTAGGAGTCTTGATGTCTCTCAGTAACTATTTAGTAATGGTAATAGAAGAAGTAGTAGTTGGTCAGCTGTGCATTCTATGATCGGCAGCTCTCGTGGCTCAGGGACACTTATTTTTGTACTTCATTTTCACCACCATCAACTACCAGTCGCTTTATTAAAATATGAATGTCGAGAAATTTTCCATCATCTCCTTCATTTTAAATTACACCTGTACACCAAATTAATCAACAACTTTCGTTCAATGTCGCATACAAATTCTTCTTCAACCTTGTCCAAGCTTATCAACTACTTGCCAAACTCATCGAATGAGTGATCTGTTACATATCTAGCTCTTTCTATCCTTAAGGTAAAAGATAAAAGTTGAAAAATGTTTTTCCAATAATTAGTCAAAATGAAATGTCAACACAAACACCGTTGATTATTACTACAACAAAAGGGTAGTTTCCAATCAGTTATACCGGCTGTAAAGGAATTCAGCTCCTTCGCACTTTACTATAAAAAGGCAGACTAATTTTTGGTTAGTTCAACAATGGTAATAAGCCAAGTTTCTGATTTTCTCTATTCAACTAATGAAAGATGATTATAATTAATAATTACACGTTGGATATAACATCTTTAACGTAGTATTAACCGTTAAAATATAACAGAAAATGTCGAGGTAAAAAACACGCGACCACCCGACACGTCTCTTTCAACGGCGACACCACGAACGACACAATGAACGCCAGGGCAAGAAAGCGCGAGAAGTTTATACGCGTGCGCGCTCATCCCTACTTTATCAGACTACGACCAAAGTGAGAGAGAGAGAGACTAACAATTTGCCAACTAAACATGTCACTATACTATTAAAACAATAAACCAACATCCATACCTGTTCTCACTGATAATATTGATAAAAATTCACGGCAATTAATGCATCTTACATTATTCTATTTTCAATTTATTATTTTTATATAGATCACTCACGGTGTTTTTTCCCCTCAAATCTTTTAAATGTAAAGCTTCGTAAAGTCGATGCAACACTGTCTCACTGTGTTTACGTCTTAAAAATAAATTAACGACAAAAAACCAGCTGTTATGATAGTTGAGCCGGATTATTCTATGTAGTGGATTTGATGTATATAATATATAGATATACATACAGAATAACATTGTAGAAGTTTGAGGGAAAGTAGTAAATAAGTTTTAATAAAAGCTCAAACTTATATCTAAAACTTTTATATAATGAAGAAAATAATTTTTTCTTCATTATATGAAGTGAGTAATTCCTCCCTATTTTCTTTACCACAATTGCAAGAAATAAAAAATATTTTATGAGTAATGGTTTTATTCATTAGTTTGAAACTTGTACATATTTAAATTTTATAAAATGATTCAGCTTTTCATTAAACTTCAATCGAATCTAAAAATTTATTTGATACTGTCAAAAAACGAAGTCTTATTTATTTAATTATTTCTCAGTGTATGCAATATTTATAATAAATTTATATTTATTCTTTTCTTGGCATAACAACAAAAAACTTTTTGTAACGAAATACTTTAATTCAGTATTCAATAATAAAGTCCTAAATTGAAACTTCAACGTGCACAATTTATATCCATTCTACTTTATACTTTTTTTATAATGTTGCAGTAATATAAAGAGTTATGATAAAAAATAACCTGGAAATCATCAATTGATAAAAGGCAAAAGTAGAAGCAGGGTTACAAGAGATAACTGTAACTATTAACTTTTACGATGCCGGAAATATTTTATCGAGCCAGTGAAAATAAATCCCAAGTTCGTTCGTGGTCATTTGGAATAATTCGAGATATTAATTCTAAAAAGAAATAAATAAATTTTTGATCAACATTTATTTTGTGTTTTTCTTATTACGTTAATATATTGTAGAATAATTATTGCCAATTTGTCATCAGGTTCATCAATAATACCTCAATTAATGATTCAGTAATGTATTGGAATATTACCTAAATGTAAAGATAATGAATTCCAACACAATCAACTTTGAATTATTATATAAAACACTGTTAACCCACTTATAATATCATAACAATCTAGTTTGATTTATTGAATATTAATGTCCTCGAGAATATTAATGTGTGATTATTTTCCAGTTTAAACGTTAGAAGAACGTGAACATTGGCTGCCATCCTACTTTATTATCCCAACCATTATAATGACGTTGGCTTGAGAGTTTAAAACTGCATACGAAATGCGATGTATTGTAGTGGGTTATCGCGTGAGTTGGTTAGGTCGTCAAGTACGATCAGACAGTGCCGTCCTTTTAATTTTACATTCCGCACGACATTTTCCAAGTTAATTGCATGCTGATGACTGGCATTGGATTACACACGTATACAATCAATATGATGACTAACAAAAAACTATTGCAATTGATTATAATTTTCCTTTTAACTGTTATATCATTATACTTGTGTTATCACTCTTCATTTTTTTCTTTATACATAACCTGCTTCAAATAATTAACTCTTTGAAATAATGAAGTTTTTACTGAACAATGGCGATAAATGACGGTAGATATTTATTGTATTTTTTGTTGTAAAATTAATAGTTTTTGTTAAAATTTATGACAAAAACGTGGATGAAATGGTTATAAACGGAAAGTACATGGCTGTAAATTAATATAATTTACCTGAATTTACTTTAAAATATTTTAATACACCTGTCATTATTTGACAACAAATTCAAATATTTGAGAACTGCAACATCGATCAATTAACAAATCTGCTTTTGTGTAATTAATACTATCATTTTAATATAGATGGCATAGTCATTTTTATTTTTTCTACATTATCGGGTAACAATATATTGTCATCTGTCGATAACGTAGAAAAACGAATAATGATGGATGTGTTCAGATTTTTGATAAAATTTTCCACGGGGTTCACGAGACCTTGTCCAAGGAGCCCCGCCCGCCGACAAATTATCAAGGCGCCAACATCGCCATTGTTTGTCGTTGTCAACGGTTTTTTGTTAACATAATTCTTAATTCCTGTTGCTTATAATCATATCTGAAGGTTTCATTCACAATCAATGTCTAATGATTATAAAATAATGTATATAGAAATTAAGTTATTCAGTGATTGAATAAAATAATTAAAATATTGTTAAAAGACAAGTGTAAATAACAACAATAATCTCAAATTGTCAACGATTTATACTATGGACGCCATCTTCATGTTATAAATGATACTCTAAACAACAAATAAAAAAGAATTTGAGATTTATAGATTAGAGCAGTAATTAACTGATAAATAGTTAATTGTACCAATTAAACGACGTATGAATATAAAAATAATAAACAGAATTTTTTTTAGATCATTGATTGCTCAGTGTGATCTATTTACATACAAAGTTTATGTATACGAACGCGGCCATTTGTAAAATCCAATACGAACGAAGAGAGGAGAAAAAGAGAGAGAAAGAAAACTTGACGGAACGGCAGACCGGTCGTACCTGAGTAGCAAGCAAGTTGGGGTGTTTGTGAACGGATTTTAACGGTGAATCATTAATTCACCGTTTAAATTGGTGTAACGAGGACCGTGATAAACATAAATTAATTGTGTGATTAGTGTTTTTTACATTATCAATCCAAGGAATTAAATTTCTCAGTCAGTGAAACGAGAAGAGTCAGGAAAAAGGCGTGGAATCAGTATAGGAAAAATCTTGAAAAGATTTGGCTCCGTTTGGGAGCTTTTCCAGGTAATTGTCATTATTTTCGAATTGACTTATTGCCCATGAAACCTTTGACCTCAACAATTGATGAAAAATGCAGGATTTTTTAAGTTTTTGATTTTTCAGTTGAATTAAACATGAACAAGTAAAAGAGAGGTTGAGCCAGTCAACATGGCGGCCGCCTAGCCTCTATTCCTCTGTCAAATCTTCCTGTTTGATCGTTTATATCAAATTTTTATTTTGTTTTTTAATCATTATTTTATTATGGATTAATTCTTTGATTCTAGGATTATTGTAGAAAACAATAATCAAAAATCTTTTGATAATTATCGGTCTTCAGTTGTCTTCATTAAATTAGCCATTCATAATTGCATGAATGTTATTATTAATATTTTAGAGGTGTTATTAATTTTCGCCAATTACTGGCCCACAAATAGCCAACATATTGATTGAATAACAACAGAGCTAGTGGTGAAAATCGTTGCTTTGTAGTTAATATTTTTCAATTGTGTGACCTAATTATTTTATGAGCTACTTGAGTTATGAATTAATGTGTATTTGAATGAAGATCAAATAATAAAATGGTTTTCATGGAAAGGAAAGAGAAGGAAGAAATGGTGTAATACGCACGAGCATAATTTTTCTCTTGTGTAATGCGTGTATGCGTGGATTTCGGCGCATGCGAGTCGGAAGGAAGATTAAATGAAATAAGCAAGGTAACAGTTCAGTTTTTTATTCTTTATAAAAAAGGGATCATATCTTCTTGTTAACTGAATTCTATTTTCTTCAATAATTATTCAACTTTTAGGCCATGCTGACTCATCATGAGAAAAAATACTATTTGATTTGATAAGGCGAGAAATGGAACTTTTATAATTAAAAAGTAATGAATTTTATACATTAATCGGTTGGTTATCAAAATTACACTTAAATTTGTAGATAGAATATTTCTTAACTGCTTTTATTGGCTAGCCAATTGATAGAATGATGCAGCCGAGCTTTAAACTGTTTTAATTGTCTACAAAATATCGTAGTAAAGAGTTTTTTCTCTCCTTCTCTTCCTCTATTTTTTGTTCTTATGTATGTATACATGTGTCATATGATTTTATTACTAACAATGTAGACAAGTAAATGACACTGTCAGTATTTCACAATGCTCGGTTTCTGAATTAATATCAAGTAACAAAATAAGTGATCTTCCAGCTTAGCGTTGAAAGCTTACGTGAGACAGAGTCATATAAAAAGAGACATAAAGGAATGCTTGGATTATCGGCATTAACTTTCTTATTTTTTTAAAATGTTTTTTTAAGGATGAATCGCAGGAAAAAAACAAGATTTAGTAAGATATTGGCTACCGCAAAATGGTTAGTAGGACGCATCGGTTAACCTCAAAGAGAGGGTCAACGTATTTAGTGTGGATCGTAGCACAACTTGGCTTAACATAACGTAAGAGCAAAAGAGAGCATCAAGTTTGCTTTGCTGCTTCCCTCCGCTTGACCGGTCCACGTCCTGCAGCATTAAACGCTCTCTCAAACTCATTCAACCTAGTGATCAACACCGGATCAATTGTCCCTTTCTCACTGTTACTTTGCTTCCTCTCTTTCGTCTTCTCAGTCTCCAACTATGTGCATCATTTCAGTTAATCAGCTCAAATACTAGAATTAAATTTTTTTAAAACCAGAAATATGTGATGATGATGATATGTAATAAGGTTTCATATTCAACATTTCAATTTCACTCTGTCTTCGTTATTTACACTTAAATTATTACTAATTCAAAATGTATTTATCCCCAGTTTATTTCAACGTTTTTCCTCACATTGACGTCATTGTAACATTGTAAAAATAGATATCTCTGGTTTCAGTTTATCCAAGAGTTCTTTTGGCATGTTTGGATCCTTGAAAAGGTTGAAAAATGTTCACATGCTGAGTTCGAATGATAGTTCATTCCGGAATATTGATAGAAAATCGATTCTTCAAATATTGTTTATGAATTATCATATGGAAAATCAAGTCTATCAGAGAGTTGACATTTGTTGAAAATGACAAATCCAACTGTCAGTTTTCTTCTCAATCAAAAATTGGCGTTAACGCGCAGCATTCAGTACTCTATCTACGTCATTTAGTGACAGTTTGACGTCATTTATCTCTTATTTTTCCGCATTCTAAATTGTCTATTCTAATTTCTATTGTTTTTCTGCAACAATTTTATTGCTACTCTTATCATTCTAAAATATTTACAATGTTTCAAGTATTATATGAGTAAACAAAATCTACTAGAACTTATAGTTATATTTATATAATTATGAATTGCTAATTATAATCAAGCAGGTGTTCGTCGTCTTGAATTTGTTTAACCGTCATTCATTACACCAGCTGTTGTTCTTCAAGGTTAGCTGGTCATATTAAAAGAAATAACATTTTAAAAACTCACATATAGTTATTTTATCAAATCTATTCTACTTTACATCATATTCATTGTAAAACTTGTTCCAATTATTTACACAATTTAATAGATGTTTAAATGGAGTATTTACTTTTTTTCAAGTGAAAAAATATCAAGCATGAATAGTTAAAATTTTTAAAAAGTATTCAAAGTACTAGCTGATAAATATCTGATCAATAAAAAGATTTGGATAGACTAATGGCTTATAGAATGGTGAGAATTGAAGAGTAGTAGCAAGAAAAACCATTTTCCATCAAGACTCGTTTCTGTTCAATAGAAGCTATCTATATTAATCTTTTCTAATAACAATATACATATTGTATATGTTGGGAGTGATTAAGTAAAAAGACAATAGATGAGAGCGACGCTTAACTATGGCTCTCTGCTGTCTAATCGAACGTAATGTGGCTCGACTCATACACGAACACTAGACACATTCTCAATAAAGTGAGAAGGCCTGTAGAAAGGGTGAGAGAAGTATGAACGGAAAAAAGGGCTGTGAATGATGAACATAAACTTATTGACAACAGGCAGCAACAACCTGTCAGTTATTTTTCACCGCAATGGCCCTTTATTGTCCATACACATGTATATGCTTTACTCCTTATCCTGTTTTAGTTGTACCTATATCCAAGTTTCTTATTCTCTGCGACACTTTTTGCGTTTCCTGGGTGTGGTCTATTCACCAAGCGCGTCTTTCTCTTGCCGCTCGTCAGCGTTTATTTGATATCATGTTCTTCACTGGCTTTTCCGACAGAGCAAGGGCCGTCAGTAGCACCAGCAAGTCGGTATACAACATAGAAAACTGTTGAGAAACGTGTTGGGAGTCGCCACCAGAGTCGAAACGACCACAGTCTCGAGTGGGGCGCTGAGCTTCCCTCATCGATTTGGACTCGCACACGAACACCCACCAATACGCAACTCACGTCACCCTTCCTTCCTCATCGTCGTTGTCTCACTCACTCGCGTGAGCTTCCGTCGTCAATTCAAGTGTAGTGTGTAGTGTGCTTTTATATTACACTATCTACAGCTGCAGTTAACACTGTTTTTTTACCGTTATCTAGACTATTTTTATTACATCACTCTCGCTGGGTGTTTAAATTTTTTCCAATTCCAATGGATAAAAATTCACCAGCTACTTAACCAGTGTCATGTGTACTAGTGTAATACTCCAGTTCCATCAATTGAATATCCACCGGCTCTGCATTTTAATCAAGATTTCATCAACACCGTGATTCATTTCCAGTGCGGCTAGTCAATAGTTATTTTTATCAACTAAACGTATTATTCATATTATTCGTATATCGCTTTCTTATAGTTTTGAATGAATAAAAAAATTTTCATGGGAATTTTCTTTTTTGTGGTGCAAGTATAGACGCAAGTCGGAGGGGTGTGATATTGACGTCAAGAGGTTATGAAGAGGTGGAAATGATATCGTGACGATACGAGGCTGAGAAAGTATGAGCTACTACTTTTTTTTTATTATTACGAAAAAACATATTTTGTACTAATTTTTCGAGGTTCTTTCTACGATAGAAATACTTTCAACAATCTGGCCTCGTTCCAATTGATTTATAGTCTAGGCTTCTTTGTTTCCAGGGGCTTTAGGGGTATTTCCTGGTTTATTTGGAATTCACGCATGCGCTTTTCATCCACCCGGCGACACGACATCTCTTTCACGAGTTATCCAGCTCTTATATAAATTGATACCGGTTATTCTTTTGCCATTTTCAATCTCATATATCTTTTTAATATTCATCATTCCACCTTATTATCAAGTCAATAACATTCTCACCTTCCAAGTATCAACCCATCGTCTATCTTTGTTCAATGTAAAGCATCACTAAATTTTAATTAACTTTATCGATGATTAAATCTTAAATATACATGAAGATGTGAGGTGTTGGGAATGAATAAAGTTATAATAAACCAAGTTTTACATTGATATCTTGAATGAACGAAAAAGTAAATAAGCATAGATCCTGGCAAGGTCTTGACTAGGTCACGAGTATAGGCTCGTGGTGATTCGCTATGTAATACTAACGTATCAACAGGTATCGCGAACTTGCAGTTTCGATCATGACCATCAATTACAATGCCAAAAAGTTTAAGCATATTTTTGGCCGAATATATTGCCCAACCCCAAGCTCGTCCAAGAGGTAAATTTTTAAACTTGATTTAATTCTTTATTTACTATTTCAGGGGTGGCAACGACTGTGTTTGGAGGTGTCGACGACGGTGGTGGAGTGTTGGACGTCAGCAGAGAAAGGAAACTGTACAGCAGTGGATCCGGCTGGCGTCAGCAGGTGGCTAGAGAAGAGAATTTCTTGGTAGTGGCGTCGATTGACGCCAAGAAGGAAGCAGCACGTTCGTGCCAAAAAAGACATTTAGACATCGTCAAGAGGTGGAGACGGAAAAGAAGACGCCGGCCGTTGCTACTCTATTTATTTAATCAAACTTGTGGCTCGGTACCATCACGAGACCACTTGAATTTCTACTCTTCCCATATTTGAAATTATTTGTCCAATATCTGGACTATTTTCAATCAATAAATAAGATTGATAATTAGTCAACGCTATCATGAATGAATTAGAGAGTCTTCGCCAAGAGGCAGAAACCCTCAAAAATGCCATCCGGGTAAGTTAATCGATGACGCTTTAAAGTTATTGTTTTCAAGCAACAGTTGCTTACTTTTTTATATTAAAACCAACTTATTCTCTCATTGATTCAACTTGTTTTAGTTAACATTCATAAAATAGTTAAAGGTTATTTTGTTTTTAAAGTCGAATAAAAAAAATTTAGTAAAGTAAATAAAATATTAATAAAATTAAAAATCCTCACTACTATATAAACAGTTTATGGTGGAAAGAGGGAGAAAACCCGTACCGAGACAAGGCCTATATAGTAGTGGTAGTAGGGCGCGGCATAACCGTCGTTTCTCTGATCAATACACTACCATCCCTCGTTCTAACTCTCGTTCTCTAGCTCTTTCTCCTACATTTCTACAAGTTTGGCGGCTTTCATGAATCAGCCACATTTAAATCTACTAATAAATACCTTTTTATCGTTCAAGAGCAAGTTGAATAATCATTATTGATTTATAAAATTAAACAATAGATAAAAATTTTTCTTTACTTATAATGATAATTTATTTATTCATTAACCTAGTTATTATAAATAAAAATTGATTGATAATTTCATTTTTAATCTAGGATGCCAGAAAAGTTGCGTGCGACACGAGTCTCGTACAAGCAACAGCCGGAATGGAACCTATTGGCCGAATACAAATGCGAACAAGACGTACTCTTCGTGGTCATTTAGCTAAGATATATGCTATGCACTGGGGCAGTGACTCTAGGTAAATTAACAGCATCTATTTTCATCAAATTGAAGATTTTCCAAGCTTAAAAGTATTCTCTAATGTTTATTTTTAAATTTACAGAAACTTAGTATCAGCGTCGCAAGATGGTAAGCTAATTGTGTGGGATAGCTATACCACGAATAAAGTTCATGCAATTCCTCTTCGTTCATCATGGGTAATGACCTGCGCGTATGCTCCTTCGGGTAGTTATGTTGCTTGTGGTGGTCTCGACAATATTTGTTCCATCTACAGCTTGAAAACTCGAGAGGGTAATGTGCGAGTCAGTCGAGAACTTCCCGGACACACTGGTTATTTGTCGTGCTGTCGGTTTATTGACGACAATCAAATTGTCACCAGTTCTGGAGATATGTCCTGTGCTTTGTGGGACATTGAAACTGGTCAACAGTGTACTTCATTTATTGGTCACACTGGTGATGTTATGTCTTTATCCTTGGCACCAGATATGCGAACGTTTGTATCTGGTGCTTGCGATGCAAGCGCTAAACTCTGGGATATTCGTGAAGGTTCTTGCAAACAAACCTTCCCTGGCCATGAAAGTGATATCAATGCTGTTACGGTATTTATTTTTCCTTCATTTTTTAATAATATTTAACTATTTCAATCTCATCATGGCCTTTTTCAACAGTTTTTCCCGAATGGTTATGCCTTTGCGACGGGATCAGATGATGCAACTTGCAGACTCTTTGATATTCGAGCAGACCAGGAACTTGCCATGTACAGTCACGACAATATTATTTGCGGTATCACAAGCGTAGCGTTTAGCAAAAGTGGTAGACTGTTATTGGCTGGTTATGATGATTTTAATTGCAATGTTTGGGATTCAATGAAAAGCGAACGTGCAGGTGAGAATTTTTATACCATAATTAATAATAGTTTACAGAGAAGAGAAAATTTTTTATTTGCCCTTCTCTCATAATATAGAGAAGTTTTTTGGTTATTTTAATTTATTTTGATCAGTTAGCATGTATTTTATGTTTATTCATTTATCAAAATTTATAACCAGGTATTTTGGCTGGACACGATAATCGTGTTTCTTGTTTGGGAGTGACCGAAGACGGTATGGCAGTCGCAACAGGTTCCTGGGACTCTTTCTTACGTATCTGGAACTAAACTGTGAGTGTTATCGATATGTTTATTTAAACAATCAGTTGCAGTAAATCAGCATTCAGCACATAAGTATCAATTACCACTACCAGACTACAAAACTCGTCTGCATGCCAAGAGAGAAAATGATGATGATAGTAAAATGCGTAAATATTAGTCGCGTATATATGAGTTGAGTTTGTCGATTAATATTACTCATACGAGCATACTTCGACATAAGAGACGTAATAATACAGAAAAAAGAAAATTGGAAAAGAAATTATTTTGTTTCTTTTCGGTAAGAATACGAGACTAATTTTGTGTTCAACGTATATTGTAAATTAAGTGGATTCCATGAATGTTATAATAGAAGAATAAAACTTTAAACAAATTCAAAGGCAGATAAGGAACAAGTAGTATGCGATCTTGGTAAAAGAACGAATAGCTCGAGTTGTTTTTTACTCGCACAAAATAAGTGAATTAGAAAAAAAAATGATAATGAAAAATTAATAGATGAATGAAAGACAGTTTTTCGTTGCTTCAGAGCGATACAACTTATCATTTTAAAAAATGATAAAATCATGTATGAGTGATGACAGATGATGTAAGAACGCAAAAATAAAAAACTTATATAATAAGGTTCAAGGTACATCTGCCGACAGGATATATTAAGGATGTAGGTAGTTGCGGGATTCCGAACTAAGCACATAAAATGTTTCACAAATCTTCGCGTAAATCTTATACGCACACGATAAACACAAAAACTAAAATCACTAAAAATTCTGTGTTAATTTTTTCATAATTTTTTTTAACGTAATGTTATTTATTTTGTATAGACCTGTTTTTGCCATATATTAACTATCATTCAAATATTTAGTAAATCAAGTGGGTAAGAAAGAGTTCTCAATACTGAAAAAAAAAATAGATTAAAAGTCTAATATTTTAAATTCATTTTATTTGTTTCTCTGTCACTTTGATATTTTTCGATGTTTGTCATTGCCAAGGGGAACAGTTATATTAAGCAACTTTATGTTGTAAACATTTTTTTTTTCTTATCGTACGTTAAATAAAAAATTGACGAATATTACTGATACAAGATAAAAAGTAATATCAGTTACAAAAATGGAATAGGACCCAAAGATGAGAATTGAAAATGTTCTTTTGTTTGATATAAAGTGTTAATATGAGTTACTCTTTTTCTTTGATAAAATTGAAATCAAATTTTTTAACTGTATTTTCATCATTAGATAGATATTCACCAATCAATAAAAATAACAACAATAATAATAAGAACAAGTAATAAAAAAAAAAAAATACGGTGTATGCATTTAAAAAATTGTAATAATATTAATGGTAATAACTGTAATTTATAATTGTAATAATGAATATAATAATGATTAATAATATTTAATAATAAATAATCATATAAGGTATCAAATTAATGATTATTTTACGGCAGGATATGGCTAGAATACCAATTGTAAATTTTAATACAATTAATATTATTATGTCTTCTCTGTTTTAAAAAAATTCATATTTTATATTTAAGAATGGATTCATCTGAATCTTACGAACAAATTTTTAAGTATTTAATGATAGTTTTTGTTTGTCAATGAATTTATTGTTTGAAGAGAATGAATTTTATTCAACTACTGTATTTAATAATTAATTATCGAATCTATACTATTTTATTCTCTTCATTTTATAAAAATCGATGAACGCGTGATGAATAAATTTTCAATAGAATTGAGTAAATATAAACGCAAAGCTAAAAAAATAAGTTGACTGACTTATTATTTTTTACATGAAAGCCGATTATGTGAAGGATCTGAACATTTTTTGTATCTAGTAGACATTATTCTGTAAACTACTTCCCTTTTGTACTTTGAATGCAATTTATCGCTACATCGTGCTTCTTTCTTCATTCTTGAAAAAAAAAATTTTTATTCAACGTAATGACTTGTGTGTAATCAATTTTATCTATTGGAAAAATAATAATTATTGAAGAATGGAGAGAAGTTCGATGATTAACAACATGATTACAAAATTAAGCATTATAATTATGTATCTAGTCATAGTAAGGCACATGCAAATGTGGAAACGTGAATACATTGGTTTATTATAATTAAAATCAATGAAAATTTATAACTTTGTTAAAAAGATTTGACAGTATCATCAGGTTTCACGTTTCTTCTTCATTCATTTTTTTTTATTATATTTATTATTAGTTTGAAATTTTGATCATGTCCTTTATCCTTAATCATTCTCCTTACATTTACATTATAATCAATAATAATCGTAAATTGGAGAAATAATAAATCATTCTTGTGAATTTTAATATAAAAAATGTGTAAGAATACATAAGATTACAAATAAAAATGTTTTCATACTATCAAAAAACTTGGGTCCTATTTCAAATTGCTGAAAACTCTTTAAATATTTGATTAAACATATGATAAATATGATATATGTGAATGGCAAATTTATACCTTTACCTTTTTCTGATGATCTGTTTTTCATAAAACTGATAAATTTTCTATTGACATTGTTTTTGTTTATAATATTATTTTACATTAATTGGATCAAATGACGTCTTTATGAATTAAGCATATAAGACGTCAGCAACAACTGCCTCCTTCGAGTTATTGAAAAAATATATATACAGAAAAAATACGTGAGAATAGAATATTTAATCAGAAATGAAACAAAAACGTAAGAATAATTTTTAAATTTACTGCATATATTTCTTATTCGTAAAATTACACTACGAATAATTTAATACCTATTTAAATTGTATTTAAAAAATAATTAAAAAATGAAGTGTAAGGGAGTACAAGCCAAAAAAAAAATAATATGTATATTTACTGAAATAAATGGAGGGCACGTGTCTTTACTGTTAAACGGTAGATAGACAAGAAGGTTTCAAAAATTTTTTATATAACATTATTATTACATACTTACGTATAACGGTATTCTCTATTATGGAGTAACCGTTGATAAACTGATAGCAGACGACGTAAAAAAAATTACAAAAAATAACAAAAAAAAAAAAATTATAAGCAAACAAATAAAAACTATGTCGCTTCAATTTTTATTTTCTTTCAAGTAACAATGTAAAATCTATTATACAATCTTTGTACGCCTTTATTTGCTTCTGAAACAACTTTTTTACCATACTTGACAATTACACATAGACCCGTTGTTGACTGCATTTACTTGCATACCACTCACATATTAAATCATATATTAATAACAAAAACTACTAAAAAAATTTTAAAAATACAAAAAAAAAAAAAAATATGTAGATTTTTCAAGGATTTGATACCAATATTTCGCTTATTTATTGATTGTAAAACAAATGTTTTTTTTAAATTTCTTATTCATTATTTTAAATCTGCTGAACATCGTTATCTCGCTGTCTAATGGTTAAGAGTAAACATGCGATAAAAAATAACAAATAGACTAAGGTAATTAAAGGAAAATTGTAAAAGCTTTATTTCTGTCTTTTGCAAACTATTTCAAATTTTTTTGTCTTCATTAGTGACAAATATTCGGTGAATTTGTGACGCATTATCTTAATAATGTACATGATAAATAAGAAATAAATAACTGAGAATGAAAATGACAAAAAATCGAGTGAAAGAAATGAAACAAAACCAAAGACAAGGGTATACGTAAAATAAATGTTGAGTATGTCGCACACATAATGTTGTGAAAAAATAAAATCATAAATAATTAAAAGAAAAAGATAGTGAAACACTACTACAAATGCATACACACTTGAGGATAAATTAATTAAATACAATTAAAGAAGAAGAAAATGAAACTAAAAAAAAAACAAATTTAGTTAAATCAAGGATATAAATATAAATGAATATATATAAATATATATATATAAATATATATATATGTAATTATAGAAATTTCGAGACATTAAACTAAAACAAAGTGTGTTTGAATTAAATTAAAATGATGATGGTCCAAAAGTGAATTAATCTCGCTCTAGGTTCGTTGAGAATATATTTATTGTTACCCATATGATAAAGATAAACTGCGTGAAAATTTTTTTTATTGATAATTAAATGTTTCTTCCTTCAAATCACTTTCTAAATAATCTGAATAAAATGAAAAAAAGATTTTAGAAGGAGAATCATGATTTTTTCACAAATAATGAGATGAGAAATTTTTTCAATTTCATGGGCTTTTTAATATTTAGAAATCAAATAAAAGCCCATTTTGTGGGTGAATAAAAATGAATGATAAGTACATAAATATAATGAAAATTAATATTACAAAAATGAAATAAATGAAAAAAAACTCGTAATTGCATTTTAATAAACTCGCCTGTAATTACGACAGTGTCATGATGTCTGAACAATTTCATTTTTATTGTTTTGAATAAAAAAGAAAAATAAACGAGGTGAATAGCCAGGTCATCTGACACTGACGGAATTATTTATATTTATTCATCAATCATCAATCAACGTATTGATAAGAAAATATTCATTTTCATGACCTCATCATACTTCACACGAAGCTCATCTTCCAACATCATACATCACTATAATAAATGTGAATGTGGATAAAAGAAAAAATAAAATGTACGTAGGTCTTAATCTGTTTTATTTACTTTGTGCTACCTGCATTTCTAATGACTGTGATATACTTTTATTTTGTGTTATTTCAGATATTTCAGATCTTAAAGCATCTTCATTATCTTTACTTTCGATTACTTCTATCAACGGCCTTTTTGGTACTTCAACTTTCACTAAAAAGTTTTCCTCGTTGTCAATATCTTCACTCCCTTTAACTTCTTCTATTTCCATACCAGATTTTTCTAGAATTTTATCCGTCACGTTTGATGTATTTTCATGATAATTATTATTTTTTGTAGAATCTGTCACATCTATTAGAGGCTTCCTTGGCATTTCAAAACCCATTGATAGAGGAATCTTTCTTAAGACACTCAAATCTAAAATATTTTTTCCTTCTTCCTCGATTATCTCTTCATCTATTTTTTGAGTAAAATCTTCATCAGAAGAGGAATGAAATATTCTAAAGATTTCTGAATCTCCTGATGATTCATCAATATTTTCTAGTTCTGCATCTTGATCATTTTTTTCAGTTAATGATTCATCCTCTGATAATTGTGTTAAAGTTTCTTTGCTTCTATTTTCATGCTCTTTCCTTATTTTTAATAGTCTAAAAACACTATCATGAATTTTTTGCTGCTCTGCTTCTTGCCACCTTTTTCGTTCAGCCATTTCTTCTTCATTGCCACCACGTTCCCTATTGATTTAAAATCAGTTTCATTTTTTTTTTTTTTTAAATAACTGGGTATTAAAGCAAGTTTTTTCATACCAAGCTTGAGCACAAGCCCGTTCTAGAGGAAATACTGGTCGATCATCCAGGTATCGAAGATTTTTACATTTTAATATCATTGTTTTCCGGTATACTTGAATAGATCTTAGTACTGGATTACCCATTAGTGTCAATACACGCAGAGATTTCATAGAAGCAAATACCTATAATTTTTAATAAATAAATTAAACTTCAATCAATCATTTTTATTAATTGATTTGTTGATAATAAAATACCTCAATTATTGCTGCAGCTTCTAAACGATTATGTGAAATATCTAAGATGGAAAGGTTTTCTAGGTATTTTAGATGATCAATGTCTTCCACATGTTGTAAAAAGTTGTGAGATATATTTAAAGTATTTAACAGTTTTAAACTATCTGAATGAAGTATTAAAAAATAATCAGATTTAAAAGATAACAAATAATATGATATCAATTAATTGACAAATAATATTTTACCAAGATTTTCAATTTTCTTGATCATATTGTGGGATAAATTGAGAGTATCGAGTTTCATCAAACATTCCAGATTTTCAATCTTACCAATCAAATTGTGATGCAGATAAAGACATTTTAATTCAATCTGATTATCCAAGTTTGCAATCTCACGAATACCATTATTTTCCAACCAAAGGCACTTCAGGCCAGTGTATTTCACTAGATTTTCAATGAAAGAAAATCCTTTGTAGTGAAGATACAGAACATCATTAAGATATGGAGTATGATAGAGATTGTGTTCTTTACAATGTTTCATTAAAAAGGCTTCTGTCATTCTTAAAATAATAGATTTTTTTTCTACTATTTTAAATATTTAAAAAAAAATAATTCAATGAAAAAAGTTATCTTACCAACCTTACACCATGTTTCTTTTCATCAAAGTCATATATTTTGTCTTCTACAGGGACTTTTTTTTCACATTCCAGAGAATCTTGTGAATCAGTAAAACTTTCTAAACTTATTGTTATTTTATTTTCATCATTTTTACCACTATTATCTAACTGTTTAATAATATCTTTTTTTTCTAAAGGATTTTCAATGGAATCTGTCTGACTTAATTCAACATTATTTTGCTCTTTCTCGAAAAGAATATCTAATGTTGTCAAAGCTTCATTTTTTTCCTTTTCTATTATCATTTTTTCAACTTGAATGACACCGTTTATTTTTTTCACGTCATCTTCACTACTGACCTTGCCAATGTTCATCTTGTCAAGAGCTTCAAGAGCACCTTTAACTTCTGCCATTTACAAAAGATTATCAGTGAATCAGATCGTCTTCAAAGTTGAAGAAATAACTTATGATAAAAAACTGCTTTATATGAGGAAAGCATTAACCGGAAACAAGAGAATATAATAGAGAAAAGTACCATAGCAACGTAGACAAGCTGCATGTTTGTTCGATATTGAAAAAGACAGAATAATAAAATTTTATCTCATGAATAAAAATATATAAATCAAAATATTATTTACAATTTTTCAACAAGCATTTTCACCAATATAATAATGGATTTTCTGTCATCATTTCAAAGTAAAAAAAGTTTTTCTACTTTATCATGTTAACATATTTAAATTTTATTTTAATTTTATCTTATAAGATATTATGATGATGCCTTAATTATATTCAATTAATAGCAAATATGTTAATGAATTTTTTATAAGTCTAATAAAATAATAGTTATCACAATTTATCATTTATGAATGCTAATGATAATCATCCAAAAGAGATTTTTTCTTCTCATTTTAATATTGTATTAAATTAGATGCATCAATTTTAACTGGCAGAAATTTCGCAATTTTTTAAAGCACTTGATATATTAGAATATTACTAAACTTATCATTAAATCAATAATCAATGAATATTCGTGATATCTTATATCATACCACTAGACTGATAATCATTTCAAGCGTTCATGAAATATTTTAGTGACCATGACCTCCAGGCATATAGCCTAAAGCGATGAAATTTGTCATCCGGAAGTGGCTTTATTTTATGACTTGTTACTCATTTTTATTTATTTATTTTCATATTAAAATGAAATTCGCTCGATTGAATAATTATATAAAATGAAATATTTTTTAACATAACTATCTATATTAACAATTTTTGTTTAAATATAAAAATAAATATTTATTAATAAAAACTATAAATATCTTGAAATAAATATGGTAATATTAGAGGTCGATTTAAGATTATAAAATGCAATTTTAAAATTTTTAAGCAGACCCTGAAGACTAAATAGAAGTAGGAGATAAGAAGAAGAACCAGAAGATGCAATGACTGACATCTAATGCTACAATAGTGCTTTTCTAATGCACTCAATTCATAAATAATTGAATAAACGTCTTGTCCCTGAGACATTCGATACCGCAATATATTGTATATATATTTTTCAAGTGATATCCACTTGATAAGTGACTATAAATCATATTGCACGGTTTTCCATACATTTGAATAACATTTGAACTTCCTGCGGGACGAGTTTATGTTGTTAAAACCTTACAAAACATCAGCTGTATTTCAAATTATTACTAATTTAAGCTATTTATTTATACTACAATTATCTATACTTTTATTTCTATCTTTGTTTACTTATTTTCGTCATGATTGAAAAAAAAACCAGGTCAATCAGAATACGTGTCCTGATGACGAGGTTAAAACGTACACCAAAAAGTGTAACAACTCGCACGCGCGACCGACATGTCCTTATGCTCGAAAGGATCAAACAGAAATCCTGGTATTTCTACACATATTTGTAATGGATAAGGATATTATTCCTGTGTAAGATAAGACGTATGGAACAAAAGGAAAGTACCGCTATTCTTATAAACTTTCGGGGAGAGGAAGATATTGATAATATCAATGAGTGTTGGAGAACTTTTTACATTGCTAATTTCTTTTTACTTCGAATTCGCTACGATCAAAAATTCACCGGAAGAAAGGAGAATTATTTTTTGGGTGCGCGTGGAGATGACAGATACTATCTTGAACGTGTGCAAAAACAACTTGACGTATACTTAGATATCTTTTACGTTCGTCCTACTTTTTAACAATTTGTTTACAAACATCTTTCACCTGACTTTCATTTATTTAGTGTGATCTTTATCGTAGTTTCTAAATGATGTAAGCATCATTAATTTGATTTATTATTCAAAATTTTACCAAAAATTTTTTATTCATTATTTTTAAAATAAAATTAATTAAATTTTATAATGCAATTTTTTCAAAGGATAAAAGATAGTTTTAAAACTCTTCTTTGAAAACTAAATTCAACAAATTTGAATGAATATTAAAAATTTTTAAATTATATAAAATATATTTGATTAAGAAATTATTTAATTTTATGATAATGCAAAATTTTTTGCTTAGTTTATTGTTTAATGACATTAACTCGAATTTATGCTCAATTTCAAATTTTCCTTTTACGAGTACTTTACATAAAAGTAATTACCATTAGATAAATTCAAATAGTTGTATTTATTTTTATACATATTAAATTAATGACTTTTTCATTATTTACAATAATACTAATAATACTTGGATTATTTTCTATTATCAATAACTCAAGAAAAAGAATAAACAGTTATAACAAATTCAAACTAAAGTTAAGATAATAATCACAAATATTACAATTTCGATAATAAGTAAATAATTCTTATTAATAAATGATGTCCGATCACGTGTACACAAAAGCATAAAATTAAGCAAAATAAATTAAACTGAAAATGTTGTAACTTATCAGATTATTATGTAATATCATAAAAGATGTCATTAATTAGCTATTTAGAGTTAGTGAAATAATAATTTAGTGTCTCGTGCAGAAATAAATCACGTGGAAGAACTGAACAAGTCGAATGATTGTCATTCCTTGGCCTTGGTTTTTCACGCGCGATTGAGTTCCTTTGGCTTATATTTTATAAAGTCAACGCCTAGATTTCTAGATCACTAGCATACCGGGCTTTATTTTTCAACCTCAAATATTTATAAAGTCATTTGATGTACACACTGATACCAGCAAAATCTCGTCAATCAAACATTAAATACCCACTGGTTGTTGACGATAATAAGGCATTGCATAGTTGTCCCAGTAGTAAACGTAACTTCAATAACATTTCATTACGACATCGTACTCTTGCTTTATCAGTTGATAATTTTTTTTCAATACTCCACTTGCTAAATATTTTATTTTCAGCAATCTCTTTTTATCTTACCATCAATAAAAGTTCACTTAATCATCATATCAAGTAAAAATAGCTGCATTTTGAAGAGTATTGTTGCCCTAGGACACTGAATATTTACTCTCTAAGATAAAGTCTGTGAAGACCTTGATGATTTATCAAGGCGATAAACCAGCAGAGACCCTTAGAGATACATCTTCAGTTCAGTTCTATGAATTATTCAAAAACAATCAAGTTAGGATAACTTGGGCACTAGGTTGTAACGTGACCAAGTGAATACTAGAAAAAGAGGGTATTTCTCAATGAAGAACAAGTCGAAATCAGAGGTACACTTGATGAGGACTGGAGATTGAAGAAAATGCCAAGATTGGTGATAGATAAGATGACTTTCTCTCTGAACAGTAAATTTCCTAGTGATATAGGAAAAATTGACTATTAGTAGACAGTTTAGTCTACACTACTGTGACTTTTTATACACGTATAGAGAGTTTTACAAGTGAGAATAATTTTATTATACATGAATTGGCTCCAGATTATGTTTCAATACCACATCAACATAGATTCCTATCAAACCTGACTTTTTTGGATGACTCTTACTGTCTTTTATCTCAGTCCATTGGTCATTTTTTGTTCTCACTTCTATTTGCCCCTGGTATTACATACATACATTCATCATAAATCTTTTGACTTGGGTCCTAAAGGTATATTCTCTCTTCTTTTCTTGATTTTTGTCTTCTTTAGTCTTGACAATCGCCTTGGTATAGATTCATTATTGATGCAAGCACAAAATAAACGGGTCAGCAGCTCATATTTTTAGCATTTTTGTATACCATTTTCTTTTTATTCTTTAACACCCTTATTACATTATTCATAGTAATTAAAATGTTACATTATAAAGATGCTTAGGTACGGAAGTAGTTTACATAAAATAAACATTTTAAATTTACATTTACTATTTTACTTTTATTTTATCAAAATGTATTTTTTTTTTTTATTAAATTTAATGAATAATACATTTAAAATATTTTTTCGTTTTTTAAATAAAATATCAAAAAGAATAGATGTCCAGTATTTTTTATTTGGCCATCAACATAAATAGTATATGATAATTTCTGAAAAAAATTTTTTGATTCTATTTAAATCCAAGATGTAATAAAAAATTCAGATTTTTAATTAAAGTAGATTATTAAACGAGTTCTTCAAAATCGAAATCAAGTTTACATATAATATTCCACCTGGAGCGAACACGAGGCACTCTAGACAGATAATTTTATTTATAAACTCCAACAAAAAATCAAAAAATAAATCAAAATGTCCATAAACCAGACATAAAAGTAAAATATTTTTATGTAAGAAGTTTTATATCATCGTAGAATTTCGTGAAAGAGGATTTTTAAATTTCCACTATGATACATGCGAAATAAAAAGAAGGGAAAACATATACGATATTGCGAGGGATGTCACATTCATTCATGGACAACCGCCGACGTCTGCATAATCTCATTGTGACTAGCCAGTCGTATATCTTTATATATGTATTTATAGTATAATGCTAAATCCTTTCTACACCCATCGATATCCCTCGTTTTCCGGTGTTTGCATATTGACGGAAGCTAGAGGACGTAGAAATGTGAAGCAACGACGCAGAAAAATCGTTCAGTATGTCTTTAGGTAACGTCTGCAAATAATACTTGATATTTTTTCAATTTTCTTAGAATACTTGTTATATCATTATTATTCTAACCTTTACCTATCGTAATCAACACTTTATTCCATTTGCAACCTAGCGTCATGCTTATTGCATACCGTTTAAAAGTGTTTAGAATACAAAAAAAAAAACACTAAGTAGATCAGTATTTTTAGTCTACCCACGATAATAAATAATGATAATATAAACCCACGTCATTGTGAATACGTAATCGAATTAAGTGAAAATGTGATTAAATTTCTACAATATGTGGTAAATGTGATTCCTCTCACATAGGTGTATATATATACATATACTGAAAAATGTATCACAAATCTTATGTTGAATAATATCTATACATGAATCAGACGCAAAAGTACCGTTACGTAATGTTGTCATCTTCATCTTATTTCGTGGATAGAAAAAAAAAGAAAATAAAATTATTTTATTTTGACTCTCGATTTTACCGTTAACTATAATATCATGAGAATATAAGTAGTTTTTTTTCAGGGTCGCTAACCTGAAATGCTATTTGAGATAAATAAATGATGAACTTATAGTTTCATCATACTTCCGTACTGTTAATTAATCATCAAAATTATTGTACACTTGGAATGGTATTTATTGCATCAGTCATTTAGCATCTCTAAATTCACCTGACTCTGGATGATGATATGAATGCATTCATTCAAAAGTCATCTTACTATGTCTTTTCTTTAAGCATGCACTTAACAAGAGTGTAAAGAGTGATCGTCGGTCAAGGCCGGCCGGTAGCACTACAGCGAAAGGGGGACTTTCCACACACGTAACCATTCCTCCTCCTCCACCACCTTCTTCTTCTTGATGTTTATTGGTACTGGTTGGCGGCCCGGCCGATTACCTCAGAAAAGACTTGACTGGTCATCACAATAACAAGAGTTTTACTCTCTCGTTTGGCTGCTGTGATTACCTATAACGACCATGTCCAGTGTCACTCAAGAATGTGGTCTAAGTGATGAGTTTGGAGTCATCGGACTCTAAAACAAATATTTCGTAATCATCAATGTAGTTTTTTCCAATAATCTATGCCTGATTTATCTAGAATATTTTCAATGTTAATCAAATTAGTTAGAAGGATCGAGAAAATTAGTTTCCCATGATGGAAACTTCTTATGGCATTAAGTAGTAAATAATGTTTTGAATCACAACAAAATTCTCCGTTATGCTTGAGCAACTTAGATATCATTACAAATGAGTCATTTGAGAAAGTTGGAAATTAATATATATGATATATTGTCAACTTGTGTGTTTATTTGATGACTATTATTATTATTTAGTTTAACCTACCAGCTTGTGTATAATTTTTAGATTCGGGTTTATATACAAAGGACAGGGTAATTTAGATGCAGCGACGATGATTTGGATTTCAAATAAATCAGTTGACCCAGGTGCATCCATCTTATATCATTATATAAATAAAATGTCCTCTTCTGTTATTTTTGCATAATCTATATAGAGATCACCAAAAACGATTGTTAAAGTCACTTCGTTGTGTCACTTTTTTTTACTGATGAATGATCAGCATCGATGATGCTGATGGAACTGATCTTCTTCAATGCATCTTGAATTATTTAATTTTAAAGTAACATAGTGTATCGAATTTTGCGATTCTTCAAGTTAAATTCACCTTATATACACGCCTACACGATTAGAAATATATTTTATTCATCGTCAACGATGCTTCAAACGCAGCAATCGCTGACAGAATATCAAACGTGCGGTTTTTTACTCAAATAAATGAATTTATTTTACCAGAATTTGCAAATTTATCATTGATCCTTCTATCAAATGATCTAAGAATATTCAAAGAAAAATAGAAAATATTATTTTAGGTCAAAAAATCAAAATATTAAAAAAGCATTATCTTAATGATCAATTAAAGATGGTAAATATTCTACTGATAAGTTGTATCATCAGTAATACACTTTTATCATTTAATCTTTATAAGCACATGACAAACGTTGATTTAACGCTTAATAGAGTAGCAAGCAATGAACTCGAATGCATTAAATAGATTATAAATAATTTGCAATTAGATCAAAGTATGGTAGCTATTCAAGAATAGTTGTAGTGTTGACTGATTGCGTTAAATTGTTTCATAGTGAATGTTTTGAGCGATCATGCATTCAATGCTGTTGGCGCTAATGCGGAAACAGTCTATGTATGTAATATGAAAACCGGGAATTGGTGCCACCCGCCGTCACACTCAGAGTCACGTTATACCTACATGGCAGGTCAAACTCGCTACAAAACAGGTGCAGAATTTCATCAACCCCCTTTTAAGTGTACTTTTTCCACTAGTGTTTGAATTTTTATATTGTTTATTGTATCTATAGGTTTTTAGACTCTTATCCAATCAATTTACAGACATATATTCTGAGTTCGAAGTTCGAATCCCCGTTACGGTAATGTTAATTTCTGCCATCCAGGCCAATACATGCTTGTTGAACTTTACATATACTTCAAGTGCCGTTCTTTATTTCCAGGATCATTTAAACATTAAATTCCGGTAGTTGAGCTTAAATTCATTGCATTCCACTCTATGCGTGTATGATTGACTATGCTAAAATTATATAAAGCATTAACTCACTCGCTGATCACCATATTTACTGTTTACCGGCGACAGTTCTATTAAGTGAGCGTCTCTGACATCAATCCATAATCGTTATCTGCTCAGATTTGTCTCAGAGGTACTTTTATTTACTGTATTTTCTGCAGCTTACATAAAACTATCATTACCGTTAGAAGTGCAAAATCAATTGTTAATCAACACTATCACATGATGAAATTTACCATTTCTATTACACTTTTTCTTTCAGGATCAAACCTGAATCTAAAAATAATATGCATATGATTAGAGTGAAATTTGATGATTAGTTGACATTTATTGCTGATCTATTAAAGCTCCAAATGCCCATCTTATATAACAAAGAGGAGTATGCTGAGAGAGATGGGTATGTGGTATTATAAGTGACGGAAGTTTTTATCTTAGATCAGAAATTAATTTACATGCCAAATGCATTTGGACATCTTCAAGCTGAGTCTCTTGTTGGTTTCTTTCTCATCCATAGTGAGTACATAGTGAGTATTGTAGAAGTGTGTAGATAGGTAGGTAGGTAGATATTGCTACGAGTAGCAACCTTGATTTTGGCTGTTATATCCGACGTTGGGACCTTCGTAGCAACAGACTATTGGCATAATCGCAAAGATCGAAAGCAGAATGGAGAAACCTTCTTTCAGCTCAACTATCAATTGAAGTTTGATTATGTATATACATATCGATGACTTGTAGATTCGTGACAGTATATACAATTTACTTATCGCTAAATTACACAAAAAAGAGGTCATGATTTTCAAAAACAAGGTCTTTGTTGCGTAAAAAATTTGAAAAAAAGACTTTGAAGAATGACCCTGAATCACCTGATTGAAGTGTCAGTTATTTTTTATAAGCTTATGATATAATCTAATTATTTGATAGTTTTTTTTTATTTTTAATTTATTCAATCATATGAAATTTGTATAATTCATGCTGAGATGTGCCAAGAAGAAATGAAAGAAGAAGGTAAATAAATAATAAAATAAAAGAAAGGGAAAATGAAGCAAATGGAACGACTTGTGGCTCAGCGACGTACACCTCTCCCTTTCTTTTCCCGACACTGGTGAATCTGACGAGAAACACAAACAAGCACGCGAACACATGAGGCAGCAAAAGTGAGTGCTTTCCCGTTATGTCTGGCTATACACATTATAGGGGCGTTGAAATACCGCTAACTTCTCAGAAATTGACTCTCGATGCAAGTGAAGTAATCTACTCACTGCGTAGTTATAGTTGCAATTATTAGTATCTGTTTAAGCCAATTCGTGGACCATATTAGTGTAATATACAAGTACCTGGAAAGAAGTACTTCTTTGATAGATGATACTTTTAATGTGCATTTAGTCATGCTACGCTTTTTCATACTCCTCTGCCGCATGTTTTATTCACACGTGGCCAAAACATGCTTACTTTATGGAATTTGCCTGCCAAAGTATTTCTTTTTTTTTTTGTATTTTAAATGTCCATATGTACTTTCGTCGATTAAAATACATCAATTCGATTTTTTTTCAATCAAATTTTTTGTTTTACCAGTTTTTAGCATTTTTTTCATCTTTATTTTTAACTTTTAGTAATAGTTGGCGATATATTCACCTGCTAAGTAGATTAATTAAATGGTAATATTGTGATTTATAATATATTCCGGAATTGGTTGTGTTAATAAATAAACTTTTACTCATTGATATTCATTTAAAATTACAAAATGCAGGCACATAACACATCTTTCTAGAAGAATCTTGTGATGGTATCAGCAAAATCGTGGAACTTGGCATTTTATATTATGATTAAATAAACAATAAGATGTCAGATCGTCTGATGAAACTGGGTCGATGCAAGTCTTCCGGGTGTAGCCAAAAAAAAATTTCCACGCTTTCCGTGGATCTATTGATTTTCAACTCGCGATCGAGTCAAGTCATTGGTGTGACTGTTATCTTACCAACTCCCCCCGACACATTCGAGTTCGTGGAAGCTACGTGTCTCTTGTCTAAGTGGGTCGGCCCGTGCGCACCACAACGTCAATTATTCTCAGATACTACATTCTTCTTAAGTTCCGGGTCTCACCGAAACTCATCGATCTTTCCACGGAGCAGCAATGTCATCTTTATGCTCACGTGCATCTTTGCATCATATATTCAAATCTCTCATAATTCATCTATTATTTACTTGAGAAAAAATTAATTTATTCGATCACTTTATAGGTTTTAAGTAGCAACAGCCATTCTAAAAGATCAACATATTGAAAATGATTATCATTTATCAGGTTGAAGAACATGGTAACAACTTTTAGGGGATGTACGAAAAACCATCACTTCCTTTCTAGGCATACTCTTGATGATATTAAATTTACCAAGTCTACTTTACCAAAAAGTAGTCGTGTTATGTTCCAGCTAAAACAATTAATTTTCCTGCCATATATGAGATTGTCAGTGGATGGTGACTGTAATGAAAACAAGTGGTTGTCTGGTGTACCAGAGAGGAACTGGACTAAGGACAACCTGAAAGGGGAGTAGCAACACCTTAATGGTAAATGGTTAAGAAGGGCAAGAAGTGTCCCTTTACAGTTTCCAACTTGAACCTCCCTCTTCTTCTTCATCTCTTGTTTTCTTTATTCTTTATCAGCAGTTTTGATCTTTTTCACTTTCTTTCTTTCTTTCTCTCATTATAAATAAACGAATTTGAAGGAAATCCAATCATCTCCTTTGGGTCTCAATTGGTCCGCTGAGTTTCGTATCTCATGGGGTACAGCACTCTCCAATAATCAATCGTGTCCTGTCTCACGAATCCATATGTATGGGGTGAGCACCGACGTAAATGTGCTGACTACATTGGGTCGGTATATAAGGTAGCCGGCCACCATCCAATCCTCAGACCGAGTTTGATCGTCAAACTGTTTGGAGACGCGCTCATCTGTATTTACTTGATACTTTTTACATCACCAAATAGTACTTTTTTTGGTTTTTTATATATTTCACTGTCAATGATACTAGACTTTACCATTTCATTCTAAAATCATAGACGTATTAATACTTCCCAAGTGTTCACATTTATTTATCCATCCAAGTTTTGAGTTGTATTTTTGAATTAGAAGAAAAAGAAGAAAATGTTGACATTAAGCATGTTTGACATGTTGAGCACTACTACTTATCTCCTCATAATTGGAGTCATTGTCGGTGTAGTGTTGATACTCGTAGATCATGCGAGATCAATCAAAAGGAAAAGAACACTTGCTAGAGTGATCATTGAAGATGGAGAAGCTCCAGATACTGCCGTGAAGAATAAACAAATCCTTCGTGATCCTCCTGGACCTGTTCCATATCCAATTACGGGATCAATTCATCTTCTTGGTCAATATGATGTTCCTTACAAGGCGTTTGCCTATCTTACCAAGAAATACAATAGTCAGGTGATAAAACTCCGAGTAGGATCAGTACCATGTGTTGTTGTCAATGGATTAGAGAACATCAAGGAGGTATTATTTGCTAAAGGACAACATTTTGATTCCCGGCCAAATTTTGTCAGATACAACAAACTCTTTGCTGGAAATAAAGAAAATTGTAAGTTAATAACTTGTAAACTCATAAAATATTGTCGTAGTATCGATGACATTGAAACATTTTAATTACCTTGCACTTTTATTTGAAAATTCAATGTAATAAGAGACGATAAATTCCATTCATTGTATATATATGCATACACATATCTGTAATAACGCGAAACTTGAGTGTGTGTCAAGTTACTTTTATAAATAATTTTTTTCTTTTTTCTCTAGCATTGGCCTTCTGCGACTGGTCCGAGATACAGAAATCTCGACGCGAGATGCTCCGCAACCATACATTCCCACGTGCCTTTACTTACCAGTACAACCAGCTGAATGTAATCATTGCATCGGAAGTGGAGAACCTGTTGGCTCACCTTGACAAACCACTTGGTACGATGAAGGTCGCGGTCAAACCACTTGTACTCAATACATGCGCCAATATTTTCACCAGTTACTTCTGCTCACGCCGCTTCGAATTCGGCGATATGACTTTCCGTCAAATGGTCCAGAATTTCGATCGAGTCTTCTACGAAGTCAATCAAGGTTACGCTGCCGATTTTATGCCATTTTTGATGATAATGCACGCCAAAAATATGTCCAATGTAGCCAATTGGACACAAAAAATTCGACAGTTCGTTGAAGATAAAATTGTTGAAGATCGTCTAAAAAATTGGACTGAAGTCATTCCTGAAAAAGATTACATGGATTGTCTCATTAACCACATTAAATCTAACGCTGAACCCAAAATGTCTTGGGAGACTGCTTTATTTGCTCTGGAAGACATCATCGGTGGACATTCGGCTATTGGTAACTTTCTCGTCAAAGTCTTTGGTTTTTTAGCCACTAGAAGACATATTCAAGAAATTGCACAAAAAGAAATCGATGAAGTTAAGATAACAGGCAATACTGTTGGCTTGGAGCACCGACACTCAATGCCATATACTGAAGCTATTCTTCTTGAAGCCATTCGACTTATTGCCAGCCCGATCGTTCCTCATGTTGCAAACAGAGATACTTCAGTAGCTGGTAAGAATCTTTCACAATTATCCTAAAACAAATCAACCGTTTGAATAATATATTTAATAAATAATAATAATAATAAAAATCTTACTTTTGTTCCAGGATTCAAAGTAGATAAAAATACATTTATATTCCTCAACAACTACGAATTAAACATGTCAGCAGATCTTTGGGATACTCCAACAGAATTCATGCCAACTCGATTTATCAAAGAAGGCAGGATATCCAAACCAGAATACTTCCTACCTTTTGGAGGTGGCAGGCGATCATGCATGGGTTACAAAATGGTCCAGTATCTCAGTTTTTCAATTCTTGCTAGCATCTTAAAGAATTACACAATAGCTCCTATTGAAGAAGAAGTCTATAAAGTACCAGTTGGTAGTCTTGCATTACCCGAAACAACATTCAGTTTTAGGTTTGAAAGACGATGAAGTCCTATTTGCTGATAATCATTTAAGTATATATTAATTTGAAAGCTCAAATAATTATTATATAAATGAAATTACTAGATTTTAAAGTGACTAATATTGATGCTCAATGATCTTAATACAGATCAATTGATAATAATTTTTTTATGACTAGACTGTTTTAGATCATAATTTATATGTTTATACTTTCATTTCATTTAAATTAATGTTCATCGTCATTTTTTCATTATGTTTTAAATTATATAATAATAATTTATTTCATACTTGCGAGGATGAGAAAAAAAGAATGAGCTTAAAAAAAGATGAGTTATTGTTACTATAACTACATCGAATATATTTGTTAATATTTGTTATTGAATTATTATCATTATTATTATTTTAATAATAATTATTATTGTAGATCGACACATCATAGTGTATATCTGTGTATTTGTTGTACATTACTTTTGATTTTGTTATTTAATTTACAATATTATTGTTGTCATTTATAATTAGTTAATTTATTATTTAAGTATTTTAATAAAAAAAATTCAAAAATACAATTATATGTTGTTCACTTTTTTTTTTTAATAGTATAATAAATCTATAAATAACTTATTTATATAGTAATAAAATTATGAACACATGTGATTTGTAACTTATCAATTGTCTATGAATAATGCAATGTCTTTGGCTTGAATAGCATTACAATACATATTTATGTACATTTTTAACTGCACAGCCTAAAATATAAATTCATTGTAGGAAGGTGTAGTACGATTAATACATCAAATATGTAAAAACTTAGTACGTAGCTTATGAATATTTGTATTGAGTATATTCTATCATATCATCTTTAGATTAAGATAATACTTGGCTGTTTTTTATTGGAACTGTGATGAATATTTTTAGGTAATCTCTTTTTCCAGACATCCATCTCACACAGGTGTCTGGCCCGCCTTAAATCTTGTATCATTTTTAAACACCATCAGTAGTCGAGTCCTTAGGAGGGAACATTTTTTCTTTTTCTTCTTGAATCTGGAGTGTAAATCTTCGTTTTTTTGAAAATAGTTCATCTATTTCATGAAGAGTTTTACCCTTGGTTTCAGGTAAGCAAAAAATAACAAAAATTGTACCAGCTAAAGATGCTAAAGCATAAAATAAAAACACTCCGTGTTTACCCATTGAATTCAACATATCTGGGTAAGACTTAACAGTAATGAAACTGAAAATGTATGCAGCGCAAGTACTAATTCCAGAGAGGATGTCCTTGACCTTCACTGGGAAGATCTCACCTACCATTGCAAAAGGTAAAGTTAAAAATCCAATGGTACTCATAAAAATGTATACGAGGACACAGATTGCTGGTATTAAACCACGATCGCCAATGAAATGCCCTCGATTGACGAGGAATAGATAAATTGAGAGTATTCCCATACAAAGTGTCATGCCAATACCCGATGCAATTGATGGTATTCTTCTACCCCATTTCTTAGAAGCACAAGCTACAAGAATGGATCCAGCAAGTCGAGTAATTCCGATTAGTATAGCACCTAAGTATGCGTCCATTTTTATTCCAGCTTCTGCGGTAATGTCTACAGCATAAAAAACTACGACAAAAATTCCAGAAAATTGTTGGAAGAAGAAGTATGCTAACATGATGAAAAATGGCTTTAGGGAGCTTGTTTTCGTCAAGTGTTTTAATAATGACCGCTTTTCTGAATTGTTTATATTATTTTGAGAATTATAAAGTTCTTTTTCAATTTCTACAGTTATCGAATGATTTTTTGGCACTCCACGAAATTTTTTCATTACCACTCGAGCTTCATCTAGACGGCCTTTATTACGTAACCAGATGGGAGACTCTGGAATTGCTAATATTATCAAGATAATTGCTACTGTAGGGAAAAGACTACACATAAGAGCAATTAATCGCCAATTGTCCTGAAAATTTACATTATCTTATTATAAATTATTAATCTTGTATTAAAGTATATTAAATGAATTTTAATTACTTGAATTATGTATCCAAAGACATATACTAATAAAATTCCCAAAGCGATTGATATACTACTCCAAGTAACCATTGTACTTCTCCATGCAGGTGTAGCGATTTCTGCTGTATAAACGGTTGCTGGTACAGAAGCTAAACCAGTTGCAACTCCTGAAACAACTCTTCCAACCACCAATTTTTCATAATTCGGTGCCATATATATCAAAAGCCATCCAATGAGAGAAAAAGTTGATGTGACCATTAAACTTAATCGTCGTCCTCTTCTCATGATGAAGCTTGATAAAATGCATCCAATTGGAGTACCAAAAGCTGCTGCTCCAGCTAAAAACCATCAATAATTTATGTCTGAGTAATCTGGAAAACAATTTACTAATTAATTTACCTATCCATGATGCTTGATTCTCATCAACTGTTAAATCACTTTCACCTGACCGAAGAGTTGGAAGAATAACAGCGCTATATCCTAGACTCATTGCTGGTCCAAGAATAGATACATTTGCAAACAGACTCATTATCATCTGTGTAAATAGAATAATCATTTATTACGGCTAATTAACTTTATTACACTATAAAGTTCTTAATTGGTAATTTATATAACATTCAATAAGATATCTCTACAAATACTATTGCATAATTTCATGACATTATTCGCTATCACAAGGGTTTTCCCGCAAATTTTTTTCCTAAGATTTCAGAAATGATTCGAGTAATTCTTCAATTAATTACTTCAAAAGGAAAAGATGAATAGATTACAAACTACTTGAAATTGTTAAACATGTGAATCATTTTTATCATGGTTGTATCAATCGATAAACAATCAAAATAATTACATTTTATACTTTGTATTTAGTGTTCATCTATCTTAAACTCTTTAATGTTGATTTTAATCAAGTTGTAATGAAGAACATAAAGACTAATCAAAAATAGCAATATTATAAAAATTATAATATCATAAAGAAAGAAGAATGAATGAAATATATTTTATAAGTGAATCATAAATTGTGATAACAATTTTTTTTTTCTTGTCAGTTGATGACTTCTTGATCTTAAGTTACGTTGTACCCATATATAAACAAACAAAAATATCATGTATGTGTTAAAGATAATTTTTAAGTAGTTATAACAAATTAATTATTAATTAGAGATATTAATACATTTTCGGTTAAAAAAGCTGATGAATAATTTTTAACTAAAAATTGAAGCCATAAGGATGGGTTTGGCGTATAAATATTTAACAAAACCGGTTCAACGAGGTCTTCCAGTCTCTCTCAGAAAATTAAACTCATGCTACTTCCAATCTACTGAACAATATCATATTTTAGCGATAAATTACTGTAACGTAAAAATCATTTTCTACTTATTTCATGTTACATTCAATATTTTTTTCTGTTCATTCCTATCAGGTTTTCGTCACTTACTTGATAAATAAGACCTCTTCGCTTTTGAAGCCTCTGTTCTTCCGCTGAACTTAACTCGACCTGTTGAATGTGATAACAATAGTTAAGTAACAGTCTTTGTTTAAATTCGTTATTTTATAATCAATCATAAAATATATGTTATTTAATATAATATATAAAATGTTGAAGTTTACCTTCATTTCCACTACTTGATTGCTCTCATTCATCATGTTGGTGTGTAATTTTCCTTTCACTTTCTTTAAACAAAGGCTAACCGATAACTTTCTAATTGCTTTAAAATAGAATTAAATCCATAAACTTCAGTTTATTTAAGACAATTCTTTACTTTTTTATGTTATCTATTGCAATGATATATTTTTATTAAAATGAAATAATGTATTCGATGTTCGCAGAAATGAGCTTATCAAATGGAACAAAGATTCTTTAGAGATTCGAACAGTTCGAGTTTCAGTTATCGACTGGTGAATAGGCGAACGGTCTTCTTGGAAATGATCGCAAAGTATACAGAGACTTGTATGATAGTGTATTATAAGAAATAAAGGAGTCTTTTCCATCTCACTAGGGGTGATGATCAATCCAAGAAATTAAGAAATGATGTTTCTTGAATAGAATTTCAACTCTATAAAGTTGGATTATCTAAATGATATTCGTGTCATGCGAATATAAACCGTAATCGGATATTGTAGAATTAGCTCAGTATTAAATGACGCAAGATGATGGGAATATTATTAAGATATCACAATGACAAGAAAATGTCAATGTAACGCTTCCTCGAGATTTGTTTCAAGATTGTTTATACAACCTTGCACTTTACTTCTTGACTATTATTATTTTATAATCTAATATCACTTTTAAAGAAGATCAGCTTTTCCGTCTCACTACTTACGTTTGTTATGAAATCCTTGAATGCTCAAGTTATTCAACAAGTTAACGTACTCTTGCTAATTTTGATTAATGATTTAGTGATAAAAATTTTCTTTTCGTTAACACAAATCGCTAATCTTTATTATCGAATTGATAATTTCAGTTTAATCCTACCTGTCTGACTGATAAAAACGATTCACATCCAATCTTTCGACAATAAAGAATTTGATGCCAAATCAGGCACAGAATCTACATGAGTTCATTCTTTTTCTTAAGTAGTTTGATATCTCTCATCTAATAAAATGTATCTATCAAAGTATTGCTTAGATCGTTCAACATTGATTCAGGTATTAAACGAAATTTTTAAAGTAATTATGTAAACTGAAGTCAATAAACAAAAATATACGTTGTAAATAAACAAAAGGTCAATGAACAGCGGCAGAGCTTTTAAAACATCCCATGTTGTTAATCAAACAAACCTATTTTTAGTTTTGCTATGGATGTTATGCAATGACAACTTTAACTGTATCTGGAATGAGCATGGGATTTTCATCAGTGGCATTACCTTTGTTAACAAAAAATGACACATCTGAATCAACACTATTGTATCTTAATGGATCAGCTGCAGTTTGGTTTGGTAAACTCTTGATTCAATTTAAACTTTAGTTTTAATTTGTTTGTTTATTTGTATTAGTGATATTGTTTGTTATTTTAAAAGCATCAATTACTTCAATTGCCATTATTTTTGGATGCATTATGAGTTCTTTAACTATGACAGCAGGACGAAAAATGGCAATGACAATTTCTGGCATTGTTGCTATTATTGGTTGGATAATTATTGCGACAAGTTATCAAGTTTATTCATTACTCATCGGCAGATTTTTGACAGGTACAATTGATTACAGTAGAACATGTAATGTTTATGATGATAAAAAAAAAATAACAATATTACACATTGTTTTTCGTAAATTATTTACGTCGTTCTATATTTTATAGGATTTGCCATAGGTTTAGCAGCAACACCTGCACCAGTTTATACAGCAGAAATTGCAACGTCACGATATAGAGCAACTTTAACGTCATGTACGAATTTCTTTATCTGCATCGGAATTTTACTCATATATTTCCTAGGATTCATCATATCTGTAAGAAAAAATTCTTGATTAATTTTTATCAAAATATTTCAAAAATATTATTAATTATTATCTTTTTCCAGAATAACTGGAGATTGGTTGCATCATCGTCGGTGGTTGTGCCTACAATATCTGTCATTTTGATTGCACTTTGGTTACCTGAAAGCCCAAGATGGCTTTTAGATCAAAATCAACCCCTAAAAGCTAAAGAAGCTTTACTTCGTTTACGAGGATTAAGTTGTGAAACTAGTGAGTTTTCTGAAGAATTTAGTCAGCTTGTTCATTACCATGAAAAAACTTCTATTAATATTACGAATAACTTATCCTCATCCTTTGGAGAAACTTATCCTCATCAGACATCATCTGGAAATATCTTTTTAAAGAAAGTGAAGAGTTTTTGGATAATTTCAAAACTACCAGAAGTATGGAAACCATTCATTATTCTTAACATATTTTTTTTAATTCAACAATTTTGTGGCATTTATGTGTTAATGGCTTACACAGTTGAACTCATTATTAATGCAGGAATTACTATTGATCCTTACTTAATAAGTGTTTTCATTGGAGTAATTCAAACTATTGGAGCTCTTGCTCTTACATTGTGTAGTTCCAGGTATCAACTCTGAATAATACTTAGTGCCACTATAAAATTGTTCTTATTAGTTTAATTCAACTGTTTTCTTCCATGTAGAATGGGCAGAAAGCCAGCATCAATTATTTCTGGAATAGGAATGACCGTATCTTTAGGTGTTTTAGGAACCTACATTTTCTTAAATGATGAAAATAATCATTTGAACACAAAATATTTCTTTATTCCTATTGCTGCTTTGCTCGTTTTTGTCGTAAGTATTTTATCGTCTTGAATTATTTTCAAATTAATCTACAAACCTAATTCTATTATTGTTTCAGGCAACTGGATCCTTTGGATTTTTATCAATTCCTTGGGCTATGATTGGTGAATTATACCCAACACGATTTGTCAATATTCTTGGTCCTCTGACAACATGTCTAGAAGGATTATTCAACTTTGCATCGATTCAAATTTATCCTATACTTGTTGCTTGGAGTTTCCCAGCTACAATTTTTTTGTATTTTTCTATTTCCTTTATCGGAATTTTTTTTGTTATTTTTATTTTACCAGAAACTTATAATCGATCTAAAAGTCAAATTGAAAATAATTTTAAAAAAAATTGACATTCACTTTGTACTTTTTATTTTCAATTAAATTGTTTACATGAATGTAGATACTGTTGTTGTGTATATTGAATTTTGCGCAAGAAAGTAGATACGTATGCCCTCTGCGTTAAAAGATATTGACTGAAGTTCAATGCCAAAAGAAGATAATATAGCAATCAGACAAGATTTCTTTCAACACAATTAATTTTTTATAAATTATTGGAATACGTTGGAATATTGATACAAAGAAAAAAGTTTTTTAAGCAATCGAATTTTTTAGATTAATTATAAGCTACAATGCTTTATGTCAAATGTGCATAAAGTATGAAAAGTAGTTATGACAACAGAAGATAATTTATCTGGAGCATACTCTAAATTGGTAAATACCATTTCTTCAACTTTAGATGTCAATAAAATAGAAAATTGCTCATATTGCTGTGAGTTTTGAAATGTAGTTATATTAATAAAATTTTATTGTTTTTACTCATATACATAGTTATATTTTCCATGATGCCGTTATAGCACACTAGGAAAATCATAAAAAATCATTTTTATTTACTGAAGATACAAATACTTAGAAACAAACTCACCACAACAGAGTATCTACCCAAAGGACCTAATTAAATCAGGTATGAAAACTCTACAATCATTTCCAATGATGAACCATTTTCATATTTTTGCTCTCAGCAATGAGCATGTTGAACACTTAACTCAATGCAGAATAGTTGTGATACATCAATCGACAAGAGTTCTTTGTTCATTCATTCGTTTGATGGAATATTTGTACGAGATATCGAAACGTATCGAGACATGGCAAAGGCTTTTTCAGACTTTTATAAAAGTAAAACGATTTTTTTATCCATACTTCTTAAAACATATTAAAAGGTAATTTATTTTTCATAATTGTCATAAAAACACAAATAATCAGTACTCATACAAACAATCTATTTAAACCATACACACTGCAAATCGTAATGTTTTAAATTAAACCACTTTCAAAATTCGAGATTTGCAGTGCCAATATTGTATTTACAACAATAATTGTCAAATTAAAAAAAGACTTCAACAAACTTTTTTTTTTCAACAATATTAATTCACATGGAGAACATCGTCTGGAACGTAATGATTTTTTTTTATCAAAATAACTCAACTGGAGTGAAATTTTACATGATTTCACTGTAAATTTTAGTGTTTTATTTTAAAACATTAAAAGTGGTTTAATATAACGTCACCCATTTGATTAACATTGTCTCGATTTTAAAACACTTAAGAACGTTTTAAAATCGAGACAATGTTAATCAAATGGGTGACGTCATATTAAAACACTTTGACTGTTTTAAAATAAGACACTAAAATTTACAGTGTTATCAATCATTTAGTATGGAGAGAAATTAGAAAGATTAATTAAATCTCTATTCGTGGTTTTGAACGGCTATGATGAATCAAATAAAAGATCATATTAGCTACGTTCAATATCGTATTTACGATTCTTTGTCAACTTTTGTATTTAATTGTTATCTAGACATTTACTTCAGAATTGGACTTTGTTCAAATAAAATGGCTCATTTTTCTACAAGACAATGTCGAGATAGAAGATTTTTTTGGAAATGTTCTCATTCCTTTTAATTATGAATTTTGGGTATCACGAAAAAAAGCGGATGCCAACTAATTAAGAAAAGAAGTATCTATTATATGGAAAGCAAATACCAGAATGGTATTCCCCACGTCCAAAAGTATTTCGTGTCAATGTTGAAAGCACAGTTGATAAGCTTACTTCAAAACAGTTCATACAAATTCAGAATGGTTTACAATTCTGTGGAATATGTAAAATTAATGGTTTTATTCCTATTTTATTGTAAATTTGAATAATTGTTTTAATGTTTCAATATATTTATTCATCAAGATAATTTTAGCGATCAGATTATCCAGAATCAAAACAGCTACAGATTATCAAGTGATCCAAAATTATATTTTTTAAGTTACAAAGAAGCAATAGAAATTCTACGTAAAAGAAAAAAAATGTAATTATTATTTTCAACTTCATATAACTCAAATTTCAAACATTTCAACTGCCGTTACAAGTAACATCCGAAAATTCGTTTTATTATTATTATTATTATTATTTATTTTTCTACAACCAAAAAGTCCATACTGTTCACTTATTAATTCAGAGTAAGTTTGTCAACTAATCAAACAAGGTATTAAATTATGTTTTGTTACTACATCATTGATTCCACAACAACTGAGTTCAATTGAAATCTAAAATTCAAGTAATGTCACAGTAGTAAGGGTAATTAATTTTCCTTTCAATAAGTACTCATTGACGTCTATTTTTTAGGATAATTGTTTTATGGAAATATGGATTTAAAAACCATTTATTACGTTCTTCATTAAAGCAGAACGTAATTTTTACCTACAGTAATTATATGAAATTTTTTAATATTTATTTTCTATTATCTATTATACATTAATAACGACAATAAAAATATAATTTCAGAAATATAAAGAGTAATATTCACAAGCCGACTTAAATGATATTAAACCATTACTCATAATAATTTTTATTAGTTTGATAATGAGCTCATTCGTATTATTCATAGAACGCTTCATATATTACAAAATGATAAGGAATCTAAAAATGATTGTGATTCCAAATAAATTTATCAAAAATCGAAAATATTTATTGCGTCTTCCTTCTTGTAGACCTCGAAGTTTACCTAGCAGAATGAATACAAAAGTGACTCAAAATTTTAATAAAATTCGTGCTTTGTTGGATTAAATACGTGAGAAATTGAAATGAAATATAAAATGAAAAAATTGTTATTAGTATTCATTCACAGTCAATAAATTTCATGTAACTTAGAGATACTCCAAACTTAGAGATTGGAGATTAATCATACATAAGCTTTACTCAGTGTAACTAAATGTATATAACAATAAAACTTTTTGAGTGTAGTGTTTTTATGAATAAAAAATATAATTATGATGTGAACATAGAAATATTTTTTAATTTTCTTTAATTGTTTATGTAGATGTAGAAGTTGTTTGTTATAAAATATCGATTGATAAACGTCAGAAAGTGTTCGATATTGTAACGTATGTTACAAATGTGGACATTCTTTTTTCACTTCTTAGCAGTGTGTCAATCGCACGTTGACGTAAAATCAACATCAATACTTGTATTGTAATAATATTCGACTAAATTATAGATATATCCAGAACTTAAAAATTCTAAGAGCTTTGATTTTCATCTACAATTTTTTTTTACTTAAAAACGATACACTTAAATATATATTTTCCAGAACATAGAATAGAAATAAATAAATTTTCTATGGAACAAGAATCAAGTCTTTCCGGGATAAAGTAAATAAAACTTAATTAAAAATAGAGCTTAGAACCAGGAGAGTTCAATAATGTATTGATCAATAAAGTGTAATGAACATTTTTTTATTATAGTGTATCTCTTGATGACAGTATATATAGTTATATATTGTATTATATATTATGTACACATTTGATTTATTTCTGAAATTTCAGTTAGCCATTATTTCAGAGTTTGATTCAGCTTTAGTTAATGATTTAAAAATAAAATAGAAACGTGAATTGAAACGTAGAAGGCATAAGTGTATTTTTCTTAAACTTATCAGCTTACATTTATTATTGTTATCTTTCTTAATATTATTATTATTTCTTTTTATTCTTTAATTATAAGTATTACAAATAATTTCACGATTTTTAAATTTATCATTAAAATATTGACATCAATAGAGTGAAATATTTTCTCCACATGGTTGTTTAGAAACTGACATATTTATGTAAGAAGACGTCAGTTATATAATATTTACTATTAGATTTATATTAACTTTGATTTCAGAAAAGTACACTTGACATTTTTATAAAGATGTAACTATGATTTATTATATTTTTTCAATATTTTAAAATAATTTCATATTAATTATTTATATATTACTTCTTAGAACATGTTATTGTAACAAAATTTTTGTCCTGAAAATAGACATACTTGAATCTGCTCTTAATACATTTTGCTTTAGGTGATAAGTCTTTGCAACGTTATAGTCAGATTTAAGGCCGATCATCAGCAGAACAAAAATTGTGCTACTAGTGTGATTGACAGAAGATTAAAATATTTTCCTTTGTTATTTTCTTTTATCATTCTTCAACCTTTTTAAAGTTGATAATCCTTTAGCTGTTAATCATATGTACATACATACATTTGTCAAAAATGTACGATACCATTGAATGATATTCTTTCATATTTATCTAATTCATCTTAGGTAATAAAGCAGTGTTATTCGAACGTCAAGGGGTTAATATAAGTACATCAATACATGGAATGATTGAAAAGAAAGGATGATAGAAAGATGTATTAGAGGAAGATTAAGAATAGAAATAAATTGATAAACAATGTCAATTTTACGAAAGAATACACGAATTTCTTTTGCCTCCTGAACGTTCACGAATCTGTTGGAGATGTTGTAGCTGCTGAGGTGATGGCACATGAACACTACTTGTTCGTGAGTTGTGCTGGGGTGGAGGTAATGATTGACGTCTTCGTCGTCTCAATGCAGGGCTTAAGTTGTACTTGACCTTGGCTTGGACTAATAACTCCTTGAAGACCTGTGAAATGTTGAGATTATCTTTGGCTGATACTTGAACAAATCCATTCTCCCATTCGATCTCTACAAGTTCTCTTGTTCTTTCGGCATTGACCTAAAAGAACATTTAATTAAATTAGCTTCATTTTATTTTATTTGCAGTTTTTTCATTAAAGGAAATTACTTAAATGTATTTTCTTGAAAAAAGCTTATTTTTAATAGTGTTTTATATGGAGTTGATTGTTATCAATTATTAAATAATAGATGTTCAAATATTAAATGGTAAATAAATTAAGAATAATAATTTATCTGTTAATATCAATTTAATTTGTGAGAGGAATTTATCGTCAATATTGATTTAATGAACGTGTAATAGACAAGTAGTGAATCGAAATTAATAATAATTTGATGATTTTATTGGAGAAAATTTCGTATGATCAGTAATTATGAATAACAATCATTTTTAAAGATCACGAGAAGTTGAAAATATTAAAATCAATTTATTACCGGTCACTAATGCTTGAAAATTTAAATTAATCTAAATTTTCAATATTTTTCATATTATTTTATAATAGACAACAAATTTGAATTAATTTAGATTTCATAAAAAAAGTTTTTTATTCATTAAAAGTAAAAAAAAGTTAAATAAATTTGTAACTTGATTGTAAAATTAACTCTCTTTTAAAAGTAATTAGAAAAATTTTCTCCTCGCAATCTCTAATTTTTTATACATAATTTAAACTTTGTTTCACACAATCGAATTTTTTGTGAAACTAATGATTACATTTTCTCGAATGACAATCAGTTTTGGATGTACCTTTTGAACTTTTAATCATAAAACTTTATATATTAGTTTTTTTCAGATGATTTAACAGTTGTCTTTAAATCGACAAGTAGTTCACTAATGGACAAAGTTCATTAAACGTCAAGTACTTTAAGATAAAATAAAAATGATAAATAACAAACAATGAGTGAGCAAATTTACTTGAGAATCACATTCAGCATCGTCATCCATTATCAGATCAACCTTATTTCCAACGACAACAATTGGCACAGCTCCTTTGCTCGCAAGTATCTGAGATCTTAATGCTGACACTTCAGTAAAAGTTTCAGCATCATTTACGTCATAGACTAAGATAAAAGCATCTGCTGATTTGATAGATAATTCTCTCATTGCTGGAAAATCATATGAACCTGACGTATCCAAAATGTCCAAAGTCAATTGAATTCCAGAAACATTAAAATCACCACGATGCATTTCTTCGACAGTACGTTTATATTTGGGTGAAAATGTGTTATATAGAAATTGATTGATTATTGAAGATTTTCCAACTTTTGCTGCCCCCATTACAACTATCTTATATCTTGCTGGAGCATCTGGAGACTTTTCGTCACTCTCTGACTCCAAAAGCCTCTCATTCCTGTAATAAAGAAATTTGAAGAGTCTTTCAAACATGTTTATTGAATATTTAACTAAAACTTTATTAACTAGAAGTTAATTTACTTTGATTAATTAAAACAACAACAGCAAGTATTACAACACACCAGGTGGTCGTAATTAAATCAAAGTAGTTCTACTTCATGTTTTTCTTGTATTCATACTCGACTGAATTTATAGTTAATTATTTTTTATCAATTTTCTAATACATAAACAGGAAAATAGTATTATAGATTAATTTGTAATAATGTTTATAACGTGTCTATAGAAATATGTTGTTTATTATAGTCAAGTTTATCCTAAGGTGTGAGTATTGTTACATAATCAGTACACGTTACTCATTTTCTTTATATTATTATCACCTACCCTCACTGAATACTAACTACGTTGTTGTTATGCAATACAAGCATTATTTGAAGCGTGTAGACTAACAAATTTCTTATTATTAAAAGAATACTGTACAAATAAAATATCAATTCATTTTTGTAATTAATGAATATATTATTATTAAACTTATAAAGTTGGATGATTATTTTATACATTTTTATCTGAATTTTAATAATCGAAAATTAATTATTATAGAATTGAATTAAAATTTGTCAACTGAATTTCATTAAAAACTAATTAATGATTGAAAATCATATGTTGTTTGAAAGTAAAATCAATTGATGTAGATTATTCATATTTTATTAATCTAAAATAAAGTGAACCATTTCAGACAGCGAAATTATAAATTATCAGCAAAATATTCTAAATTGAATTTAAGATGAACATTTAATGTTAGGTAAACTATAAATGATTCTAATGTACATATAATAAATAAAATTATCAGTAAACATTGGATCTATATCGTATAAGACCTGTTGGTCAATCGATTATATTGGCTAAAAAGTTTCATTAATTTCATTAATTTACAGTGATCGAAACATGTATGTTTTTTAGTAATTATTAAACATGCAATAATATCATGGATCGTGAGCTTTTTTACGGAAACATGAATCAAACAGACTTTGATTGATTCAATAGTAAGTTTTGATTAAAAAATTTTTTTCTTAAATTTTTTAATAGAGTTATGATTGAGTTTATTCATCTTAAGTAATTTAAGTTGAAATATAAATGACAAGAATGATAAAAAAATTACTCAGATACTCTATTACTCATAAAATTACTATGATCTTATGGATAATTAAGTGGTAAAAACTGGTTCTTTGAACTTTAGAAGAATTTGAAATTAATAATGCATTTCTGCTCGATTATGAGAAAGTTTATTTCATAATGGATTTCATGTGAAAAATTGATGAGATTTACAATTCAATAAAAAAATTAATCATATGATACCAAATCTTAGTCAATTAATATCTTTGATTTCATAAAAAACTATTCATAAATAAAAAGATTTTTTTTAATAACTTTAGATGAAAAAGTATCAGCAGAAATATGTATTACTAACCTTATATTTTTGGTTGGTCCATCTTCTTTCTCCTCCTTGAGAGAAGATGATGGTTGGAGACTGAATCTCCTGCGAAATTGATGTCTGCTCTTCATCTTCTGCAGTGATGCCAGTAGTAAATGGTGATAGGAGCTCCACAATTATATTGCACTGGAGAAAAAAAATCCAATCATGAGGAAACGTATATAGGGATTAGTGAAATTAGAGTATCGTGTTGCTTATATATGAAGTCAGAAAGATGAACTCTAAGCTGTAGAGTTTATATAAAGAAAGTAGAGAAGTGAAATACGGTAAGAAAGAAGTTTTATGGTATTCAGAAGAAAAAAAAAAATAATACGACATTTGCTATGAAAAATGTCTATTTTACTTATTAGCATAGGTATATTATATATTAGATGCCATGACTTTATGACTGATATATAAGGCAGATGTAAAACTGTAGACAATTATTATTTACTATGACATTTAATAAAATAAACGAAGCTAATGAATTATTAATGACGCTCGTTTTTTTGAATTAATAACGAATATGTAAAATTATGATATTCTAGTAATAATTGCATTTCACAATAATTATAACAAATTTTAATTATTTCATTTTAAAATTACATAATTAAATTTTTAATGAACAATTTTCATTTAGAGTCGCAATGAAAAGTAATTTAGTTGAATTACAATCATAAATACAATAATGAAGTAGAAAAATTAATTTCTTTACTATCAAAACCTAGTAAGGGACAAATTGTTCGAAATTGATCATTAATTTTTTACCATAAATTTACATTCAATATGACTAAATTGAACAGCCGAATTATTGCAACAGTATGAACAGTCTAGGTATTACTGAAATTAAATGTTTAACAAATAAATATGGTCAAATATTAGTTCTTCAAACAATTTTTTAACTTCCCAGTGGGAAGTTATTATACTGGATCTGATTTTGCGAATCTTGAATTTTGCGTATGTTCGTATGTGCGTTCGGAATTATTTTTCGCCTCAATTATCTCGAGAAAAAAATGATATCGACGTGGAACCAATTGCATTCGACAGGTAATTACGGAATTTTGAACTGATTAGGTTTTTAGCAAAATCGGTCGAGCCATTTTTATGCAGAATCAGGAAACTGGAAGAAATGGTGAACTAGCTAAATTTTAACATTCTTTTCACTGGGAAGTTAGTAGTGTGGACCTTTCGGGTTGTACTCAGACCATTGAAGAGCACTGATATTTTTAAAGTTTAATAAAATCTATTTTTAAAATTCCAAAAAAATGGCACAATTTTGACAACTTGATATTTAATGCAATTTCATTTAATTGAAAAGTAGAATTGCAGTGACAAAACATTGAATATTCATTGAATTGGAATTCAGAGGAAGCTAGAAAAACTCTCATATTTTTGACATCGAGAGAAATTTATCATTTCTAACATTTTTAATGTGTGCTATAAAATGTTATTTTGTTAAAAACTCTTTGTTCAAAGTTTGCTGCAGTTTTTTTTTATACATTTTTCGTTAGCTTGTTTCAAACAATAAATCACCCACTGTAATTTTTCATGTATTTTTAACGTAACAATTGCGTTTTATATTCAAGAATTTATAGGTGCATTCACTCGTAATTTCTGAGTAAAATATGATTGTACAGAAAATGACTCTGATGAAAATGATTTTAAATTAAAAAAAAAGCAGTTGTCAATTATTATCAGTTTTAGAATACTGATGATTGTCATTCACTTTTTATTATTGAAATAACATTCACAACGAAAGGTAGAGTTGAAGGTGATAGAACTGAGTTTATTCATCACTTTTCAGGTCATGAGTAATTTTTAAAGTATACAAATTCATAGGTTGTGATTTTTATTCATCGGTTTTAATATTGAACATATTTTTCAAAAACTGTTTTCGTTTCAACTGTTTTAATCCTCTATGCTGTCATGAGTGATTTAAATATTATGAAAATAAAAATGCTGACGTTCTAAGGAATCATCATAAAATTTGAGATAAGATATGGAAGCATTCCTTTCAATTCGTATAAAAAATGAAATTGCTAGAAAGCCGGATATTGGTAAAATAGAATTTTAAATTGAGTTGTGAATTATTTTACGAATGAACTACTTTTGAATATTTATCATAGATTTAATATTTACTATGTAAATAATGGATGAATTTTCTAAAACAAACGTACCACTGATATTCCATTTGCACTTGAAAATTGATAATTAAATCATTTTTTTTTTCAAGTATCTTTTAGATTTGATCTTTCTTCCTTCGTGTATACCAAAGTTTTAATTAATATTTTTCTTAGAAAGTTTTAATGAAGGACAAATTTTTCCATGAAACTTGTTCATTAATTTTTCGTGAGTTTATACAAAATTATAGAAGCCTGTTTTCAATAAATTTTTATTATTAATTATGTATCATTAAGTTGGAAACTTATTTATAAAAACAAAAAAAAAGCAAATAATCTGATTAAAGAATATTATTTAAATTCTGAATAAAAATTAGATTATATATTTTATCGATTTTTATTAGTGTTGCTTACGATGGTATTCATAACAAACTTTTTTAATGTTATCGTCTTAAAGGATCTCTTCAATCTTCATCACTGTTATGAATATTGTAGGCTTTTACATAAATACTAATAATTCATAATAGCGATACAGCTTAAACTATAAAGTTTCTTTCCAATTACAATAAAAAATTGAAATAACTTACAGGTTGACAATAAAAAATGAAACAGAGTAATGACATCATTATTTTTAAGAACATTCATAATTTTAGTTGTAAAATATTCTTCTTCACTTATGATTTATCTTTGCAATATTGCAAGACATTGCTGATATTTTTTACTGCTTTTCTACCATAATTTTGCGGATGATAGAAACCGCAAGGGTAGTATAAAATTATTTTTAATATTTTTTTTCTTACTACGCTAATGTTTATGTCTGATAGTGACTTTTTAGTGTTAAGATTTTATGTATCAACCTTAATATGACAAATAAATTAACGAAAATTGGCTATTCTATATATACATTACAAATTTTATAATACACAATAAAATAAAGTTACAGAGCAAATTGTGTGAAAAAATTTTTTTGTTCAACATTTGTGTTATACTCTATTATGTATTTAAGGATCTTGGATTCATGATCAAAACTTTATTTTTAAAAATGTCTTGAATGATTAAATTTCCAAGGTAAAAGCCGTGTCATGACATCAACCAATATTAGATACTAATGTAAGTTAATTTTCCTTGCATCGTTAAAAGTGATTATTAAAACCCGTTTTTCAATTAAATCCTAAACTAGTTTACAAATAGGAGATACATGATAAAATCCATCGCAACAGGTGGGCTAATTAACAATTAAGGCTTTAAACATATTGCATCGATATGAGGTTAGTCAAGTTACGATAATGTAAAGCGATTAATGGAATTTAGTTGTAATGGATGGTTAGTAGTGGAAACATCAGCATTAAAGTCTGTGATAAAATCAATGATCTATCGCGTCCTGAATTTTTTTGATGCGGGTAATTCAAACATTCTGTTGAATTTATCGAACCATGCAAAATCTTCCTCTATGTCTAATTTATCATGCTTTATCATCTATGAAATTATCCAATCAAATTTACCCTGAAGATATTTACCTAATAAAGATTTTCAATGTAAAATGTCTACGCAATCATTAATATACTAAACTGTATATGATTTTAATGCTATTTGACATGTATTTATTTCCGTTGATTTAGCGCTAGATAACATAAAAATAGAATCTTCGGAAATGGAAAAGTCGCGTAACGGAAATTACTTTTTCTTCTAAAACTTTGTTCCCTACTAGTTTGATACATTTGTTGATATTATCGTATTATTTATGCTAGTGTGAGTGTGACACATTTTTTATTATGTTAATTGCAACCATTAGCAGGCTGACGGAAGCCAAACGATTACTGAAATCGAACATAAAATTACCTCTTACACGTTCACTCTACTTATGTATAATGTAAGATTGGCGCAGGTGTGTTTAAAATTATATGGGGGAAAAGTAGGCTAAATTAGAACTTTGCTATTGTTGCCAAATGGTGTTCAATTTTTCTAAATAAATGCAAATTATTAAACATTATTTATCGTAGTATCTTTATAAAAATTTGCAATGAATATATATATTCAAATACCTGAACATAAACAATAGATTTTAGGTCAAAGATATATTTATCATCCCTGTTTTTTTAAACTACAATTTATGTGAAAATGAAATGGAAAATGGATAGCTTTTTATGAATAAAATATTTGTCTGAACAAAAGATAATTTTTTTAATGAATTCATGAGTTGGACAACAATAAAATTGATTTTTATGCAGTGAATAACCTGTAGCTCATTGACTCCTGGAAATTTCTTTTATTCTGACCTATCGACGTCACTAGACAGATCGTTTTTTATTTATTTCTTTTGTAATATTTTTCCAATGTATTTGCTGTCTATGACTATACATGTATATATATCTAGTCATTTTTTTTGTTAACGATATAAAATGAATTGCTTTCCAAGTTTGAAAAGTTTATAATCCCTATAAAATTTTGATTTAAAGTTCTGACAGAAACTACAAGATAGCTCATATTGTTATAATAACTGTTGCAAACTGCCATTTTCATTTGAGCTCTCCAACGAGTGATAAAGTTAAGACATTATCATTGTGTATTTTTTTTTGTATTTCCATGCATATGATTATGATAAAAATATCTTTATAAAACTTGAAATTTATTATCTATTCCTGAAGCGAATTTCGTAGAATGCAGCTTGGATTATTATTATTATTAGATAACATGTTAAAGCTTTTATAAGAATCGTATTATATACTGATTGAGTAACCTTATCTTTTATCTTGACTCGATATCTGATAATACGTTAATCTGATGTAACTAGAAATTAGTCTAGGGGTGATGTTAACCCAAGGGTTAATGAAAGATAGACTATCACAATGAAGATGAATCTTCAGGCTTTAGATATTTACATCAAATTTATATTTAACTTAACAAAAAATTTTATTTGATGTATTAAGTTGTAATGATAAATGTTTCTCCAATTTACATTGTAATATTAAAAAACAAGATTTTTGAAATGAATAAATAAAAATAAATGGTAAAGTTATTTTTTAAATAAGTAATTTAGAATTATTTGATACAAATAATATGTTATTTGTTTTTATAGTAAATTTTAAATTGAAAATTCATTCTTATTTCCGTCAGTTAAACTTACCTTAACTTAATATTCATACATTTATTTATTCATTAAATTGATGGTAAATTTACTGGCGTTTTCCTTAAACATAATTTCTTAGTAAACCCCCGTATATTCATACGGTTATTGACCAGGACATTTATTTGGCATGCTTGTTCGCTCGTATTACAGATTCTAAAGTAGAGCAATGACCGCATAGAAACCAAGTCCCAAGTTGGCCGGCTGCAAGTCGCCATGAATCTGTATAGTTGGTTATCAACTTTGCCCTAAATTCAAAAACAGGAAATGACCTCGATCTGTTTTTATTCTAATCTAAGTAATGTTATTTTTTTTTATCCACCTTATAAATTATCCTGTCAATTTTTTCAATCTTACTTTTGACTTTTAACGTTTTTCAATAAAAATACACTACTTTAATTATAGTTGACTTCATTAGCAAGAGAAATGCTGATGCTTAAAGTGAACTATTCATTATTATTCTCCCTTCTTTCCGGTTGAAAAAAATTTAGACAAGAAAAATATTTACGAATTCTACGTTATTTCTTTTGTTTTAGTTGCACTGAAGAAATGCCCCTGACAACTGTTACTCTACTACTTAATGTAATGTCTGACGATATATATTCCTCTTTCACTTAAGTCGACAATTCTTACCATAAATTTTTTTAATCAAAGAAAGCGGATGAAAGGGAAGAATAGGAAGTAATAGAAAGGCCATGAGAATGTAAGTGTGAGTATAAAATAAATAAACGATCGATCTGCAGAGGAAAATAAGAAAAGATTGATTTGAATGGGACACTATTCATCACTTTCTTTAATATACTTTAATGAAATAATATTATCTTAACAAAGGCAACAAGAATTTTATCCATTTTGCTTTTATTTTATCGCTTGTGGTACAAAGCTTTTAACAACGAATAGATATTTTGTTATTAATATTATTTAATTGATGTAAAATGATTAAATGGAATTTTTTCCCATAAGTGTTAATAGATTAAAATGAAAAAAAAAAATTATTGTGGGTTTCATGCTTTATCTAGCAGTAATTGATGATCCAATTTTATTTTCTTTTAATTATAGTAATGTTGGAGTAATTTTAAACAAAAACAACAAAGATGAAATTGAATAGCTCAAGGAAATTTATGAAATTCGAGTAAAATACTTTCAATAAGTATGGATAATCATTCTTCACAGCCTTTTATTTGCATTTATGAGCTTATAAAATATTTGAAAAATTTTATACTAATCCTTTAACTTAATGATTATTTATCAATCAATTTTTTCAATATTTATTTCATACTAAAAACTGTATTTACTTGAACATAAAAAATAGAAGAATCTAAAAATCCAATGGCGATTATCTCGTTTGTATAAAAATTAATTAATTTCATTGATTATATTAATATCATCAGCTGGGATAAATTTTTCAAAAAAAAACTAAAACAAATTTGTTAATAAGTTTTTCAATAAATTCTCTTAAAAAATAGATAGAAGATAAGGTCGGATTATGGGTCACTTGTTGTTTTTATTCGATTATATTTTACTCTGTTAAATTGTCATCAATTGTCACTTTTTAAACTTTCTGTTAATTACCAAGAAGTTATTCTTCAAAATATTTGTGGGTGAGCTGATAAAAGACCCACCGTGCTCGCATAATAAACGAATGGACCATATTAAAGACTGGACCATAATCCTATCTTCATCTCTACTATTCCACAATTTCATATGAATTCGTATTCAGATGTAAGTTTTAAAAAAACTCTGAAATCCAGGGTTTTTTCATAAGAAATGAGAAAGAAGGTCTTAAGAAGCTCCAACCACTTTGTGAAATTCTAGATTGACCCAATTGAACTGTTTTTTTGGCCTACTAAGCTCACTGAACATCTTTATTAGGTGCAACATAGTAATCTCGTCAAATAAAACTATTATTTAAAAAATGAATTCTTTTCTCTGAATAAAATAAAACGATAATACTATTGTTTTAATAGGTTTACACTTAATGCAAAAATGAACTTGGTACTTCTCAATTGATCTAACAAACCCTTTTCCTATCTTAATTAAATTCATAAAGCTTTGTAAGTACGTTACACAACCTTTTACAATTTTACGTGTGTCTTTGACCTTTTACTGTCAAGGTTCGAGTGGTGATAACCCTTTATTTCTGCAGCTGTTACATGAACTTAATTTACTTTCACAAATATGTGCCGGTACTTCATGCATATACATAAGTACTTTTACTTTGAGCTTTATTAAAAGCATCAACTTTTGACGTTTATTAGATTATCTAAAAACTTAAACCAACTTGTTATTATCAAACCCTTCAAACATCATATTTTATTACACAAATTCATAACATTTATTAATAAAATTGTCAGAAGATAATTGAATTTTCTCTAAAAACCAACTGTAATTATTTAAAATCGACTTTTTATGTAACCTTTTTCATTATTTATAATCTCATTTATGATGTCATTATTATTGGGAAGAAATAATAAAATAATTTTATTTTTTATAAACTAATTTTAACGATGAAAGTAGAAAATTGAATGAACGAAAGTGAAAATATAAACAGAATAAATAAAGTAGATAAACAAAAATGTATCTTATTTATTTATCTGTATGTATATATTTTATATGTTTGACAATAAATAAAAACTTGAAAATAAATACGGATATTGATGCTTAGAGAATAAGTAAGAGGATTAGGATATGTAAATGAGATTGCTGTCACTGAGGAGATTTATTAGGTTGATAAAAGTCGAACAGCAAAACGAGGAATTAAACCAACAGACAACTATTGCAAAATTTTTAGACCTATTTTAGTATCAATATCGTAATAGATTATTTCAATATCTTATCTTATCAATGATGTAGTGATGTTATTAGCCGATATACTGATAATAGAAATTTTTGATCAGTAAGAATAAATTACCTCATTGAATGCAATTTGACTATTTACAAAAATGATGCAACATCAAAAAATCACTAATCATGATAAAACAAATTGGTTTATCTTTAATTAATCTGTTTTTCTATTTGTATAATGAAGCATTTTTTAAGTATGAACCTGACTGGAAATAATATTAAGGCTAACTGGATCATGTTCCAGGGTAAGTTTAACTAGGGTGCATCCTACATCAGTATTAATAATATTTCTTTATAATTTGTTCTTCTGCATAATGTGCAGTAAAATGCTAAAGAGTAAATATGTACAAGAGTATATAATTTACTCTTGTAGTAAAATATATCTCCTATTAACCCTAGACTAGTCACCATATAAGCGTGATGTCGTGCTTAATTCTATTTTTTTAATTAAACTTACAATTTTTGCTAAAAAAATTTGAAAAATTTGAGTTTGTTTTTCAAACATTTTAGAATATTAAAATAATTTTTTCAAGCATGTTTAAAAACATAAAATGTATGTAAAAAAACATTTAAAGAAAAAGGTGATGGATTTATGGGACTATTCTTATCACTTGACCACAGTCGTTAGTAGATTTTCTCTTGCAATGCTGCCGTCTTTGAGTATAAATCTCCTCTTTTTGATTCCTTATGCTTATGCGAAGACTTGTGATCAGGCAACATCGCACCTAGAAAAGCATTGCGGTGAATCCCTCATCACTTTACCAAAGTCATTAAGTCGCGTTTGGTGACCAGTCTCGGGTTAAGGTATCTCTTTTTGCTTTGAATTAAAAAGTAAAAACTTAAGTTTAACTATTCTAATTTTAGAGTGATTTCAAAGTCTCAATAATATCTAATTTGTTATTTATCGCTTGATTTTTTTAGTTAACAAAAAAATACTCAACGATGTCACATTACAAGTTGACTTATTTCAATATTACTGGTTTAGGCGAACCAATACGTTTCATATTACATTATGGAGGAATTAAATTTGAAGATGTTCGGATATCTTTTGAGGAATGGCCTAAAATTAAATCCAGTAAGAATTTCATTTCTATTGTAATATTCTAAAAATTATCAAGTATAAAAGTAATAGCGTTACTATAGTCCATTTCATCCAAATTTTATATTAACTTGGATGAAAACATTAGGTATTTTATTCCAATGACAACACTGTCATGTCATGTGCTGTTGTAACGTTGCTCTTTTTTGATTAATTATATTATTAATTGATATATACATATATGTGTACATGTACTTGATATTAATTTGTATTATAGCTATGCCACTTGGCACAATGCCAATATTGGAGATCGATGGCAAAAGATATTATCAATCAAGGGCTATAATGCGTTTTCTAGCCAAAAAATTTAAATTATATGGATCTGATGATGTTGAAGCAATGGAAATTGATGCTGCTGCTTATAGTATAGATGATTTGGTAAACCGTAAGATCGATTTTTCATAAATTAAATGGAATTTGTAATGCAATCGTATGTTGCATAACAAAAATGCTATTGCTTACCACATGGATTTAAAGCTGATCTATATTTTATTTGTCTGTGGATAATCGGTTACTTGACTACCGTAAATCCATGCGATAAGTTGGTGTTTACAACCTAGGTATGATTTAAACTTATACTTATCAAGATAATTTTGCAAAAAAGCTTTATCAGCTTACTTTTGGGAAGAGGAGCCAAATCAAAAAAAGAGATTGAAAGAAATTGCAATGCAAAAGAAGGAATTTTTTCTCGATAAATTTGAAAAACATGTAAAAAACAACGGAGGTTATTTTGTAAATGGAAAGGTAAATTTCTCTTATATTTTAAATTAAAAATTGTTTTTTAAAAACGCAATCAATCAAACTTTGTAATGATTTGATATCTCATTAATATTCTCTCGTATTTATCAGTTATCTTTTGCGGATTTGTGGTATGCTGCTTCTACCGACTATATGTCTCGTGGTTTGGGATATGATGTAAACAAAGATCATCCAGAGCTTTCAAAACTAGTGGAAAAAATTCGAAATATTCCTAGCATCAAGGTCTATTTGGAAAAACGTCCACTAGCCAAATTATAAATTTTTTTTAATATAGTGTTATATAAGAGGTAATATATTTCTCTATTTTTGATAACACTAGATTCATTCTTATTTATGATAAAAATTTTATAATTCTTTAATGTATTAATTACACATCAAATAAATATAATATTCTAAATATATTACATTAATTAAACATACTTATTACGTTCTTTTATTTTCAATAAAACGTTTCAAGTGAGATCTAGATAAATAGGGGAATACGGGGCAAGATGGCTTTTTGAATTTTAAAATAACTTATATACATAATAATGTAATTTGAGTGATAAGCGTATTTTCAAATCAATGTTAACTTCCGTATTAACAGCTTCGGAGGGTCTGTTTTGCCTCACCAAGTTACCAAAAAGAAAAAAAAAACGGTCTTGCCCTGTATTCTTCTATTTTTTAACAATCAAATGTAGAAAAACTCCATTGGTGTTTTTATTTAAAACGAGAGATTTGTGACAGTTTTCATAATAGGGATATTTTATTTTAAAAAAAATTTCGATCTTAATATTTGATAAATGACCATCCAACGCAATCGGATGAAAGAAGCGTGATTGTAACACCGATTATCATGATTAAGAAGAGGATGGTGGTAGAAAATCAGCTAGAATGATGACAATTCTTCCCGTCTTAATCTCTCGACCTCAAAGTGTGATTTTCTATCTTTTTTGTCGCTACTTTTGACAATCCCTGCTTTAATAGCTCTTTCTTTCGAGGAACGATACGACCTACTTACTTTCTTTATCACAAAGTCGAAGAGAAAGGAATCATCAGTAATCAGCCGAGGAAGATGAGTACGAGAAATGAAGAATTCAGTTCTTTTTTTTTCTCTTCTATATAACAATTATATAAATTATTCTGTGTTTTGAGATTACGTTCGGTGCAAAATAAATACCTCACTTTGCCAATTTTTGTGACGTTTATACGGCATGGAGTGATACATATCTTCTATTCCTATCCTGAGAGATGAATAGAAAGTAAATATAACGATAGCAAAACAATCTATGGAATACTATAAAGATTCTACAGATGACAGAAATTGAATCTGTCTACAGTAAACGTTTACTTTACAATACGTATATATATTGGACGTCTATTTTTTATTCATACTCTTATAAAAGTAACTGAAAATAAAATTGGTCATGCACTAAAACATTTTGGATGTTTATTGTTCTTTTTCAAATGAATGAAAAGAAAGCATAATGAAAATTGAAAACAATGATCTTTTTTTAAGCATTGATTGAATTGAAAATATCAATTTTCTACTTAAGATTAAAAATAGTGATTTTTAAAGTACATAAAGCTTTTCTATTGAATCCATGAAAATAAATTTTATGGATGTACACGGTTAGAGTTATTGTATAAAAATTCTACGACGGGGGAAAATTTATTGAAATGTCAAAAATATTAGAGAATGATTAAAAAGATCATTCAAAAGAATTCCTCTTGAATGTTTAAAATCCTGAAAATATTTTTCAATTTGATACATAAAATTTTTTAAATATTTTAAAAATGTTATGAATTAAATTTGATAACACAAAAATTAAGAGTTGAAGCTTTTAGAAGTAACCACAAATATTTCAATTGCTTTTATTCAAATACTCAATTATTAAACCTCAACTATAGATCTAACATTACAATGACTCTTGACGTTATTTAATATAAACTAGTTAATGAGAAAATTTAATAAAGCAAAAAGTTTTAATTACGGTTATCTGATGAAAAAAAAAAATTAAAATTTTAATTATAACAATGTGTATCTCATTCTTGTCTTAATACGTATTAAAACCATTTGAATATCTCGTATATTTTGTTTTCTACTCATGTTTTACACTATGAAATGGTTTTTAATTAAATACATCATAAATGAAAGAAATTTTATTCTACACATATTAGCATAAAAATTTTTGTTTTGTTGAGGTAATTCTCTACTTGTGGCTTTCCACAAACAAAAACAACGTTTGAAAAATAAATAACATTCGGAAATTTATGATAATTATAAAAAAAAAAAAGATTTTTCTAACAATTTTCATTAAAAGTATCAAAGAAAAAAAAACATACAAGTGCTTTTTAATTTTACTTTTTTTTATTAAAAGTACTATCCAACTTGTCACCAATGAAAAACTTGATACATTTTTTTTTGTCTTACACGGTAATTAAAACCAAAAGGAGAAAAAAAAGAACTTTATTATTATTCAGTACAGCAAAAATATTTTCTTGAAAATAATATTTTCATAGTCATTTTTATTTACATTTTTTCCTTAAAGAACAACATTTTTTCGTCAAGTTGTTCAACAACTATGCAATTCCCACTGAATATTTTTTTTTTTTTTTAATACAAATAACAAGAAAAAAAAGGTATTTATACTTGTCATGATAATTGTAAAAAGTAAACAACACTGTTAAAATAACCAAATAATGAAGAGAAAAAATGAAACATGAAATTTGAAAAATAATTAATGGAGTGTCAGAAAGAGAATATAATTGAGTAAAAGAAGGAAATAAGAGACTTACCCTTAGAGAAATGTATTAATTTACTTTCCAGGTCGGCAGAGTTGATCAAAGGATATACACGCGCAACAGTTTATTTGAACGTTTATTAGCCTTAGGCAACTTAGTCTGATGATTGTTAGTTGTCACAAATGTTATTTAGTCGTCATCTATAAATTTAGCAATAAATTTTGATAATTTTCCAGAGTAAATGATGATTGTTTACAACGCCCACGACGCACGTTGGCTTGTTGCGATTGTATAGACGTCGCGTTTGAGAGTCCTGGATGACTCGAATACTACCCTTGCAATACACACGCGACGAGAAAGAGAGAAATACGCTGAGGCCAACGAGCCAGCTCTGTCCGGTTCCCCACGAACGCTCCAGGGTGATATGCTATCCTCTAAATATTATCACTGAGCATGCGCAATAATTTCACTTCCATACCTTCCACCACTTGGCTCTGATTCCTTTCTTCATTCCTCCTTTCTCTCTTACACTCGTCAACCCACGTTTCTCTTAACATACTTGCTGATCCACAAGCGCGAGAGTAGTCTTTAATTCCCCTTTCTCTGTTCTTCTCTTCTTTGCTTTCATACCTTTCAGTTTATTCTCATCAGGTGAATAGGCCTAACTTGTGTCTTTACTTCTTGGTATATTCGGAATTCTACTTTACACGATACCACTCATCTTCGTCATGATCAAATAGAAATCATTCATTCACCGTCTATTCATTCATTCTTGACTAGTGGTAATTAATTTTTTTTTTAATTGAACCGATGATGGGTGATGAAATGAGATTTTTTTGTTTTTTCGGAGCACAAAAAAATAATTATTTGCTCGTATATCTTTTAATGTGGAAAATTACTTGTTTTTTTATCGGTTAATTTTTGTTGCAAAAAAAAAACGATTATATCTAAAGCACAATTGTGAAACAGAAATGAAGGAAAGGAGGAAAATTTGATTGTAAACAAAAAGTTGAGGATTTTCTTAATGAAGGGGTTTGGACCTTTTTGAATATTTTGCTGACATTATGATTAAGTGGAGGATATAAATATTTTGGAGTAGAGTTATTATGCTAAATTAATGTGACAAGACGATTTATAGTGTTTTATAATCTTCCTGACTACGTAGGATACTTAGATTAGTCTAAGTTAACTAATTTCCAGTTACTATCATTATACTAATACTACCAGCAAAGTACTTGAGATCTAAAAGTTTGTGAATATTCACCAATTTGCAAACATTTTCACAAATTAAAATCCATTCCAATTTACATTAAAACAATCGAATATTTTTCTTTTCACCTGTAGATTGGACTAAAATGCAATTAACTTGAATTACTTCCTCCTGAAAAAATTGTTTTTCCCTACAAATAAATCACCTACATACGTAAATAATTTTACCTTGAAAACATGTGTTCAACAGATTACATGTATGTCTTTTATTTTTTTCAATAATATTATTCAGTGCTTAATTCAAAATAATAATGCTTATGATTTATTATTGCTTACTCATGTTTCATTATTTAATTGATTATTAATTATTAATTGCCATTATTAATAATACTGGTCTATTGATCGGCATTATCTTTATTATTCTTCCGTCTTGATCTGGCTTATGCTTTTGAGTCGATATGACTATTTAATATTAATTAATTACAGTCACTAAAAAAAGCCAATGAAACTAAAAAAAAAACATCGAAAAAAAAATATAATCGTACTTGAATTATTTTTTCATTCGAACATAAAAGTTTTTTATGAAATAAAAAAAAATGTACTGAATTTGTATATAAATATTTATAATCAAGTATTTTAATATCATTATCTTAACTTGACTTCTTCTCGTTTTTTAATTACTCTTCTTTTATATATACCTTATTAACTATCTCCTGAAATTATGCAAGTTTAAATCTCTTTATTTCTTGTTTATTATTTTTTCTTATTACAATTTGTTGTGTTGATAAACATCAAACTTTTTATCTCATCTTCTCTCTCTTCCATCTTCTTAGATCTATTTAAATGATTTTTTCTTTTCGCGTCTTCTTCTTCTTTCCTCCTTCTAAGAGCTGAGATTTAATTTTCAGCACACTCGATATTTCCGCCGTCATTCGTGCACTCTTAGTGGGCGAATATGAAGAACAAGCACTCAAGAAAAAAGCAAGGAAAAAGATTTTAACGTCTCGGCAGTCTACCTAAAGGGGATGGTTCTTGCCTGGAAATAACCTGATTGACTCTTTTATGGATGCTTTACGCTTGGTGGTTTGACTTTAGTAATTCTGTATGCACTGCAGATCAACTTCTTTATCAGAAATTTTCCCTCAATTGTCTTCCGTCTTCTGACTATAGTATTCACCACCTCTTCCTATCTCTTTCATTTTCTTATTCTCTTTTATTCTTTTCATTTTTGCTCATCCTCCATTGCCTTCAATTTTCAGAGTATTACTTTTTATATATATTATAGAAAAAGCTGCTCTTCTATTCAACGGAAATTCATTTCTTTACCTTCTGTAATCCTTTGATGTGATAGATTAATAAATATTTTTATTTGCGTGTAATGGAAAATAATCATTATTTAAATAACTAAAATGTAAAACTTCTAAGAGTTTTTTATTGGTAGAAATTACATCATTTTTACTTGTAATAGTTGATTTAAAAACAAGAGTCCGGACTTTTTTCAAACATTTATTAAAATCTTTATCTTGTTTCAACCATATTCAGCCATTAACCAAAATTTAATTTGAAGAAAAATAGGAAAAACGCCTAAAATTTTTATTTTCTGCTTTTTCTAGAATTAAAATATTTTCGACTCATTACCAATAAATAATCAATACTTTGCTTAAATCCAAACTTGCTTATTCAACGCGAGTGGATGTTCACACATAAAAGAAAATAGCTTTTTACACCTTTCTATAGATCCTTTTATGCATCTGAACATTTCTTAAAGAAAATCTTAATGCAGGAAAAGGAATTACCTATTTTTATGAGCACTTATTTTCTTACGACTCTCTTGCCATTTCTTCGGGAAAGGTTTCTTGCAGTATTGAACGTCATTTAGAATCATCTAACCTTGTATTTTATGCATATTGATCGTATTGTAAATAGAAAACTCTTCTTTAAGAAAGACTGAAGGAGAGAAAGTTAGATGATAAGAGGAAAAAAGGGCGAGAGAAAAGATGATAAAACAAGAATAGAGAACGTGAACAATTTTGATCTATTAGTTATTTGATGTGAAAGTCTATGTAAGACTTCTCATGTCTTTTTCTGTAATAAGTTAATTTAATAACTCATTTTCAGTCTCTTTATGTTGACAAAATATGAATGAACGTCTTAAAGGTGATCTCAAACTGGTTTATTGAATGGTCTATCTCTGACAGTGAATTTCAAGGAAAAGTTTCATGATCTTGTGGAATATTGATAAAGTTTGATCAATGACGAACATAAAGTAAGGTAAAACGAATTTTGATCAAAAACCTAACTATAGCTTTTTACAAATATTTACATAATATTTTTTTTCTTTTAGTTAAATCCTTGTTTATAGAAAAAAATACAGTGATGTATGGCTATAAGAATTTTTTAATAATTAATCTTTTGGAGGTCGACTTTAACATCTGATAATTTATTGTGACATTTCATACGATTCCTTTTCTAAGATTTATGGATAACTAAAACATTTTCTTCACAAAGTCTTCAAGTTGAAAATCGATGTAAAAAAACTGATAAATTTTTTTTATTATCAACTGAATAATAAAAAAAAATACTTTTTGACATTAAGATCTTTGTAAAAAACATTTAAAACTCTTTTAAATCTTAATTAAGGACTCTTATTATAAATCTTTATTCAACATAATTAATGAACCCTCACAAATTTAATCTTAAAATAAATCCACCATATTTTCCTGTTTATTTCTTCATTTTAATCTCAAGTCAGTTAATTAAATAATCATCAACTAATGTCTGTGTTTTGTGATTATTTTTATAACGATTTAAATAATTACCCTGAGGTTAGCTTATATTAGTTAATAAAATATTTAAATTATAATGTCCTCTCTCATATTTAAAAATGTGTCTCTAATACACTTCTTTGATGCTGAGCAAAAAATTAAATTTATATTATTGAATAATGTTATGACAAACATTTCAGATGGACAATTGAATAATAGAATAATTTTATAATAAATGTGATGGAGAGATATGTGTTGGTTTAAATGCAATATCTTTTTAAGAAAACTTAATATGCCATTTTATTTTATAGAGCTTGACCTATTTGATGTCGAAATAAGGTACATAGTAAGGTTGTATATAACTTTCCTTGGGTATTACTAACCCGATTAAAAGTTTGGAGATATATAGTGTAGCTAGAAGTAGAACTGTAGTTATCGTGATGAACAATATTATTCGATCAAAATGGCGTATATATGTGTCCATGTATTATCAAAAGTATTTCAGTTATCAGAACTTGTTTGAACTCAAAATTACATCTTAAATGTAATATAAGAAATTTCGAAAAAAGTTTTAAGCTTGTTGAAACAACCACCCACCTTTATATTAAGTGTACTGCTAAAGTTATCTTTAGGTTTCAATACGAACACAAAAAGGTTTATTCCAACCATGTTCATAATTATACTACTAAAATTTTAACGACAAAATTTTTCACAAAGGCTTTAACAAAGGATTATATATTCAAGTTCTATTCAGAATTTAACAAACCCTTAATATTGCAAGGCTTCAAATTTATGAATTAATTGTGAATATAAAGGAGTCGTTTTAAATATTAGAATTTTTTAAATTAATATAAAAAAGTTAGTTTGTTAAAAAATCAACTGAGTTGTAGCATTGAAGAAATAAATATAATTTGTTGATATTTAAATTGTAGAATATCACATTTTATTTAGTTATTGTCGTAAAATGTAAATATACTTACCCTACTGTGTACTCTTTGCCTTGCAGTAGGGAATTATATATATACAGAAATGTATCGAGTTAAGAACATTTGTACTCCAGTGAATTATTAAAACTTTTTGGGATGGTACTTTTAACTTTAACAAAAAACATGCGGAAATTTATTATGTATTTTTAATCACTGTTTCTATGAATAAAACTCTTGAATATAATTAATTTTACATTAAAATTTGTTGCCAACAGGATTATTGACAAATAAACATTCAAAATTTATGGGCAATTTTCTATTAACTAAAAAATAGACAAAAAAATTAATTTAAAAAAAACTGTCTAATGAAAATTTTTTAAATATTTATTCCAAAGTTATTTCAAGCCTTAATAATTATTGGTGGTCCATCATTTAGCCTCATAATTTTTAAAAAAAATTTTCTCTA